TCATTTCACTTTCAGTTTGCAACCTTAGATAAGAGGCCAAAATTCTCTCTCTCTGTCTCTCTAGACTATCTACTACTCTGTAAGGCCTCTAGTTAGCTAAAAGAAAGATGGGTATTTTCTATATCATCTTCACCTTCATATTGTTCTCTCTCTTCCTAACCTTATCCCTCTTCATACTTAGAATCTTCACAGGCAAGTCCATCAGAAACCCGAACTACCCACCTGTAAAAGGCACTGTCTTCCACCAGCTCTTATACTTCAACAGACTCTATGACTACCAAACCGAAGTTGCCAAAGAACACACAACTTACAGGCTTCTGGCCCCGGAACACAGCGCAATATACACAACTGACACGCGAAACATTGAGCATGTTCTGAAGACCAACTTTGGCAGCTATTCGAAAGGGGAGTATAACCAAGCTATTCTGTCTGATGTTTTTGGCCAAGGGATATTTGTTGTTGATGGAGAAAAGTGGAAGCAGCAGAGGAAGCTCGCGAGCTTTGAGTTCTCCACGAGAGTTCTTAGAGATGTTAGCTGCTCAGTGTTTAGAAGAAAGGCTGCCAAACTGGTTAAAGTTATTTTTGAGATTTCAGTTGCCAGGAGGGTTTTTGATATGCAAGTCAGTAATCTGAGCCAACATATCTTTACTTGTTTGTAACTTGTCTTGTGGTCTTGTTTAAATCACATAGAGTTATTTAATAATAGCATAACTAAATTTGACATTTGACATACAGATAATATATTACTGGCTGGTATAAACTTGTGTAGTGTCCCCTTGATCAAGTTGGTTTGATAAAACATTAATCAATTTAGAGGGCTGAGCTAAGGTCAACTTTAATTTGGCTGGTTTTTGGTACAAAAGAGTAGAGAGAAGAAATCATGATCTGTGAATCTGATTTCATAACAGCTGATGTAATGATATAAGTTGTTATTTACTTTTTTTTTTGTTTATGATTTTTTTTGTAGGATTTGCTCATGAGATGTACCTTGGACTCCATATTCAAAGTTGGGTTTGGAATAGACCTGAATTGCTTGGAGGGGTCAAGCAAAGAAGGGACTGCATTTATGAAGGCCTTTGATGAATCAACTGCTTTAACCTATTTCCGCTATGTTGATCCGTTCTGGAAACTGAAAAGATTTCTCAACCTTGGTTCCGAGGCCTCCCTTAAAAAGTATGTCAAAGTCATTGATGATTTTGTGCACCAAGTTATCAGGAGCAAGAGGAAATTTCTAGAGGAGCAAAAGGATGTTGTAAGTGAATTTTACACTTGAATAGTGGCTTTCCATGTGCTTATATATATATATTTTTATTTTGATTCTGCATTGAAGTTTCCATTTTATAGCATCAGTTTTTATTAATGAAACTTTGAATTTTATGTTATGTTTCAAAGAATGACAAGGAAGACATACTATCAAGGTTTCTATTGGAGAGCAAGAAGGATCCAGAGGAAATGAATGACAAATATCTAAGGGACATCATTCTGAATTTTATGATTGCTGGCAAAGACACCAGTGCAAATACACTCTCATGGTTCTTTTACCTGCTCAGCAAGAACCCTCTAATACAGGAAAAAGTTGTACAAGAAGTGAGGGATGTTGTTGGTAATCAGGTCGGTGAAGCGAAAATCGATGAATTTGTGGAGAACATTACTGATGGAACTCTTGAACAAATGCATTATCTTCACGCGGCATTGACAGAAACGTTGAGGCTATACCCTGCAGTTCCCATTGTATGTATATACTCCAAAAACCTTGTATTAATTTTCTTTATGGATAGTTTTTGAATGAGATACTGTTATTTGTTATAGTTGTTTGTGAGAACCTGAACAGGACAGTGCCAAAGCCTTGGTAAAATCTGTGCTAAATATATCAAAACCAACGCCACAAGATAAATATTCCTTGAGAGTACCCCATTGTGTTGGCTATTATCAAACCAAAGATGTTTAGGCCTAATTATTCTTCAGTTTCCATTAGGGAAATGAGTTTAATATCTATGGTTCTGTACATTAAGGTGAAATTTTTCATATACTAAAATTAAGGCCAAATTCGTAAGCACTAAATGTTGACTTCTTTGTGTCTTTGGCTTTCCTCTAAGGATGGGAGATGTGCAGAGGTAGATGACATTCTTCCTGATGGCTTTAGAGTGAGAAAAGGAGATGGAGTAAACTACATGGCCTATGCCATGGGCAGAATGCCTTATATTTGGGGAAAAGATGTTGACGATTTCCGGCCTGAAAGATGGCTCAACAATGGAATTTTTCAGCCCGAATCACCCTTCAAATTTGTCACATTTCACGTGAGTAACTTAATTTCTTTTTATTTGTCACATAGCTTAATCATCTTAATGTTCACTAATAGTTGTTTCACTGAATTGGTGCTACTTGCAGGCAGGTCCTCGGATCTGTCTAGGGAAGGACTTTGCTTACCGGCAGATGAAGATAGTAGCAATGGCTCTTCTTTGCTTCTTCCGCTTCAAATTGGCTGATGAAACAAAAGCTGTAACATATAGGACCATGTTCACCCTTCACATAGATGGCAGCCTCCCTATGCTTGCAGTTCCAAGGGCGACCTGATAAAATTTCCTATATCTGAAGAAAATCAATGTTCAAGGTTATCACATATTATGATATTGTTATGATATTTGCAGGTTTTTGCTCTGTATTCTGTTTGTAATTAGTAGATAATGGAAACAACCTTGTAAATATATGTAAATTAGCAAATATGTAAAACCGTGACTTTCATCACCCCAAGAAACTCTCTGCAATCTTGGAAGAACCTCAGCAAAGATTTGATGTCGTTTCTTTTCGTTTTTGCCCACACAAACAAGCATTCTAGAAAGTAGGGGTGAGCACAGTCCAGATTGGATCGTTTTTATCTTAAAACCACGGCCGAACCAATTACAATATAACGGTTTGGTTTTGACAAAAATCACGGAGGGGGAGCTTTAGTTTTCACGCACAATATAGTTTACTATTTAGGCAAATATGAATTCAATTTCAGCTAATTTGGATAAAGCCAAAAGCCAAAATATAGTACTTGCTTTTACCATAATATAATTAGTTGGGTTAGTCTTTTTAAGAAGAAGGGTAGCATTATCTTTTTAGTTATTATTTTAAGCTAGACCAACGAATCTGGGCCTCCTCTTTAGTCTAATAAAAAATAAAAATTCTTTCCTAAGTATTAAAACCCAAATAAAAATACCTAATGTCTCAAATACTAATTAGTAAAGTTACTTATGTCTAGTACTTATTTTTTTAAAAGGAAAAAAAAATATATATATATACATATATATAAGTATATGTTCCGATTCGATGTAGACAGGTTTATAAAAAATCAAAACTAAATTATATACGGTTTGATTTTTAAACCGTTTGACTTTTTCTTTATTAAAACTAAAACTAAACCAAATCAACAAAAAAAAAAAAAAAAAAAAAAAAAAAAAAAAAAAAAAAAAAAAAAAAAAAAAAAAAAAAAAAAAAAAAAAAAAAAAAAAAAAAAAAAAAAAAAAAAAAAAAAAAAAAAAAAAAAAAAAAAAAAAAAAAAAAAAAAAAAAAAAAAAAAAAAAAAAAAAAAAAAAAAAAAAAAAAAAAAAAAAAAAAAAAAAAAAAAAAAAAAAAAAAAAAAAAAAAAAAAAAAAAAAAAAAAAAAAAAAAAAAAAAAAAAAAAAAAAAAAAAAAAAAAAAAAAAAAAAAAAAAAAAAAAAAAAAAAAAAAAAAAAAAAAAAAAAAAAAAAAAAAAAAAAAAAAAAAAAAAAAAAAAAAAAAAAAAAAAAAAAAAAAAAAAAAAAAAAAAAAAAAAAAAAAACATTTGCATCTTTTTTTTACTCCTTTGCAAGCGGGACCCACAAGAGAAAAAAGGAAAAGAGAAGGATTGGAATTGCAACCAATGGTAAGGCCTAGATTTCATGCAATTTGCATTGCACTTTCCACTGGGGTGCCCAGATTTTAATAGATATTGTAGTTAGTTTGTAGGTCAAAAATATGTGTTTTCCAAAATTTAAATTTTTAGGGTCCATTTATTTGGAAAAATAACATAAAATTCTCACACGCACAACAATTAATTTTAAAAGTTAACACATACGAAAAACCACACACAAAAAAGACGTCTCAAAACAAATCGAATATGCATATTTGGGATTTACATCGTTTCCCATTGGAAGCAAAAAACATATTTAACCCACTGCAGGTGTAAAGGGAACGTAAAAAGACTTTTACTCTGAAACTACACCACCCCCCTGTGATGTCTTAAACGACACCATAGAGGTCCTTGAAGTTATATTGTTGTCTTCATCATCTCTTCGCGTCTCTTTTTTTGTTGAAATAAGTGTATTGTAAGACTAGTCATCAAAATGATTTAAAATCCCCCAAATAATTTTAAGGGAGTGAAACTGTCATATATGGATTCGAGATGGATTAAACTTGTCCATATTAGCGATTATTTTCATATATTGCAATTTTATCACGATATTTCGCCAATTGTTGACGAAGCCTGTGAACAAAAATCATGAACGTCGCTATTTTTCCAATATATCCTCAATATTATCGATAATTATACGATGTGTATGAATATGTTCCAAAAATATCCTAGGCCCAAAAAAAAAGGATAATATGCTCAATATTCGTTGATAATATAATATATCGATATTTAGACCTTGGCCAATTATCAATTTAGTGAAGTGGAAGCAGATGTAGAGATAAACTGTCATAAAAGAGAAGCTTCAGATAACTGTCTTATTTTCTTCATTATACAGCTGGTAGGTATGTCAAGCAACCACCATATTGGCAAGCTTAAGCTGCTTCTCCAGAGACAAGTAATCCCAAAGACACACAGGTACAATGCATCACTTCAATAAGAATACAGCCATGAATTCTCACTTTTATCAATGGGTTCCATGTCAGGGGCCATATCCTCACACCGTGCGATATGTATAGCCCAGTTGTAATGCGTTCTGTCGATGCAAACAGAGAAGGAACGACAAATTCCGCAACTCCTCCCCAAACTAGAGTCTGAGAGGAGAGAGGAAAGGGTGACTGGTAAATCGCTCAGCACAGTAAGTTGGTCCAGAATCAGAATAGGCATGTATTGCTCCAGCTACCAGATAGCAACCCAAGAAATTGCAATGCCTGTAGGAGATAAGGTTAATTTTTAATAGAGAAAAGACACAGAAATTCGAGCTGGCAAACAAGGAAAATGGTTAATAATTCGCATGAATTTCATTAGAATTTCAAGGGAAGGCAACATCGCAGTAGTAGGGTATGCCATTCACTCTACAAAACGTGTTATCACCTACCGTGGAAGGATGGCTAGATACACAGCTAATTTCAACTGCATCAACAGCCACTGTCTTTTGACACTTCCGTCTGCATGTTGCAAAGCTGCAACAACATCAACGAGCGCATCCCACATACCTGCCAAATATGTAAAGTTCAAAGGCCCAGCAGCATTGTAAGAAATTCTCGTACTAGAGATGCTTTCAAATACAGTAACGGCAACTCCTATTCTATTAAGCACTGTTGCATCGAGCAAACCTTTCACGATACATCCATTTATTTTGTTATGTTTTGACTAACCATATATTACCATTTAAAAATTATACACATATAATTAGAAAGATCCTAACCATTTGATTCTGTGTTCAATATCCAAGCTTTTAGCCTTCCCAGCTCAGTCAATGGGATGGAACCAATCCTAACAAGCTTAGCTTTGGTTTGAACCTTTTTCAGAACTTCAATAAGCTGACCATCTCTTTGTTGCAGGTCCTCCTGGGAAACCTGTAAGGACATTAGGTGCGCCATTAGGTTCAACTAAAGCGTTTGTATCTTAGTGGTTTTCAACATAAATCAACCTGCATTGACATATTGATAGAGCCCTATAACTTTCTTGATTTAACTCTACTTAGTTTGTATAGCAACAGAAGAAATATCATAGGATTTCTAAAGGTTGCAAGTTGCAACTCATTCTTATTATCAGCATATTCATCAAACAACAAACTATAATAAGAGTTTCCGTAGGGAACCGCATACCAATAAAAGCAGATATTACTAATTATCTATAGTACCTGCAGGAAATCCAACAACCAACTTTTCCGAGCCTTCCTAAAGCATCTAACTGCCTCAGACCACTCCTCTACAGTACGCAACTGACCTACTCCTCCAATGGCAGGCAATTGCATTGCAGGCATCAAGGAAAGAGCACCTCCATGCCCTTTTCTATGTGGGATATGTACTCAATGAGAGTCAAGAGAAGCTTCATCTAAACACTGATAGAAACCCTTCCAGCATGAAATCCGTAATAAGCTTGTCTCATCAGTGCCATGTGATTGATATGAAGTAACAGAAGAGAAGTAGCTACGCACATCATCAAATAATTTCTCAAGCCTGGACCTGAATATACTTTATGAGGTCTACAAGATGATCCAGAAAGACAAGATTGCAGCTTCAACTCAAGAGTTCTGAATCTGGACAAGTCGGACAGCTCATCCAGGAAACTTAGGAGCTGATCAAATTTATTGGCATGAGCCATGAGAACTCTACACATTCCTCCCTTAGGGTTCCTTTTTCAAGAGATGATTCTGTTGGAACAACTCAGCAACCTGAGCCTCATATCTCATGCAGCGTCTGATGATCGTACCCCAATCCAAGGTCGGCAACCGAGGAGCTTGTGAAAGGCACCTTATCACAGTTATTACGGTGCCAACGTGAGCGACACTACCTGTCTGAATTTAAAATTCAATATATTAGAAAGACCCATACAGGAAATAAACAAAGAACAAAATCTTTTGCGTGTGTGTGTGCACAACTGGCACAAAAGGAAGAGGAAAAATGAATATCCATGCTGTAGGCCACAAAAGTTTGATCTATTGGCCAATGTGGTACTTATGAGTTATGATATATTATTTCTCCATACATGTAACTTGTAAGTTTGGTGATCTACACTGCATATGACCAATCTCTTTCTCTCTTTCGTTCAATTCTTGATGTGTTTTATTACTTGATTTCCCATTCTTCGAGCATAATCTTATCCTTCATAAAAGTAATCACACTAAGCAATATATGAAAATTTGACATCTCAGGTGTAAAATCAGAACAGATCTTCAAATGTGAATATAAGAATTCATATGCCCCTATTTATTGATTTCTTCATATCAAGGTATATGAGAGAATAAATGTAATAGTTATATCAACACTTCAACGGTGAAAAAATTGATGTCAGTTTTGTCACAAGTAATCATGTCTGTAATCCACCAAAAAGGAAAGAAAAAGCACACTTGTGGACCGCTACAAAAACCGGTAGCAAGAGATGTACCTCGGCAGAATTGAGATGCATCATCCATGAAGAAAGCTTCAGAACTGAACTGTCATCTGCAAAACTTTGAGAAACTGATTTTGAACCACCTCCATCGCTATTGATACTATTGTCAAAATTGCAAACTTCCTTGGAGAACAGATGATTTCGAAGAAACGAAACTGCCCATGCAGCATATTGTTGCAATTGATGGTCATCAGAATTCTGTGCAACCAGAAATATATCCTGCATCAACGACGTCAAATGCTGCTCGCAAGTAGGACTAGAAAGTAGAGGGCCCATGAGATATCGAGATTCCTGTTCAGCAGAAACAAGAGTATATATTTGCATGAACCAGAACAAGAACAAAATAACAAAAACTTGTATAACGCTTTCTTAAAATAGAAAAATATAACTACCTTGTGTTCATAAGCTGTCTGCATTGAGGTTGGAAGATGCATGTCAACCAGGATCCCAGCACCTGCTCCCATAGCATTAACAACTCCAAGCATTCCACTCAAATGGACTAAAGGAGGGCAAGGATTCGAATAACATTTTCTGAACAGTTCCAGTAGACCTTTTACATGTTCAACTTCAAGAGAATGCAATCCTCCATTCAGTATGCAGGCTATGAGGCTTCCTGCTCCTATACAAGATGCCATAAGTAAGCTGTGATAGAAGGTGCCAGATTTTTTGACAGACAATAATTCAGAAAATGAGCTCCCTGTAGCCATTCACTAAATGGCGTACTTCATTATCATCCATCAGTTCTAATCTTTGGCAGACTTCGACTAAATGGGAAGTGCAAGACAGGATCCTACTGATAAAACTATCTCAGAAACCCCACTAAAAGATCGAGACCTTTGAACTGGTGTAGTCATATGTGGAATCCATGAAATGATCAAGTCTTTTATCTTGAGAACAGCATCATGTGCCCCAGCTCTGTACAGTGCACCAACAGAACTCGCCAAACCAGAACAAGTCCAGCAACACCCCATATATCTTCGAGAGAGTCATCAGAGTTCTCATGTGACAGTTCAGCAGTTATATTCATATCTACACCAAATGTGTTAGGTGGAAAGTAGGCAGATAGACTTTCCATAACATCAGATGGCAAACTGAGTGAGCTGACCCATCATGAGTGATAATGCCTTAACGATCAACCAAGCAGTCTGCTTCCGTCATCTTGCCTGTTTCTTTGTCCATGGCAGAATTATCACCAGCATCAACCCTGGTAAGAAGATCTTGACAAGAAAAACCCAAGGCAAGCCCACAGGCTCCTCTGACAAGGGTGCTATTGCTACTACACATAACCTGAAAGCAACACTATTAGTGAAAAAAACATGGGCAAACGAAAAGGGGGAGATCAACACCAGCTTTTCGAAGAACAAATAAGAAGAAAAAAAAATTGAGAATGTCAAATAGAAATTTACAACCTCAACAAGTCCAGTGATATTCTCAAACTTTTGCTTATGATCTGTTACATGTAGGCAACTTGAGATCAATCCAAGAGAAATCGCAGCAGACCATTTGCGGTGTTCATGTTCATGCTGGACCAACCAATTCAACAAAATTTTGAGGCATCTGATTTAACAGCGTGAGCAGATGGAGGCAAGACCTAACAAACAGCAACCATAGCCAAAATTTAAGGATGAGTAAAGCATGTAAGACCTAGTATAGAGACATTACAAATTATAAAGTTAAACCTGCAAGAAAGAATATATCAGACCGTGGAGAGCCTTGAACTTCACTGAGTAAATTATTTTTCCTCTTTTGTTGCTATTTGAGTCAGAACTTCACTGACTAAGTTGAAGCTTCAGTTTCTGAGATCATTTTTCTAGTTGGATAATGCTGTCTATTTGTCACTCCTGTTTCTTTTCTTTTTTTCTTTTTTCCCTTCAAGTTCTTTAGATCATTGTAATATCAGGTCATAGTTTCTCAAGGTGTTTCTCTAGTATACTTTGCATATTGGGTTTTGTTCCTTTTTTTAATAATGTTTTTACTTTTTTTTAAAAAAAGTTAGCAGGATTCCAGCTATTCACGAGTCATGAAACCAATGAATCGATGCTCAAAATACTACCTGTGTAAGCAAAAATCAATATTGAAAAGAAAATGATATGATGTTTTCTTCAAATAATGCCAAAAATGCCCAAGGTATACAGGGCAGAATAGATTCCAACAAACTTTTCCATCCAATGGAAATCAAAGATAATTGATAAAGTTAAAACTGGATGGTACCATATCATACATCTTTTAACAGTAAACACAAAATATGCAAAGCATTCAGATTATGAAGTTGACATAAAATATCACACAACATAGAATCTTACCACACAAAGTGCACCAATAGCTAGTGCAATGTTTTCAGCAGATCTAGGAATAGCCTCTTCAGCTGCTTTTATCATACTCTACACATTAGACAAAGAAAAAAAGAAAAGGAGGAAATTTCAGCACAGGCTCAGATATCTAGAGGGTAAATTCTGTACAATTAAATGAAAACAAGACAGTGAACCTTCAGAATGTCACTAGCAGCTTTAGCGGTTTTATCCACGAGGACAGATGGCACTTTAGCATCAAAGGACAAGACATCTGCCCTCACCCAACGCCGCACAAAGGACTTCCATGATTGCAGTGAATAAGGGCAATAAAATATTTCTTGAGAGCTGAAGAGATGAAGCTATTTCCAACAATGCCTTCTCATATCCAGCATGTACATCCCGCAATCCCTATACACAAAATAATGAAGATTTGAAGCACAGTAAAGAGAAGAATAATGCTAATTTTCAACTATCTTACCTTTGATGTCCCTAAGGTGTTTATATCTTTAGGAGTGAAAGAAAGACATAGCAGGGCCGCACCAGGTAACTCTCTAGTGTCACTTCTTTTCCCTACAAATGAACTTTCATATGCTCAGAGCCTCAACCCCAAAGATAATTAAGTTTGATAAATCACTATCAACATAACTTAATCACTTCTCAGGACATGGATTTAATGAAAAGAAGTAATCATCTACAAAACTAAAATCAGCATTCAGTAATGAAAAGAAAGGAAACGTAAAGTCCCTTACACATGAATTTCATGCTATATAAACCTTTCGGTTGAGTTTTGAAACTTCAAGTCCTCTCTCTCTCTCTCTCTCTCTCTCTCTCCCTCCTGATACCAACTGTATTCATTTTGTATCTCTTTTAACACAATTTTCCTTTCAAAATGTGTCCAAAAAGAGTATCAGTTAAAGTAAGTTTGACCTTCTCTTTACTGAACAATCAAGAAAAGTAACCAGGATTTGTGTGTGCAAATGTTTGCACGGGTCCACCAGTTTCTCTTTACAAACCACATCTAAGACACCAATCTCTTAATACCTGAAGAAAAGATCACCTGAGGAAACACATCCAGCAGCTTCTCGATCTTACTTCCTGAAACCCTTTTCTCTTTAACCAATCTTCGCCTTGTGCTAAACCATATAAACATAATGTTCTCAATACTAATTAAATGTTTACTACAATTTTAATTTCAGCATGTAAAGGAAATTAAGTACTAGAGAAAAGAATTGACAAGAGAAGGATTAGAGAGAGAAATGTATTGCTTACAGGTGCTCATATGTTATGATCTTGACTTGAAGTTCTTCCATGGCCCTCAGTACAGTAATATTTGTTTCAGAGAAAAGCAACTCTGTGGTCATTTTCTTGAAATCTTGAATGTTCTGTTCAATATGTGATATCTAGGAAGACATATACATAACATAAAGAAAAACGTGTAAGGAGTATGCCAAAAAGAAAATAAATAATAAAGATGCTAATATTAGACAAGTGTCCAACAAAGCAAATAAATCACAAGATTTATGATAACCTGGTCAAGCAAAGAGCGGTCATCAAAACTGGGACCAGGTTAATACATAGGTTGCAGCCATCCTGAAAATTTACCTCATATTGGGCTAAGGCCTCTAAGGAAGAGGCCCTTGCCTTGGCCCATTGTGACTCCAGACCAGGGTGACCAGAGATGCTAACACTCCACAAGATTTGCAAGACATTCTTTGAGGCTTCAGGATATGCTTCAGCATCAATTGCACCCCACCTCAGAAGAAGGCAAATGCTGCCATTAAGCATAAATTAAAGGACTCTTGAGTATCTTTAAATTTCAAGAGATAATTGAAATACTCTTGAAGATTATCAAAATTTTAACCATGTATCTGCAAAAATAAAAAGGCAGAACTAAAGAACATAACCAGTTTTAACATTCGAATAAATAAAATAAACAGGTAGTCACTGAGGTAATATTGTCACAAACACTCCCAACACTCAGGTATATCCGGTCAATTTCGTCTAGGTTGCAAAACACCAGGAAATCCCTCTATGAGTTGAACTCAATCTCCAGCCTTAACTTTCCAAAAAAAGTAGTGCTGGCAACAATTAGGTGCTTTATGCTATAGTCAAGCAGGCCCACACAATGTAAACTAGCACTTCATACTTAGGCAGGCTTACCTATGAGCAAGAATTGTGTCTTCACGATAATCCAGAACATGCTTGGCGATGACATCCCAGGCTGTATAAAAATCTGAAGAGGAGATGTGAATAGAATTTACTCTCACTACACTGTACAGTAACTCATTTGAAAAAGAAAAAATAGTTTTAAATGGGTAAATTTCACTAGAGCCCCTGAACTTTAGGTCATATCTCATACTAGCCTCTGAACTTTAAAATATGACCCTTAAACCCAATCGTACGTTTAGTTGGTGCAAATCTTAAAGAGGGAAAATCGGTCATCTCCTTCTTTCCTTACACCCCCCTCCTACCATTTTCTTACTTTTCCGGCAAAAAATAGTTTCCACTCATTAATTGCAAAAAACAAGCCAAATTGATTATAACCAAAAAAATCATGCTCTAAGTTAAATGGAATTACAGGTTATGATATCTGACCCAGTCTTCCACCATAAGGATCCCAAATAAGTTAATAGACAACAGGATTACCAATTACGTCAGCTTCACATAGATGGGCAAGACTTTGAAAACCAAGAGCTTGAATTACAGGATCTTTGTTCTCAATGCAAGACTGTTGATTCAAAGCAAAAAGAAGACACCTTATAACTGAATGTATAGAGAAAACATAGAAAAAAAAGCTTCCAGAGAAACCATACCGAAACAGACAAGATGAGGTCCACACCCCTATCAGGATTTTTTCTACAAACATCCCGAATTGATGCGGCCATACTGATGCATATATTTCTCTCAGACTTTAATTCAGTGAACCCCTTTGGAAGCAACACTCCCTAAATGTTGAGAAGAAGCAATGCAAATACAAAAGAACAAATCAACAATAAAAAAGGGGAAACAGCAAGGCAACAGAATAAGCAAGCATCTTGGATATTTCTCCTAAGTCAAGGATTCAGTATTAAATCCAAGGATCAAATTATCTGAATCATACTATCATTTCCACTTCAACTTAGTACTCCTTTTTTAAGCCCGCCATGTTTTCAACAGACTTCTTTCTAAGGTAATCCGCAGTCCACTACATGTATCCTAATGTCCAGCCATGCAACCAGACTCGGGATATTTGTAGAGAGCCGTTAGATTTTAATCAGGTTAACTCTCCAGATATAAGAGTTGGAATTTTACATACAAGTTTGAAATAAATAAGTTTATTCTGGGAAGCATCAGAGAGGCCCAAATTCCAAACCATGATAGGATGGACTAGGAACATTAACTCTCAAGTTGATAGATGGACTAGGAACATAAGAAACACCACAACTAGAATCTTACCTGCAAACTTCCAAAGGCACGGTCATTGGTCTCCCACGTCTGACAAAGTAAACGAATGGCTGTCGCATATAAAGTTCTGAACATCAAATGAAGGATTTCAAAATGATAAAAATTAAAATTTCTTTATTAAAAAAATATAAAATTCCAGAATAGTACATAGTACATACGGTTTGGCATCCTTCTGAAGCATTGGTAAGATAGTCTGAACTACAAGAGGAATCATCATAGAGTGTGAAGCAAGAGCTGGAAGCATTGTCAAAAGTTTTGGCTGCCGGAACAGTTCAATGAAGTAATTAAGAAAAAATTGAGAAAAAGGAAGATCCACACAGAAAAGCAAGTATGCCTTGAAATTGTAATAAGACATAAGGAATATAGGATACAAAATGAAAACTTACCAACATAGTACAGCAACTTATATCTTTTCTAGTGAACATGTTATTGTAAAATAGGATAGCCAGCAATAGTTGAGCTCCCACTTTAGGATCCATAGTAGCAATAGCAGCCAAAGACTCTAGAGCAGTGCTCCCCAGTGACTGATGCATCACTAAAACACCAGAAATGGCACAGAGTAACAAGGGCATTCCTGCAAGAACACATAGTGGGGAATACGTGAATATGATGCAAATGAAATAAACTTTTAAACAAATGCACCAAATCAATCAACTACCAGTTACTGCATGCTTAGGAACTCAGGGAAATGCAGGCGCTTTCTAAGCATTTACCAGTTATGAATCTTTCTTGAGGCTGAGACAGAGGTAGGGAGGACTTTCGTCTCTCAACAATCCATAAAGTGTACTCTCGTAGTTCAGAAGCCCAAGATCTTGATACGTCATGAATCTCTTTGCCATCAGTTTTACCACTAGAAGCAAAATTTAAGAAGAAACTGGACGATGAATAAGGATCCTGAAAAGCAGAAAATTGATATTTTATAAAACCCAATCATCCTTTGCTAGAAAAGAGTTGCAGGTTTCTATTAGAACCGTAAAAATAATGTCAATCTACATGCAATATGGACAAATACTATTTTCTTACTTCTTTTAAGAACAGTTTACAAACTTAGACTCCTGCAAGAACGAATAACTATGAATTGAAAACATAGAACACATTCATACAACTCTAAGATAAATAGCCACAGGATACTTCGATTTTGCAAGAAGATTAAAACACCCTTATTTTAACAAACAAAAGAATTCCGGATATGAGAAGAAAAAAAAGTAACTACACCTGAAACCATAGATGCCGTAAGATTCTAAAAACAATAGATCCAGGTGTGCTTAGGGATGGATATCCTGCTTCTTTGCTTGGTTTATGCGTTGGTGCTATCAAAACTGTTACTAAGAGCTTTTCTAACATGGCAAGCAAATCTGTAGCTGCTCCTTTGACATACTTAGAAGGAGACGACAGTAGGCTAATGACAGGAAATATGAATAAAAGCTCCTCACTCAGAACACATGCTGTTCTGTCAACAACATATTCTACAAGAGCAAATAAAATTTTATATAAGCAAAAAGCAGTAGAGCATCATGATGGTATAGAAGTAGTAAGATAAACAGACTAACAATTTGTAACAGATTCTTAGAGACACCAACACCTTTCACAAAATTGCATAAATGTAGAGATTATCAAATTGTAAATAAAATAAAATTTGAGCATACCATTTCCGTACTTCCACTTCAAGAGAAGGTGGAGAAGTTTCAATGTAGAAAGTTGTTCATGCTCAAGCTCTGACTGAACGAGGATAATAAATAAGGTAAGCATAGCTGATGATAATTTAGGCACATAATGCAACCCAATATCTTTCTGGGCAAACAATAAGTGCTTGGACAGTTCAAGTATGGGCTCAATCAAACCAGAGTGCATGTGAGCAGCTGAAGAAATTGAAAGAATTTTCTCAAACAGTTCCAAACCACAGAGATGAGCCTCAGCAATCAGCTGCCAACAAGGACAGGACAAAATGATTTTATCATTAATTCCGGGGGAAAAAAAACATGACCAAAGAGAGAGGCTAAGAATATACCGATCCAGTTCCAGCCAAATGCCTCAGAACCACTGTATATGCATCCACCATACATTCCGCAAAATATATGAAATTCCTAAAATCCTGAGAATTATCAAGAAATAACCTAAGTAGCATCAAGCCAAGTCGAAACAGTTATCACACCCATCTCCCCCACAAAATTTAAATTATTCCCCCCCAACCACAATACAGTAGAAGCAGAATAAGCCTACTCACTTGTGAATTCTTGTGCGGAACAAATGGAAGACAGTCTGTTAACATTTTAAGGACAGGCATTGCCTCAAGAGGAATTGAACAACAAAGAGAGGCCATCGATGATATTAGATGCCTTGCGAACAGGGATGAAGTGTCCGAAAAAGGTACCCTTAAGATTGAATAATTTAAGAAGGATCTTAAGAATTCACATACTTCCACCATTCCCAACTGCTTATTATGTGCCATAAACAATAAAACTTGCTGCACAAGTTCAGACTCAGCGTCGGGTCGGCATGACAGAACCTGTCAACCATCAACACACACCGAATCAAGATTCAAACTCTCCATTCATTTACCTGCATTCTTATAATATTCAAATCATTCAACAAAATCAACATTCAAATTATACTACTAAGTTTGGTTGTATCAAACGTGCAACACCCCATTAGTTTCGAAACTGAATTCAAATTACACTAGACCGTTTTGTTCAAAATTTCATTCCGCAGTACAATTCCTGTTATCCAATTTCCATACAATGCCATTCATCATTTCTGTTCAACCAAACAGAGTCTAAATAAGAACCATTATTTTCCTTTTACCTTAACAAAGGGGTGAGTCTCCGTGGCACTGAACGACCACTTGCCATTGCTCCTCTGAAACCCTAACCGAACTAGATACCCCAAACCTTTGACGAAAAGGTCGACGAACTTCGGGCCGGATCCTTCGAGTGCGGACTGGAGCTCCAGTAACCCGCGAGAGATATCTATTTTGGAGTCCGTCACGAGGCTGCATAGCTCGCGAACCGATTGGTCAACAACAGCTGGGGAGGTGGAGTGGAGGCACTGAGAAATGGCTTCTCTTCCGGGTTCGGACTCGGAGTCCAAATACTTCGGGGCAGATCGGAGCTTCAAGAAGATTGAGATTACGGCGTATTTTTGGAGCGACGGTTGAGGAACCCGGGTTTTCTCCAGCAAGGGAGTGTACGAGTCCATAGAGAGAGAGAGATGAGAGAGAGCAAGTTACCGTTTCAGGGAAGATGAATAAGCGGTGGCGCGTAAAGTGATACGACGTCGCAGATATGTGGTTTGGATTTTCGGCCCGTACGGTTTGAATCTGCTGAATCTTTTACTAACGCAGTCCAGCCCAGTTGTGCCAGGGCTCATTCGTGCAAGTTGGCGCCCAATATTTTTCTTAACAAACCCTCATTTTCTGAAAACATGTCCCAATACCTTTGTTGGGATGCACTTTTAAGAAATAATATTTATGCAGTATCGCCGGCCGGCTATACTTTTAAGATATTCTATTTTGAGGTATAGCCGGACGGCTATACTGTTAACGTATTATAGTTATCACGTATTTATCGAGTATATCCGTACGGCTATACAGGCAAGCTATTACATGTCAGATTATGGCCGAGCGGCTATACCTATCAGATTTTATATTTATTGGGTATCGCCGCACGGCTATACGGTTAAAATATTCTATTTTGTTGTATAGCCGGGCGGCTATACTGTTAGACTATTATATTTTGTGGTATAGCCGGCCGGCTATACTCTTAAGATATTATATTTTAGAGTATATCCGCACGGCTATACTGTTAAAATATTCTATTTCGGGGTATAGCCGACCGGCTATACGGTTAATTGGTTTTCTTGAACTAGATTCATCCAATCCGTCGTCTGACGGACACAAATTTCCAGATTCATCCAATCCGTTGTTGACATTGCCAACAAGGTCAGTCTCTAACCAAGACTAATATCAAGAGCTCCTAAAAGAACAAATCTTACGTGCCAAATGCAGGCATTTACATCACTGGAACCACTGAGTATGTGAGCAGCATCAGGGCTAATAATTGACTGAAATCCAAGGCAGCAATTTCCAGGTAATGTTCCTTCGAGTAGCCAATTCAGTTTACAACAGAAACGATGCAAATCAGAGTAAACAATACCTGTTGTCTATACATGAGGCTGAAATAAACACTCCGTTTAAATCTTGGGATAAGCTAGTTATACCATGTAATCTTCTTTCCTGAAATGAAGAGGATCGCTAGCTGTCAAGACATCATCAATATGCTACTTTCCCACAAAGGAAAAAAAAACATACACGCACACCCAATATGACTAGATCTCCAGCTATTGCTGTCCACCCCATATCATCAAGGTGGACATCAAGGCTCAGTTCATCTTTATAGCTCAATATAATCTTCCAGACTAACCTTCTCAGTAGACTCTAGGTGAGGGGATGTCTGTGTGACACGACATTTTTCAGAGTTCTAGTATTCCAAAACTTGACAATGCTGAAATGAAGCATAAGATCAAATCAAACAATACATATCACTTGGTATGACATAATGTTTGAGTAAGAAATTTAGGATTCAATCCTACCATTTTACTGCCACTGTTCCGTACGGTATATACCTGTCCACAGCTCCAGCAGTAGCAATGGAAACCTCATCTTTAAGAGAAAGAACTGATGTGATGCTCATGGAAGCAGCCTGAAAAAAGCTAAGTCTGAGTAAAGAGTACGTAACAAATTTAATAAGAACTATTATCAGAAATAAAACTTTCCGCTCCTTACACGCTTTGCCCGTGGAAAAAGATGAGCCCCTTTAACCAAAGCAGTTGAGCTGCATGAAAATATTATAAATTTATTTTGGAAAACAGAAAACAAACTTATCCCGATTCTCGAAATGAAAATAGCTTTACATGAAATAATTTACCATATTGCAATCTCCCCGTGAATATTTTTGGAGCTTGAATTACATTTCATATCCCAAAGAGCAAAGAAGCCATCTCTCGAACCAGAGATAATAATCTGTCAGATAAGAAGAATCATTGGTTTAAATTAGTTGTAATTCTCATTAGTTATTTCAAAACGCCTCTCCTAGTGAAAGTTCGTCGGCCCAGGTCTATGCCGGTGACATTTGCCGGATTCGACCTCTCCCAATAAAAGTTACCTATGCCGACAATCTTTCGTCGAGAGGGGTCTAAGCTAGCCGAATGGCTATACATTTAAGATATTCTATTTTGGTGTGTAGCCACTCGGCTATACTTTTAAGATATTATATTTATTGTGTAGTTATCGAGTATAGCTGTGCGGCTAAATTGTAAAGCTATTATATTTGGAGTATAGCCGAGCGGCTATACTGCTAAGATATCATATTTATCGAGTATAGCCGCCCGGCTATACGGTTAACCTATTGTATGTTGGCGTAGAGCCGCACAGCTATACTGTTAAAATATTCTATTTATAATATCCTACTTATTTTAAAGAGATATTTAGTGATATACCCATTCTTAGCACTAATATTATAAATAAACCCTACACAATTGAATTTCTATAAACATACCCAAAAAAAAACCCCAAAAATGACAGCTGGTCATATTAAATTTAATATTGATTATTAAATTACTTTGATGTCCTATTGAGTGTTTTGGGTTGTTTTTATGAGATTTTGGGGTTGGGCTTGTTTTAAGAAATTGATGGCAGTTTTGTAATTTATAAGAAGTTAAAAGCTTTTTTGTTATGTTGTAAATGGACTTTGGGTGTGTTTCTAAAATCCATTTCATATGAGGTATTTTTATAATTTGGGCCTCTATATTGGGTATAATAGTGAATCTGACTATTTTAAAATGCTTTTAGGCTATTATATTTTGGAGTATAGCCGTGCGGCTAGACCTTTAAAATATCCTATTTATAATGTATAGCCGTACGGCTATACGCTTTAAATATATCCAACAATAAAAATCTGAATTTCTTTGCAGCAAAGGTAAGCCTTAAGAAATTTCTTTAAGGAATAATTAGTATTTAAATATTTTACTAAATTCATAAATTACTTAATAAATAATAATGAATTATTATAAATTATTTTGTGGAGTTAATTTTTTATTTTTTTATATATAAAATTAGTTTTTTTAATTTAAAAAAGAAAAAGTGATGAAATCCATTGTTTAAAAAAAAAAAATTTGGTTTTTCTATTTAAACCCCACACTTTTCTTTGTTCACCCAAATACTTAAATCATTAAGCTCTTAAGTTTTATTATTGTGTAAAAAGACAAAAAAGGTCATCCAACTTAATATTTAACCCTAGTACATCTACACACCCCACCACTCTTCATATTAAGTTTTAGAAAAATAAAAACTCCTTTACACCCTATTGTCATATTACTCTTCTTTTTCAATTCAAAAAATCTACTACACTCTCATATTCTCTTTACAAACTCTAAATACGACATGCAAATAGTAGCTTGTGGGTCGTCAATTGAGTTTGACAACAATATTTTTATCTCTTTAAGTAATGTGAGGTTAAGGTGAACTTAGAGTGATGAGAGGCAAGACAGCGGGGTATGGGTGTGAGGTTGATGAGTTTTTTTTGTTTTTTTTTCTGCCATATGTGTATTTGGGGGTAGTTTGGGAAGATAGTGGGGTTTTCTTTGAAATTTTGAAATTTTGAATTAGAAGTTGGGGTGAACAAAGAGAGAAGCGGGGTTTAAATAGAAAAACTCGAAATTATTTGGGTGAAAATTTAAATTTGAAAAACATCAAATAAAAATGAGAGACTAAAGGTAGCAAAATTAAAAATTCAGCGTCGCTTAACCCAAAAACTCTGGGGCATTTTAGACTTGGCCCGTCCAATTATGGTTTCGATTCTGAAAATTTTTGACCCGTTTTCTTAAGCCCAACTAACAAACTTTCTCTTTTTATATTTATAAAATATAAAAAATTTCCTTCGTAAATTCCCTATATATATGCTCTTTTCTTTCTCAGGAACTGACTCAACTGAGACCTCCTCCATTCACAAGGATGAAGACGCCGATGACACAGCTCGACGACGAAACGATGCGCAGCATGGCCATTGGAGCCGTTTTCTCAGACTTTGTGAGCTCAAAAATTCTCCTTCATATGCTACTTTGTTCTTCTAGCAATTATTATGATTAGCGACTATTGAATTTTATGCACGACCAGGAAACTTTATTTGTTGCGAATTCAAGCTGGTTTTGATTTGGTTTGGAATTAGAGTTTACTGTTGTGATTGTTCATATATGCAGTGAGCAATTTCACATATTCATGAAATTGATTAAACTTATTCTTATCAAAGGAACGTTGAAGAATTGAGGGTTTGAATTGGAAAGATTAACTCGTCGCTATTATTAAAATTAAAGTATAGGTTTTAAGAGTGAGCCGTTTGTTCAAATTTTCAGGGTGGGAAGATAAATTCACTGGATTTTCACCGCAAGGATGATTTACTGGTTACGGCTAGCGAGGATGATTCTGTGCGACTCTATGACATTGCAACTGCTAAGTGAGCTAACTATTACCTGATAAAAGATGTTTATGTTGCAAGAAATCGACTATAGCTGTATACATATATATTTACACACACACACACACACTCACACTCATGGATGAAGTAGTTTACCTTGTGCCTTGATCTTATCAGTCCTTTTGTTTACGAGGGAGCATTTGATCAAACCGGTTTCGTGTTATTAAATTGGACCCCGTTGTTGTTGTCAGTTGAAGAAATACAAATTCTTTCAATTGCATTTCTGTGGTATAATTCTGTTATCAGCGACATGTGCTATCTAAGCTTGTTTTATGCCATGGTTTCTTGTAGTGAGACTTCATTGATTTTAAACATTTGAGCATGTCTTTGTGTATGGCTCTGACTGTTATTAAGTGCATGTCCACTTTCTAGTTCTTTCCTTCATCTGAAATTTATGTTTCATAGATGCAGCGCACAGAAACCAATGACGGGAAACTGCATCAATATTGTTGCTTCTTTAATAACGTTTCTTCATGAACTTCAGGTTGCTAAAGACCACATTCCATAAGAAACATGGAGCAGATCGTATATGCTTTACCCATCACCCAAGTTCTGTTATATGCTCTTCAAAATACAATCTGGATGCCACTGGAGGTGACTTTTTTTTTAACGTGCCATTAACTCCTAATTCCTTTGATATTATTTTCTAAATGATGCTGACTGTTTCCTTAGCAGAATCACTGCGGTATCTGTCAATGTATGATAATCGATGCCTTCGCTACTTCAAAGGACATAAAGAGAGGTTTGAATCCTTTGACTTTTGTGGTACTAATAATAAGCCCATGATGTGTTTTGGATCACTTGTTATCTGTTTATTAAATGGATGCTTATTTTCATAAATTGTCTATTTAAGGCAGTAGGATCTGTACGTTTTACTGAATATCAATTTAGAGAATGACACAATTCAAAAAAAGCATCAGAGAGTAAGGTCAGAGTCACAGTAGTCACTTCATGTTCTGAACTTTGTGTGAAATGCTAGTAAACATGATACTTAGAAAGTCTGTGTGGTGCTAGTAAACATGGGTGCTTTCAGTTTGTTGTTTATGATGTGTAAACATACATGGCTTTTATGATGTATCTGAATGCACACAAACAGCCATGGGTTCTCGGACACACACTACTAATTCTGAGTTCGATCATAAACAATGAAATAAGGTCTTATCCCTATCTTATAAATAGACATCACTATCAATGCTGTTAATTAGTTAAGTTTTATCATTCTTTTCCCTTTCTCTTTTTGCAAACTTGTTTTGCTTATTATTTCCATTAACTGCTGCTGTAGAATTGTTTCCCTCTGTATGTCTCCAGTCAATGATAGCTTCATGTCTGGTTCATTGGACCACACTGTCAGAATATGGGATCTCCGTGTAAATGCCTGCCAGGTAGGTTCTTGGTTTTAATACATAACATGATAAAGGTAGGCTAAATTTGGGAAAGTAATCTTGAGAACTTGAGATGCAGTTCTAAGACAAGATTGCAATTCATGCTTACAGGGAATTTTGCATCTACGTGGTAGACCTACAGTTGCCTATGACCAGCAAGGTCTTGTTTTTGCTGTGGCAATGGAAGGGGGTGCGATTAAATTGTTTGATTCACGTTCCTACGACAAGGTTATAACCTATGAATAAATGACTTTGTTTGGGGATAATTATGAATTTTCAAATCATGAATTTAACTAAAATTTTCCTAATTAGGGTCCATTTGATACCTTTTTAGTTGGTGGAGATACTGCTGAAGTTTGTGATATCAAGTTTAGCAGTGATGGCAAATCAATGCTCTTGACAACCACAAACAACAACATCTATATTCTGGACGCATATGGAGGAGAGAAGGTGTGTTTTCCTGTTGAGATTATTTTGTACTCTCTCTGGGTGTGTTACAACAATATGCCTAAAATTTATAACTTTCCTTTGTGCAGCGCTGTGGGTACAGTTTGGAACCATCTCCTAACGTAATAATAGAGGCAACTTTTACCCCAGATGGCCAGTATGTCGTGTCAGGTATATGTATTTTGCACTGCTTGTTACGATGTGGCATCTTATCTAATGTTCTGATTCTTATTATTTTTTACTTCATTTTTGTCAAAGGCTCTGGAGATGGAAACTTGCATGCCTGGAGCATCAACAAGCGGAACGAGGTAATGATTTATATATTTTGATTCTGCTTATGATTGTAGGTTTTGAATGCTAGTCATGAGGACTATTTACTGTCTCATTTAATTTGATAAAAATGGTGTCCTGGTCATCCACTTTGGCCTGTAGTGGGTTGTAAATGCTTGGAAACAGAACAACATTGCTCAAATACACCAATTAAGTGCCTTGTACCATGAGATTATAGATGGAAAATTTTGAGTCTCCAACAATCGGTAATTTCTTTTTTCAGCAGGTGGCATGCTGGAACAGTCACATTGGAGTTCCATCTTGCTTGAAGTGGGCTCCCCGCAGGGCCATGTTTGCTGCTGCATCATCTGTTCTTACCTTTTGGATACCTAACGACTCAAACGCCGAGCCGACTCGCATGGACACCGAAGCCGGTGTTGAAGCCGAGCATCCGTCTCAGTAAAACCCTTTCGAGTTAGTTCCTCCTATTAATTTCATCTGCTTCCAATGTTCTTAGTTCCTCCTATTAATTTCATCTGCTTCCAATGTTCTTCAATTGGCATTGGTTTGTTTGTAGGGTCAGAGTAGTCTAGCCTCTTGAGATCAGTTTAAACTTAAATGTACCATATAAAAAGAAAAAAGGCTTTCTTATGGACAAAAACGGCTGTGTGTTAACTTATTAGCAACATTTTAGAAGATAGTATACTCGCGGGGGGCCTATGCAAAATGACCCAATTTGAGTACTGGGTTTTGGTTCAGATCGACATCGAGCGAAAGCACAAGAGAATAGTTGTTGCTGAGTGATAATCTTAGAGTGACTAAAATAAATTGCATAGTATGTGCAAAAATAATCTGTGCTTCCAGGTGCTACAAATTTTGTCCCTGACTCCCCCCCGCCCCCCAGCTGGTTGGTATGTGTTTCTTTTTAATCCTTTTGTACCTTTGCTCTGCGAGGAGGTAGCCCGAGTTCCGAGCCACGTGAAGGGTTGAATAGGGTGTGACCATGTATATTGCTTATAAGTTATTTCTTTATTAGGATATGGGCTTTCCTCTCCCACTTTTTTGTTTGTGTTTATTATTATTATTATTATTTTTGGTGGTTGCTCTTTCTCTGAGAGAGAGAGAGAGAGAGAGTGTGTGTGTACCAATAATTTGCATAATTAACATTTAAGGACATACATTAAACACAATGTAAATAATTACACAGGAAGTGCCAGATTCTAGAGGTAACCATAACCGAAATTCATGGACCTCTTAAATTCTGCCAAAAACCACCCCATTAGACTCTTCTACGTACGAGAACAAGTACATGACAATACGAACAGCACTAGATACGTACACCTCTGAAGCCAGCCAACATCAACACCTAACAATAGAAAACCACCCGAAAGAGGTTACGACATTATTTCCCTTCCATTCTCGTATACAACCTCTCTAGCCTTTCTTCCACTTCAACGACTTTCATGTCCTCCTCTTTTCGTCTTGGGCCTTACTCTGGATGTCTTGGCTGCCCTCCTTGGTCTTCTGTCCCACAAACTCCGCCATATCCGCTGTGCGCCTCTTCATCTGGTCCAGCTGCTCCGGCACCAACCCCGCGGCCCTCCGGAGGTAGTTGGTGACCCAAGACAGAGACGAGAGTGCAGTCAGTCCAAAAGCGCCCGAAGTTAGAAATCCGGTAACGGCCAGGCCAATGACAAAGAGAGCCGGGACAAGAACCGGGCTGAAGATGATGAAGAGTGGGGTGGCCAACAGAGCCCCAATGATGGTGCCCATGAGTGTGAGACCAGCTAGGGCTAGCAGGGTTCCGCCAACAGGAAGGCCAGTTATGACTGCGAGGACCTGGCCAGTTGACGGGCCTTGGTATTGGGTCTTGGCCCCAAGGCCATGCTGGGGACGAACTTGGAGCTGGTGTGGCTGAGGACGATCCGCCATTGATGAGAGCTGAGCTGAGAGGAGAGTTTTGGGAGTGACGAAACTTTGGACAACTTGTTTCAGAAGAGTGATGAAGCAAAAGATGGATGTGAATGGGATTGAGATAAGAGGAGAGGTGGTGATATTTTATAGAAGGGTGGTGAGTGCAATGTGATGACACGTACGTTTGAGATGGTGAGTTGGGGCTCTGCATGAGGAACAAGTTTCAGTGCAGCTTTTGGGCACTACCAAAATACTGAAAAATAGATTTAATTCGAAAGTTGAGGTGGCTTTCTGTGAAGGAGTCTTTATTGCCACCATTTCGCGTTCGGTTCTGCCACATTGTTTGGTTGCCTGCGTGTTTATTAAAATGGGCATTACTCTCTCGAGCTTGTCTTTTTCTCTTATTTTGCTTTCTAGTCTACATGCATAAGCCCCTAAATAAAAATTAGCGAAATCTAAATACATGTTAAGTTAATGGGTGGAGACTTCTATAGACACCCCAAAGTGAAGACCCAAGTGCTAATGGGTCTAGTCAAGTAAAAAAGGACTTTGATTTTATAGATCAGTGAACTTAAGTTCGAACCTCCATGACACTTTGATATTGTGTGTGATAATATCTTCCTCTTGTAATTAGCCTTTAAATGGTGTAAAGAAATGAAAATGCAACTTGTAAAGAGTTAAATTTGATATATGTCTAAATGTTGGTGTTTAAAACAAATTTCATTTTTATGAAAACAAGTTTTGGTGTCCACAGAATCACTCCTCTCTTTTTATTCATAAAAATTGATGGGTTTTACCTCAGTGGTGAGGTCCCTCCCCATTCCCCCGTCACCCATTCGAATTTTAGGAAAAGTGCTCCCTTTCTAATGCAATGTATCGCTAATTCTATATATATAAATAATAATAATAATTTGATGGCTCCACTCGAGTCCTTTGCCTGTCGGGGAAAAAAAAGGAAATTTGAAAAGGCCATTTTATTTGTACACACCAAGGACATATATTTGACTTCATTTTTGTACAAGTGCAAGGTATGTGCATTCATTTTTCAAAGTACATTATTAACAACATTGTAATTGCATCCTGCCGTTTGCCTCATTTATTATTAGGCCTTTCTCTGGATGTCTTGGCCCACCTTATCCATCTTCAGGCCCATGAAAAGATAGCTGGCATGAAAACTGGGCTGAAAATGATAAAGAGCAACGAAAAAAAACTTGTGTGAAACACGGATAGAAATATTTTGCTATCTCTGACATGATGATAAGTAGAAAGTTATCACGCGTGACATGCAGTGATTGACCAGTACAGCAGAACAGTGATATCCATGTTACGCAAATGTTTCTCAGTTGAGGCATATGTCTAATCAGTCAATCAAAGAGATTCCAAGGACATTGATTCATTTAGAAGGAAAGGCAATCGCATGTCTAGTCTATGCTGTTGGGCCTTTTGGGTTACCTTTTTGGGCGGTTTGTGGTGGCCCAACATTTGGAGAGCGATCGACATGACCTAGGCTAGAGGAGGCTATAGCTGGGACTACCCCAAATCGATTAGGACGTTTTGACACTTTTCTTTTTTTCTATTACGCGTGCTCCTTTCTGCATTGCTTAAAGAGAGACATTTAGCATCTTTTCTTGTCATTTTACTTCAATTTCATTTGTTACTCGACTTTCCTTTTCTTTCTTTTTTTTTAAATCCCACAAAAGTGAGCCCTGTTCGAAAGTTTAACTCAACATCGTCTCTAATAAAATGAGGACTGAATGCCACCATAAAGCAACACACTAACCATTGCCCCTCAGCTACACAACTTCATCAAGTCATAGCTTTAATTGCATTGCTACGAACTAACTAATACAAACAAGCGCATGAATCCATCATATTATATATATAACCTGAACTAAAACTAAACGATTCGAATTATTGAAATACAATGTGTAATGAGTCCTTTATATAATGTTAAAAGTGAAAATTAAAAGTGAAAACCCGACATCAAAATCTTTGTGCCTAGCTAGTGCTATCTATATACATATACGTACTACTGTTGAAGCATCAGCATTGCAGTCAGTACCCTAATCTAATGTAGCCTCCCCCGCAGCTAGCTTAGTAGCATCAACCAAAAAGGAAAAACAAACATGCAAATATATGCACGTGACATTATTACTATTTGTTTTGACCCCAAGACCACAATTATAGTACGAAACATAGTTTAAATATTTCATCCGCAGAAACAAGTTGTTTGATATTCATATGTCCAAAGGGACATGATGATTGGTAAATATATAAATAAATAGATATATATATATATATAAATAAAGGGGAAAATAATAATAATGGGACCGCCAATTAATAAGTTTCTGTGAAGGAGCAGGGTAGAGGGTACCCTTTCAATCGTCATCACACATGGCATGCGCAAACAATATCCCTTTTATGGATCTTCATTCATAGAATCATCTCTGTGCGACTTACTGTATATATAGTACCTTTCAGAATTATTCAGACTGTGACAGAAGAGGAGAGAGGACCCTGAAATTCACAAGCAGTATATATCTTCTTATTAAGGTTAAAATATATTTGATTGATATAGCTAGGTGGGTGAAGAAGTCAACATATTTACAGTGGCTGCCACTTGTGCCTGTCCCTGAAAAAACAGGTTATTCTGGGTGGCAGGGGGAGATATATAAAAGTTCTTGTGAGAAGAAGGTCTCTTGTTTGAAAGATGAATTGATAGATAGACATGAGGCATTGAGGCAACACAAAAAGCAATAGGAATATCCCACAACAACACAACCCACATCCATCAAATTGTCATTTCTTCACACTTCACACACTAAGACCTGATACAATGCATGGATAAGGAAAAAGGGGGACGGAGGGAGCCCATATGTTGGATATGATCGACATGTTCTTTTTATCAATTCTCCCTTTCACTGTATTGTTCTCATATATATAGTTATTCTTATCCGGATATCCGCACTTTATTATCGTGGTGGATGCTATTATAAAAAGGTATATGAAAGCAGAGAGGGATAGTATAAAGTATATGGCATCCACACATGATAGTAAAGTCTAGGATATCTCGTTTGTAGAATGGAATTTCTGTATATATATATAGACAATATTTAATAATTCTTTTAGGTTTAGGGGTCTCCCTAGATTCTTTGTTTTTTTTTTTTTTTTTTTTTTTTTTTTTTTTTTTTTTTCTAACTAAACCATACCATCTACATTCATAGATCATCCTTGCAAAAAATTAGACAAATCAGAAACCGTTTCGATATTCAATAGTGTCATACAAAATCAATGAACACGGTACTTCAAGAAAGTACTAAAATTTCAATAATTCAATTGAGTGGTCAAATGATATCAGATTCAAGTTTTTTTTTGTAAAGATGATCTTTGAATGAGTATCTACAAAATAGACGGTTTAGATGAATGAAATACAATTCAAAATGGGCTCTACAAAAGTGTTCCTCAAATAAACTTATTTGAGAAATCTTTTAACTGAGTTTAATTTCAGATATCGTACATATATAACATGCAGCTTATATAGCTAGTAAATAACCAGGCCATGGAGAGAGATGTTCACTCTGAAACAAACGAAATACTAGCTATCTAAATGGACATGGACTGAGATTATTAATCAACCAAACAAATCACCTCTAATTAACCAGAGCTTCATTTGGGGCAAGCAGTACACATGATGTTATAAATCAGACAAGCAATAAGATATCTGAAATTAATGCTTTCAATGTTATATATCACAGGAGCCTTCATAGACTGATCCACATACTTATTACACCATTCTAAATCCAGTATAGATACACCCGGAGAAACCCTAATATATATGTAACCCTAAAAACCGGGTCACCCAATAATAATAACTATTTTTTATTAATAATGGACATCTATTGGCACATAACATCTCATGTCATATGAGACTAACTCTACATATTTCCTTCTCCTCATCCTCCTCCTCTCTCGTTTCTATCTCCTCCGTAAGAGTCTGATCTATTCCATGGAGAAGAAAAATACAACCCAGGATTTTGACCAAGAGACCCTCCTCCATGACCCGTATTACTATTAGTCCTAGTCCTCCCGGACTGGGATGCAATTGGAATTTCAAGATTGTTGCAGCTGCTTGCTGCATAGCGGATGAGATCAGCATTTGTGGCGTCCAGCTCCTTCTGGAGGCGAATGACTTGCCTTTGGAGGACTGAGATGGCTCCTACGCATCCATACACCGGATCTTTCATCCGGGCCTCCGCTTCGTAGGCCAAAGAGTTGACTGCATCCTCTCTCTGATGGGGGAGCACCTCATTCAGAAGCTTGCTTACATTGCTGGCACCAAATATCTTGTGGACATTTGCAAACTTTTGTGGTTCCTCAGGTGGGAAATAGGGAGCAAATATGCAATCCGGCATGCATTTTCTCCTCAAGAATTTGCACGCGGCGCAAGGAGAATTCGTATAACTAGAACTAGATGAAGCCATCCTCCAGTGGACCAGTTGTGCTGCATAAAATTATTAAGAAAATTAATTCCAATATTCAAATTGAAAGTTAAATACCAGTGAGCCCTCACCAAAGCCATAAATTACATATTCTCTTGACATAATTTAATGTCTTTAATGTCTTCTTTTGAATTAGAAAAAAGATCAAAATAAGATTGATGAAGTTCCTGATTAAACTGACATCAATGATCATAATGCTGAATTAGCTGGTTAACTAAGAAAAGGGCTTTCGTGTTCACTTTTGGAGGTATAACTAGTACTTCTAATTAGGGTAGCCGACATAGAGTTGCTAGTTGCATGCTTTCTTGTTAAATTTCAAATTTCTTTACTTTTTTGCCAGACAATCAGCAGTCTTTCTTGAATTTGAACGCTACTGCAGGTTTTGAATTTATATCCATCCAAAGATCCTATAAATATAAGTTTTAGATTTCAAAAATTCCAAATGAGGGAAAACGGAAGAAAAGGCAAGAAAATCAAAGTACCTAGAATTTCCTGGTTTTATATATAGTCTCTTGAATTTGTTCCCAAAAAAGAAAAAGAAAAAAAAGTAACAGTACTTCCTCCCTGATTTCTTTGCTCTCTCTCTCTTTCTCTCTCTCTCACACACACACACAAATTAATCTGAACCTGGACTTACTGCAAATAGTTAACTCCTTTCTAATATGTACATGAATCAAGTGCAGAGCCTGCTGATCGATGCAATTATATATATATCCATTTTATTACTGTGGGGTGCAGTTCATTTTCTAATTCCACAACCCAATGTCCTGGATCAAACCCTTCAACCTAATTAAAGTCAAGCGCAACGGCTTCCCACCGCAAAAATTAGGCATTCAAATACAATCAATTATAGAAATAACAAAGAGGTCTGCTTACTTACCCTGCTTCTCTCTCTGATTTCGGTTTTCTGATCATCAGATGCAAAAATATAGATTAATATTTAATCAATTACCTTTTTCTCCGTTGTGTGAAAAAACTCTTTCAAGATCTCTTCTGTGATTGTACCATGAAGTTGCAGGGCTTTTACTGCTGGAGATGTGAAAGTTCAAAGAAGATCTAAACCCTAGCTAGCTATATATAGTTCTTGCAGGGACAGGAAAAAGGGAGAGAGAGAGCTTCACTGCAACCACAGTGACAAAAAAGTTTATAAAGGAATTGATGATGAGTGAGAAGTGAGAAGTGAGAAGGAGGCAAAGAGCATTTCAGTGGGGGGGGGGGGGGAGAGAAATGGAAAGCAAAAAGACAAGCGTAATAAATCATATGGGCTACCAAGGAAAAAAAAGGATGAGTATGACTCTGCCTTTATAATAATATCAATCACTATTCAGCAACAATTGCCAGATTAATCACTGCTTAGCTTGTTTCCATGTCCTATCAAATGCTGCAAATGTCTAAGCTAATACCATGTTTTCTCCTTTATACTAAACCGATCTAATAATATTAAACATTTTTAATTACAAAATGATTATATGGAACCCTTGATTAATAATGTATGTTAGAGTTTAAGTTTGTTATCGAAACCGGAAATGCGCATTTCATACATCGATAGTGTGCTCTCTTGTTGAAGATCATCAGAAAGTACTTTAATTAGATCACTATATTGATGTTCATGCACCAAAATTAGTATATATTTAAACATAATTCAGAGACAGATGTTTACTAGTATATGTTTATCTTCCCCTAATCTAATGGAATATTGCATAGAATGAGACGATTGATTGTCTCTGTGCCGTGCTGTACTGTAGGTCATCATCGAATGCTTCAGTGCTTAAGGGGTTCAAAAATTCGTGTAAAAGTAAATGCGACAGGAAATAGCTATCGATATGTAAAAGCACTTAGTACTGTTACTAGTACTGTTTTCTTGTATTATTGAATTCAGTCATGCATATGCGTAAGTTTTTCAATATGTGCTGACAATGGCCTGAAACAATAAGGATCAAAACAAAAAAATTAAATGTTGTCGGGTCCGTCATCTCATTTGAATTAGAAACGTACTCTCAGTTTTAATTTCCTGCTCACTAGTTGACAAAGGCCATAACGTTGATGGATGCGTATGGCAGCAAGCAATGATGCATATACATTTGACTCTAGCTATAATCCAAATCTAAGACATTATACGAGTAATGCGCGTTACTATACAAAACTGGTCAATTTATCTTCCGCTATCGTATTTTTAATAATTTCACTCAAAATGCCATTATATTCATAGAACGAATGTAGCTAAGATCCAAGTTCGTTCATAACCAACATTAAAGTGGCATGGCATTCTTGCAACTATACTAAAAAGTGCCCTAGCTAGCTAGCTAGCTATAATCTAACTTTGATATCTTGCCGAAAGGCCTAAAAGGTGAATAAGATAACCCTACTTATATATTGAAGAATCAATGAGATGTTTGGCCCCTACTCTCTCTCCCTTACAAGTTTGGTTGGTGGGCCCTCCAACAGTAGAGAGTCACCACTCACCAGAAACTAGTTAAGAAAAATAATACCCGCTATGCATTGTATATACATATTCATTGCTTTCCCTTTTGTTGATCAACACAGAATATATATATATATATAGTTATTCTCTTAATTATAATTACAAGAAAAACATGTCGATTTTTTGATATATAATCAAAACTCCCATAATAAGTTATATAATTATTAGTACCTAATAAATACTAGTAATCATGAACTGATCATGATAACCCTTCTCTTTAGATTCTTTTCGTTATTAAGATAAATGAATTTAAAAAGTGTGTCAATCATATGCCATATTTGTATACATTGCATTTGCATTATTAATCTCTCGTTGCCTTTGAAGGAAAGCTTGGTGTGCCAAATTAATTTTGCAATGCATCCATCGACAATAATGAGAGTATTTTTGCTCATCATCATTTTCACTCATGGTGTATTCTCATCATCATTTTCAATATTTGAAACGTGTGCATATGCATAACCATGATTTCATAAATACAAAGTAAAAAGTTAACCATGATTATGCCTATAAACACGTGTCAAGTATTAAGAAAGATGAAGAAAATACACATTGGGTTAAAATTATGAGAAAAATATTATCCGATAATAATTGCTGGTTAAAGAAAGTAATAATATATAAATTAGCCAATGACCACCCACCCTTTTTCTTATTTTATTACTATTTTATGCCGTACTAAAACTATCTCAAGCTAGTGGATGTCGAGCTACATACATGGCCTTGGTGGCTTATAATCAACCCATAAACCATGATGTCCCCATTGATTCCATCCACCAAGAGGAGCTTTCTTTGCGGCATGCCTGAGAGAAAATATATAATTCTCTTTACGCGTTGTGGGTTGGTTGGATATCGCGAAATAAAAGAGGAATTAAAAATACTAGATTATCTTTTGGAACATGATGATCATAGATTAGGTTTAGGTACTTCAACGATTGTAGTCCTAATGATTAGAGAGTCAATTATTTGGTTGATGGAGGACATGCCCTTTATCTTCCGACTTGTTCACATGCACGCTCGTACTAGAATATAATGCATTTTGAACATACCTAATTTGATAATTCTGCTTCTTCCCTTCAACTTCTGCATGCTCCACTTTCATGATGATCCGTGTATAAAGCTCTTTACACGTAATTCAATTTTCAAGTTTAATTATGAACTTAATTCAAGTTAGGCTATGTTTTAATTATGTCCTTTCAGGTGACCCACGCATCTAGTGCATATAAGAAGAATTATGAACAATGACAAACTCTAGGCTTAGGTTTATTATTAGACATTTCCAAGAGAATTTCGTCGGTATAGACCTTTTGAGGTGAATTCTTTCGTTGGAATAGACCTTTCCCGACGATGGTTTGGTCGGGATAGACATTTCCCGGCAATCTATCCTCGGGATCAAACCTTCCGGCAAAATTTTCTCTTGCCCAAATTTTTGTTGTTGTTGTGAGTTGCAGATGCATGTAAATGTTTAACAAGTGGCTCTGCTATATAATGCATACATAGACTACTCTTGGCTGCTTGCTTGTTGCAGAAAAATATATTTTCTCCCATATGCAGCTTGAATTTTATAGTTAAGATGAGGAAGGTTTTTTTATATTTAATTTTTTGTTGTTTTTAAACAAAGTGAAGATAATTGTGATACTCGATTGTAATATTCTCGTGATATTTAATAAATATTCAGACGTACAAGTCTGAAAAAGGACATTCGTTGGCCAACCATGGCTAACTGCAGTTTACAATTCCTCAACAACAACAAAATCTGTGAAGTTTACAATAATAGAAAGATATCTTATAAAAAAAACAAAAATATAAAGATGTTCTTTTATTATGGAAAGATAATTAAATGAGGAAGAATGATTTAACACAGATATCTTTATTATTTTTCTTCCAAAGTTGTTAGAATAAAGTAGAGCCATCTTAAAATTCATTATTGATTTTGTATTGTGTATATATATATATATATATATATATATATATATATAAAGTAAAAGGCAGAGAATTATAAAACATTCAAAATACAAGAAAAAATTCTTAGTTAATGCAAATATTAAGAATTGAAATTATTAATTATATGATGATAATATGATAAATTTCATATTTTTTCATATTTAAAAAAATTAAAATTAAAATTAAAAGAAAAATAAAATAATAAATCCTATTTTTATGGAACTCAATTACCCATTATATTTTTTAATTCTAAAATAAATTTTAAATTAAAAAAAAAAACCTCTCGTAGGCGTTGAAGTGCATGCAGAGAGACTAGTGTTCATAAATGATATATTTTTTTCTTTTGAAAGAGTAAATAAATTTATTTTTTTTTCGGAACAAAAAATTAAAATGACTACATTTTTTAATTGGTAACTGTGAGCAGTGCAGGAACCTAACAGCGTCAAACTCAAGTGGAAGGTTGCCTCAGATTTGAAGCAAGAAGATGAACAACAACCTGAGCTAAAATTAAAAAATTAAAAAAAAATATTGAAGCAAACTTTGAGCAATTAAGCATCCCCAAATGGCTGGCTTAGAGGAATTAAGAAAAAAGCTCACGCCTTTGTTCGATGCCGAAAAGGGCTTCTCCACGGGCTCAACCTTGGACTTGGACCCTTGCGATTCTTACACGGTAAGTTTCTTTTTGCTTTTGCCGCAATCTGCGTAATTGGATTTTGAATTTTGAATTTCTCTCCTGGAAATGGAATTGATTCTTGGTTTCGCTGAAGCTATCGGACAGTGGAACGGTCAACTTGCTGAGCAGATCGTACGGTGTGTACAACATCAATGAGCTCGGATTGCAGAAATGCACGACCTTGGCGGTGGACGACAGCAGCGAAAAGACGTACCGGTGTGGTTCGCATGAGATGAGGGTATTTGGGGCAATTGGCAGTGGCGCCAGCAGCGTTGTACAGAGAGCTATCCACATTCCCACTCATCGGATTTTAGCGCTCAAGAAGATCAATATTTTCGAAAAGGTATACTTTTTCAGATAAATTATAATTATGTTTGGTTCTTCACAAGTAAAAATGGGTAGTTTGATTTTCCCTGCATCTATTCTATCTGCATGTGGGTGAGTGGTGACCAGTCCCTAAATTCAAAATTTGGTACCTTTATGCTAGTTTCTATTGACCCAAATGCAAATGGTGCAAAAAAAGACTAGCGAATTTTGAGTGTGAAAATTGAAGCAGACTTTATATTAATTACATAATAGGAGAAAAGGCAACAGCTGCTTACTGAGATACGGACGCTATGTGAAGCACCTTGCTACCAAGGTCTTGTAGAATTTCATGGTGCATTTTATACGCCGGATTCTGGTCAAATAAGCATTGCTCTGGAGTATATGGATGGAGGATCATTGGCGGATATCTTAAGATTGCGGAAAAGAATACCAGAACCTCTACTTTCTTCTATGTTTCAAAAGCTTCTGCATGTGAGCATATCCACACTCAGTTTCAGCTTGATTTGATCAGAATATGGTTTATAGTGATGTTATTTAAGCTTCTTTTTTTTCTTAATGTTTTCACTATGGAAGGGGCTGAGCTACTTGCATGGAGTTAGGCATCTAGTCCACCGAGACATAAAGCCTGCCAATTTGCTTGTAAATCTCAAGGGCGAGCCAAAAATAACAGATTTTGGTATAAGTGCTGGCTTAGAGAATTCAATGGCAATGGTTGGTGATACTCGCTGCATCTTTGTGCTTTTGTTTTATTATCATGATCAATCACTACTTTCTTTAGTTCATTCATTTGCACTAGTGGTGGTGTACTTCTGTGTTACATTTGGGGCATAGATGTTAAGTTTGGTATTTTGGTTTTAACAAGTCTCACAATGCGATTACCAGTGTGCGACATTCGTTGGGACAGTTACATACATGTCGCCTGAGAGAATTCGAAATGAGAATTATTCTTATCCAGCTGATATTTGGAGCCTTGGTCTTGCTCTCTTTGAGTGTGGTACCGGAGAATTCCCATATACAGCTAATGAAGGACCTGTCAATCTTATGTTGCAGGTAACATGCCTATACCTGTCCCTTAATTGATGTTGCCTTGCATTTGATTCTTCTAAGGTTTGTAGGATATGTTCTCAAGCGCAACTGAGGAGAGGTTCTGAAAAAAAAGATACTCTAACTGTTGGACATACATAATTACTGCATTCATATGCTTTCCAGTGCCTACATGCCATTGCCAGCCTTTGTTTTGCAACTAAACATTTTAGGTTTTATGGTAGATCTTGGATGATCCATCACCTACGCCTCCAAAACACAAATTTTCACCAGAGTTTTGCTCGTTTATTGAAGCCTGTTTGCAAAAGGATGCAGATGCTAGGCCAACGGCAGAGCAGGTGATTAAAGCCACAGTATACAATCTGGAACATAATAGTTTGACATCAACATTGTTTAACTAGGATTCTTCTAGTGCAGCTACTTTCACACCCCTTCATTACAAAGTATGAGGATTCCCAAGTGGACTTAGCAGTGTTTGTCCGAAGCGTATTTGATCCAACACAAAGGATGAAGGACTTGGCAGATGTGAGTACTAAACACTTGCATTATCTTTTTACCGTCAGAAGGTGTGCTAACAAACCACATAAATTGTCAAGTCTAAATATAATATCAACAGTTTGTCCAATATACTTTGGTCTCAGTTACTAATATAAAGTTCATGGTATTCAATTTATATGCAGAGTCCACAGTGTACGATTTATTTATAATGGCTTGGAACTTACATCATGCTTGTGATCTACTGATTTTGATCTCACTTATTTTTTTTCTGACCAGATGCTTACAATACATTTTTACCTACTTTTTGATGGACCTGATGAGCTCTGGCAACATACAAGGACCTTATACAGTGAAGATTCAGTTTTCAGGTATAGAAATTTAAAACACCAGCCCTTACCGGTCAACGCCAACCAGCAGCTTCATGTTTCTAATATAAACTTTTATCCTTTTTAGTTTCTCAGGAAAGCAAATAGTTGGCCCAAATGATATCTTTGCAAGTCTGTCAAGTATACGAAGTACATTAGCTGGTGACTGGCCTCCTGAAAGACTTGTGCATGTTGTGGAAAAGCTTCAGTGCCGTGCTCATGGTCAGGATGGTGTAGCAATTAGGGTATCCGGATCATTCATTGTCGGGAATCAGTTCCTTATATGCGGAGACGGTGTACAGGTAGAGGGCTTGCCAAGCATTAAAGATCTTTCCATTGATATTTCGAGTAAGCGAATGGGTACATTCCGGGAGCAGTTCATTATGGAGCCAAGCAATATAATAGGGCGCTACTCCATATCTAAACAAGAACTTTACATTATGCAGTAAAAAGTGGAGAATCCTACCTCACTGACGGAATAAGTATTAGTATGTGATGTCAAACGTAAAACAAATGTACAGCCAAAAGTTTTCATGGGCAAATTTGCGATGCATCATTACCATCTCTGTAATCAAATGTCCATAAAATTTATAGTTTTCAAATGCACGCCAAGAAGATAACCTTTTTTTGTTAATTATAAATCTTTCCCGATGGATTTGGAATCATACTAGTTGCTCATGAGTTTACGTTCTACATGAGTAGTGTGATAGCCACACCGTACCGAACAAACCAAATCACAAGCCCTAGGCCCCAATTGCATGTACCTTCCAGTAAATCACTCTCAAACAGATCTTTTTAAATAATGGCCCTCTGCCATTTTGATTCAATAGTTTCTGGGCAGTCTTTCTTACTTCACATGAAAAAATTCCCGCATTTTGACCCAAAAAATAAAAAATTCCCACATAGGACCAAATTGCTTGGAATGTACACAAAACAGATAACACATGTCACATAACATCAATAAAGCAATGTAATATATTCCCTTCTTTTTCTTAGGCGGGGTGGACAAAAATGAGATGTTATATTTCCATCGCGTAAAATCCTTTTGCATGCGGCTTTACATTCCAAATATAAACCTGCATCAAATCAAACAAACAAAATTAACCCTGCAACTAAGAATGCCATGTCAAGGAAACAAAGGGTATGAGAAAAATTTGAGAATACTTACTATGAAACATTCTGAAAAGGGGGTTGAATGCGGCTTCTGAGGCGGTAGGCTCAGAGGCAATATCGGCACTTTGTACAGTAAACCCAACAAAAAGAAAAAGACAGGCTACAAGTTTAAAGTAGGTACTCCAAAGTAATCTCGGATTGTTTTCCTTTTTAGAGAGGAAGGAGGGTTCAGAACAGAAGAAGGGCTCTTCAACGCAGCATCTGGGGTCTTTTCAAAGGTTTCAATAAAGTCAGAATCTGCCATAGATTGTTTCTTCTGAGATTGGGGAGTACTGATTTTCGGCATTTTAATTGGTTTTCTTGAACTAGATTCATCCAATCCGTCGTCTGACGGACACAAATTTCCAGAGTCCTTTGACGTATGAATTGATTCATTCATTAGAAGCTTTCTACATTCTGCACCTGGGATTGCCATGACTCTCCTCCGGATGACAGATGGTGAGTTTGAGCTTGGGCCGTAACTATTCTGAGAGTTCCAAATGCGAACTGTAAAATCATCCGAAGAAGTTGCCATCTTCCCAACCTCAAAATGGGACCTATTAAAATTTGGAAACTGTTTAATCATGTCATGAAATATTTAAAATCGGCAGCATTAGGTTAGAAGAAAAAAAATTACCAATCCACTGCTGTAACTTCTCCGTCATGGCTTTTCAATATTATAGGATCTTCTTGAGGCTTGTTTACCTGGGTTGAGATTGCCAACAGGGTCAGTATCTAATCAAGACCAATATCAATAGCTCCCGAAAGAACAAATCTTACCTGCCAAATATAGGCATTTCCATCGCTGGAACCACTGAGCATGTGAGCAGCATCAGGGCTAAGAACTGACTGCAATTACATAATTGAAACCAAGATTTGTAAATCGGCAGGAAATCAGTTGGGATGACAAACTGAGTTAGTGCACTTTTAAACGGCAAGGCTTACCTTTACAAAAAAAGATTCAATCCTACATCCACTGAAAGATTGCATAGGACCCTTTTGTAGCTGAAGTACATTATACAAATATATTCTGAAAAAAAACATAGGACAAAAAAGTGTGATCAGTTGAATGTTTGATAGTCTTTACAATATTAGTGTATCATATATTTAGTGCATGGTAACTGTCTAAGACTCCACAACAATACTGGGTTATTAAGCTAGGAACTACTAATCTGAAGGTTGCATGGTACAGGGTTATCTGCTGAAATCCAAGGCTGCAATTTCCAGGTAATGTTCCTTCGAGTAGCCAATTCAGTTTACAACAGAAAAGATGCAAATCAGAGTAAACAATACCTGTTGTCCATACATGAGGCTGAAATAAACACTCCGTTTAAATCTTGGGATAAGCTAGTTATACCATGTAATCTTCTTTCCTGAAATGAAGAGGATTGCTAGCTGTCAAGACATCATCAATATGCTACTTTACCACAAAGGAAAAAAAAACATACACGCACACCCAATATGACCAGATCTCCAGCTATTGCTGTCCACCACATATCATCAAGGTGGACATCAAGGCTCAGGTCATCTTTATAGGTCAATATAATCTTCATGGGTTAATGTAGATGCGACATTTAACCTGTCACAAATTAGCACCATATCAGACTTCCAGACTAACCTTCTCAGTAGACTCTAGGTGAGGGGATGTCTGTGTGACGACATTTTTCAAACTTCTAGTATCCCAAAACTTGACAATGCTGAAATGAAGCATAAGATCAAATCAAACAATAACCTCATATCACTTGGTATGACATAACGTCTGAGTAAGAAATTTAGGATTCAATTCGGCCATTTCACTGCCACTGTTCCGTATATACCTGTCCACAGCTCCGGCAGTAGCAATGGAAACCTCGTCTTTAAGATAAAGAACTGATGTGATGCTCATGGAAGCAGCCTGAAAAAGCTAAATCTGAGTAAAGAGTACGTAACAAATTTAATAAGACCTATTATCAGAAACAAACCTTTCCGCGCCTTACACGCTTTGCCCGAGGAAAAAGATGAGCCCCTTTAACCACAGCAGTTGAGCTGCATGAAAATATTATAAATTTATTTTGGAAAACAGAAAACAAACTTATCCCGATTCTTGAAAATGAAAATAGCTTTACATTAAATAATCTACCATATTGCAATCTCCCCGTGAATATTTTTGGAGCTTGAATTACATCTCATATCCCAAAGAGCAAAGGAGCCATCTCTCGAACCAGAGACAATAATCTCTGTCAGATAAGAAGAATCAGTGGTTTAAATTAGTTGTATTTCTCATTAGTTATTTCAAAAATATAGCATAAGAGAAAATGAGTACAAAAACCCACAACAGATGAAAATCTAAACCTACCAGGATTAGTTGGATGAGGACAGAGAGATTTCACACTTCCTGTGTGCCCCATCAGTATTGCAGTACATTTCTTTTCCTGAATATCCCATACCTTGATCTGGAGGAAGAGAAAAAAGCCAAGGAAAACACAATGAATAAGGAACTGAACTAGCTGTGATATGAAGGACAATTATGTAAATATAACCTTCCTTATACCAAATTTCATAGCTTTATTTACAGAGTTCTGTTACTTAAAAGTTATAGCACATTGTAGTAAGAGCTTATTCCTAATAAATTCAATCCAATTTTCTAAAATCCTCTAAGGAAGATGAAAACATTGCTATGGTCACAAAACCTACACAGTATCCAGGCAGGACTATAACTTAATAACTTACAGTTTGATCACCAGAAGCTGTCATAATTTGAGTATCATCCTGCAAAACCACATGTATTGCAAAAACACATTAGCACTAAAAAAATATGAAAAACTTAAATTTGATGCAAAAACATGCAACAATCTTCAATTTGATTCTCCCACTTATCTGCTATGCTTTCATAACAATGTCAATGGCATAAACACAGGACCCCATCGTTTAACCCTTTTCACTTGATCAAAACCGAAAGTACTTTAAAAACAATTGCTCTTTTGATTAGTTCCAGATTAGCAGCGAGATAAGTTCCCAATTTTTAATTGTGCATTGAAAGTGCCCTGTTCGGCTTCTAATAGGGAATACATATAAATTCTACTCCACAGTAATTTTTCCTTCCCCATCTGACCACTCAAATAACTTTTGTGTATAGCATAATTGAAAATTTTTACACTTGAAGAATACTGGACTAATAATTCCACATTAAACAAGAGAGGGAAAAGATGTCGTTAATACCTTAATCCAACAGACGTCAAACACAGCATTTTGATGTGCAACCCAATCACACACCTTAGTTTTATCTGAAGACCAATAACCCAAAGATTTATTTACTTAAAATACAACAAAAACAATAGCAATCAACGATCTATGGTGGTGACTGATTTGATTTCCAAGTAACCAACCTGCATTTTCTTGGAAAGATGCTGATGCAGAGAACTTGCGACGTGTATCGAACAAGCTCAGGTACCCATCTTCGTCTGACATTGCGACAATGTCAGAGTTTTTACACGTCTGCACAAAAAGAAAAATAAAAATAAAAAGAACGAAAAATGCGATTCACGAATCGGAAAGGCTCCATCAGCAGATTTTGTACCTTGCCAAACGAAATCGCCATTGGAGGGCCGTTGTGTTCAGCAGCAATGGCCCCAATTTCATAGAAATCTGATGCCAGGCCATTGATGTACGGTCGCTTTGGAGCTGGAAAAACACAGCATATGATAATCATAAGATACCCAAACAGATTGATTATATCAGACCGCAAAAAAGAGATTATGAACTGTAAATTTATAGAGCGAACCTCTGAATCCATGTAGCTCTCTGGATCTGATGTCTTGGAAGAACGATTGGGGCTTTGAGATCTCCATCGGAATTTTTTTGCCGAACGTTGAACGTAGCAGAGCACAGAGCTGCCAAAGAGGGAACTGGCAACTGGGAGGAAACAAAATAAATCAAGAATAAGGGCTTCTCTCTTTTTTTTTCATTTTCTTTATTTGTTTTTGGGGCAATGGCGCGAGTGAAGTTTGGCGGGAAATTGAATTTGATGTTTAATTCCTGAAAGTTTGGCGGACACCAGATGGCGCGAAGAGGGTTCCGATGTTTGCCTTTTTTTTTAATCTCCCTCCCCTACCTTTATGTTTTTTAAAAAAATTTCTTTTTCTTTTCGGTAGGATTAGGGTTTAGTGCTAATTACTACTCTTTGGCATAATTACTGCTAATTACATCTTGGAACAAAAAAAGACTACATTTAGTTTTTTCTTTTTATTACCAAAAAGACTACATTTGGTTAACTTATGTAAATTTGCATCTTCAACTGATATGTTAAATTGTCACGTATACATGAAATGACAAAAATTGAAAGTAAAAATTGCTCCAACCGAGTAGTCAAATCCTTCATAGATTTGAAGGCCGGAAGATATATGTCAAAAGTAACATATGAAAAAGCTTGAATGTCAAATATTTTTTTAGTCATAAACCCACTATCATTCACTTTCTTTTAAAACTTTATGCATCATATGAGCTTCATTTGTTTTTGTTTTTTTTTAATATAATAAAATTATATGATATTTTGCATTTTTTGTGGAGTTACATTTTTTTTCAAACTGTCAAATTGCCACATATACCATCAATTTCAAAATTAACATTTTGCATTTGAAATCTCATTTGGAGATGCTCTTATAATACCTTCAAAATTGATGTTTTTTAATTATCACATGGGTCTTAACTAACCATAATCAGGTTATAAGCATACATCAATATATACATTTTATGTTTGCTTTTCAGTATAAGTACTCGTTTGACATTGCTTATTTGGGGTAATAAGTGATTTCTTAAAAAAATTGGAAAGCACAGTCCGTTTGGTAAACTATGAAAAAATCACTTATTGTTAAAAATTGCTTTGAGAGAAAGCTATAAGGGAAAGCAGTTAATGAGGTGCTTTCATTTTTTGATTATGTATGAATCAATTTCGAAAAAAGTGTTGGGTTTAATGATTATGCGGGAATCATTTTTTTGATTATACGGGAATTAGTACCAACAACAATCTTAACAAAAAATTTACCAAATGCCAAACTGCTTTATCTTACAGTTGATTTCTCTCACAACAAATCTGACAACAATTATTTTTACAGCACAGCAATACCAAACTGGCCCTAAGTATGTGGAGACTCCTTTTTTAACGGGACAATTCTCTCCTTTTGAATATATCAATATTATACGATGACAAAGAAAATAGGTATTGTGTTGACACACGCTAGGATGCTAATACTAAATTACTAATGTTGGCTTACCAAGTTACCACGAGTAAGTCCAAATTACTTCACATTTGAGATTTGTATGGATACCCAAAGTTTACAAAATAAAGTGTTTACAAACGCAAAAAGCATATTTTATGATACATATTATCTAGTTTTAACTTTGTGTGGTGGTAGTGGTAATTCATGGGTCAATTGTAGATTGAGAATTATTCGATTTATCTAACTTTTAAAGTGGAGAAATTGTAAACCATAAATTTTCTGGTTGACTTAGGTTAAACTTTTCAACTGTAACAATTGTACCTTTATATTTTTGGCTTGCAATTTAATGATATGCTTTTATGAAAACCCACCTATATCGGTTTCGGGTACAGGTACCCTTATAAGTGTGTAAATAATAACAACCATACATACAAATTCTACCTCCAATAAGTAAATTTCAAATTTTTTGATGGAAACATTCTCAATATTCCATTCCAACCATTGAATTAGAGGAACGATAATGTAAAAATTAGGTTAGTTTGTTAAACCCCTATGTCAAGAATGAGTTTAGGATTCATAAAATTAAATTTATCCATAATGTGTTATGCATTGTTTTAGTGGCGGAGCTACTCCTAGTCCCAGAGTGGCCTTGGCCCCCCATTTTTTTTTTTTATATTTCTTCTATATTATATAATGTAATATATAAAACTTACTAATAGACAACTTGTAATTTAAATTAATGGCCCTTTTAAAAATAATATATACTTGTGTTTTCTATTTCGGCCCCCTTAATTTTACAATTATAGCTCCGTCCTTGCATTGCTTCATGTTTATTTGGCAATTAACATCATTTTTATATTTTTCATAGTGAAATGTACAACTGATAAATTGGAAAAAAGATGAAGAAAATATCATACCCAATTAATTATTGGGGCAGTGGGACATGCTTGCTTGTTGGAAAAAGAAAAAACCTAGCTCTCTATCTATCCATAATTCACATTGTACCATTTATATACACAAACTCCCCCTATAAACAAAGCATAAGGTTAAAAACGACTTTGACAACAAAAAAAAAGAAAAAAAAAAGGAAGGTTACAAACGACATTTTCTGTGTACACTCCACCACCCTCTCAAATTGGACCGTCTGTTCCGTAATACGTCCTTATTAGTTTTGGGCCTAGCCCAAACCAGACATTTCTTACATAATTGGGCTCAAGCCCATGTACAGCACACAAACCCGCACCCGAACCATCTGACCAACGTGAAGTCGGTTCCACTCTCAAGTCCCTTAACCTAAACTTATACATAACATTACATCTTCTTCAGCCTCCTCGCGCTTCTTTCTTCCTCTGTCAGTCTCAGCATCACCGCAGCCATGGTTAAGCATAAGCATTACAGGCCTCCTGTGAGTTCTATTTCACCTCCCCGTATTCGATAAATTAAGCTGTATCAATATTAAAATCAAACTTTCCAATATATAATTTAAACATTTTCTAACACTTTTCCTTATTTTTCTTTCGTTTTTGCAGGGAAAGAAAAAGGAAGGAAATGCAGCGAGGTACATCACTAGGTCACAAGCCGTCAAGCAACTTCAAGTCAGTCTACCCCTCTTCAGGTACACATTAAAGTTGCAATTTCTATATTTTCACATGATTTTATATAACTTCTGTTTACATATTTATACAACTTCTGTTTACATATTTGTTAGGGTTTATGTATTCAGGTTAGTTCGAGCTTTATTATAATGTTAACCAGCTGCTGGTTGAATTATCTTAGACTATTTCATTCGGAAAGAAAAAGGAGTTTTGTTATGTATTGATTTTTTTTATTGTTCTTGTGGAAATTTTAGGAAACTGTGTATTTTAAAGGGTGTTTTTCCTCGGGAGCCCAAGAAAAAGGTGAAAGGAAATCACCATACCTATTATCACTTGAAGGATGTTTCATTCATTCAACACGAACCATTACTTGAGCGTTTGAGAGAGATCAGGGCATATGAAAGAAAAGTAAAGAAAGCAGATGCGAAGAAGAACCGGGATCGTGCAAATCTTCTGAGACAAAGGAGACCCACTTACAGATTAGATAAAATTATTTTGCAGAGGTTTGCTAACTTTTTCTTGTTGCCAAAAAGTTAGTTGCATGTCTCTGATGGTATGCTGAGCTTCTGACAATTGTTTTTTGGTATGTTTGATTTTGCAGGTATCCAAATTTCATTGATGCACTTAGGGATTTGGATGACTGTCTCACCATGGTTCACCTCTTTGCAGCATTACCTGCTATAGAGGAAAGAATTGAAGTGAAACGCATACATAACTGTCGAAGGTAGATACCTGAATTCTGCCAAAAATGAAAAAAATGAAAAGAAGAATGGCGTTTTGAACTGTGAAATGATGTTTGGATAGTTCCAAGTGTTAATCATTTCGTGATCTTTGTGTTTCTTTATTGCTAGGCTGAGTCATGAATGGCAAGCTTATATATCTCGGACTCATAAATTGCGCAAAGTCTTTGTATCTGTCAAGGGCATATATTATCAGGTGTGGTTACATACTGTACACTGCTTATTTTAATCTTTATACTGTGCATTTTGTGTTATATGTTTGCATTGTTTGTCCATGCAGGCCGAGGTTAAGGGGCAAAAAGTCACATGGTTGACCCCTCACCCCTTGCAGCAAGTTTTGACTGAGGATATTGACTTCAACATCATGCTAAACTTTCTGGAATTTTATGAGGTCATATATTTTACATTGAATTTCAATTTATTCCTTATCAATGCATGTACTGTAAAAGATGTTTTGATAGTTGAATATATTTACTTTTCTTATTAATCCAATGAACCAATTACATGAAATAAAGTTTTTCTCCATCTTTGGTGCAGGCTCTTCTTGCATTTGTGAATTGTCATTTATATCGTTCCATAAATGTGAAGTATCCACCCATTCTTGATCCTCGATTAGAAGCTTTAGCAGCTGGTATGCAATTTTACTACTTTCTTGAGATAAGCTGCATCTTAGCTTGTCTTTTGGAGTTTTTAGCATTGTTGAGTTGGATTGTATGCTTGTGTATATCTGTTAATGGAGCATCAGTATGATTTAGTTTTCTCAACTTTGCAGATCTTTATGCACTATCAAGATACTTTGATGCCAACTCTCAGTCCGCTGTGTTGGATCCTCAAGCTTCAAGTTTGTCTGGATCAGGGAATGTTGAGAGCCAGCAGATTGGGGATTCAGTTAGTGAGTCTGAATTAAGGCTTGCCCAACTTCAGCATCAACTCCCTTCTAATGAACCTGGTGCATTAATGCACCTTGTTAAAGATGTTGCTGGCGAGGAAGAAGAGGATGATGATACAAGAGAGTGTAAGAAACTCTTCAAGGATATGAAATTTTTCTTGAACCGTGAGGTGAGTCTTAGAAGTTTTAAATTGGAACTTAGAAGAGATCTTATTGACAAAAAAATTAATTTCCTACCAATAAATAGGTCTGATGGGTGAGGCCTTAAAGGTGTTTTAATATAAAAGAATATAATAACGCAATTAATTTTTCTAATAATAATCAAAGTGCAACTCCCATCATGATTAATATGAAAATCTTTTGTAATTTGGTTTCTTTTAGTTGATTGGCAATAGAAATTGTGCTTGTGTTTCTTGTAATTTTTTTTTCTATGTTCAGGTTTACAGAGAGTCATTGCTTTTTGTTATTCCTGCTTTTGGTGGCACTGTTTCTTGGGAAGGTGATGGGGCTCCATTTGAGGAAAATGATGAGAGCATTACCCACCAGGTATGATGTTACTTCTATATGGCGGAGTCGTCGACTGATCTTTGGTACCCCACCTCCCACAAAAGAAAAACATTGATGTTTATTACAGGGCTGACAAGAGTGCTTGTTTATTTTGTAGATTGTTGACAGGCCAATGCATGGTCGTCAGACCCTTGCCAGGGAATATGTTCAACCACAATGGGTTTATGATTGTATAAATGCTCGGATCATTTTACCAACTGGGGGTTATTTGGCGGGAAGGTAATATTAGGAGACACGATGAATTAACTAATAAGTCTCATTGGCTATGTTCCTCAGCTTCCGGTTAATAGGTTACATGAACTGATAGACCTTGATTTACTCCTTACCTGTGTTTATCATTGCTCTATTTGATAATAGAAGTTTATGACTGGTAATGTTGTTAATTTGGTTGCTCTTTGAACAGGGATCCTCCCCCACACTTGTCACCATTTGTTGACAATGAGGCAGAAGGTTACGTACCTGACTATGCTGAGACCATTAACCAATGGAAGACTGCTGGCAGAAGTGAAGTCCTCCCCCTACCAGGTGTGGGAAAAGAAGATTTGGAAGATCCTCAGAATTTACTGACTGAAGGTGTAATTGACCGAGCAAAAGCAAAAGAAGCTGTTGAGAAAAAGAAGAAGGTAAACAAGTTTTAAAGAATGTAGCATGATGCTTAGATGTGTGATATTTTTCTGCCATTTAATTTCATCATGTGCATAGAGACATCAAAACTACTTGCTTGATGCTAACTGAATTCTGATGCTGTACAGATGATGGCTCTTGAGCGGCAGTATCATGATGAATTGAATAAGGAGCTTCATGGCGTCCCACATTCATCATCTGTCTCGAATATAGATAATCGTATCTCTGGCAAGGAGACCGAGGATAAGGAAGAATTTGATGATGATAGTGAATTGGCTAAATTGGTCTTGTCCCGTAGGGAGAGGGGTAACCTTGAAGCTGCGGAGGTAAATTTGTTGATGCCGTCATGCTATTTTCATGGATCTTATAAAAAAACTTCAGAAATTACATGTACTATATATCAAATGCAATAATATTTTGTCCTGGATTTTTCTTTCATACAGAAAGGGATAAAACGAAAGAAGGACCATATTGATGTCATCAGGGAACGGAAGAGAAAACTTAAAGAATCTCAAAAATCAAAGGAAGGTTAAGATGCCTGAGAAAATTACCTTCTATGGTTTTGTTATTGAGTTGCTGTTTCGGAGCGAGACTTGGTAGTGTGGCCAAGGAAATTTTCTTGTTTGATTTCGTTATAGACTGTTGATGTCTGTAATATCTGGTAATGTTTGAACCTATTGGAGCATTTTCAATACAATCATTTTTATTTATTGCCAACTTGCGTAAGTTTTTGCGAAGTTATTTGTTCGTCAGTCTTGGGTTTTTGAGGGCCAGGGCTAAAGTAAAGGAATTTTTTTTTTTTTCACTGCATGCTAGATAATTAAAAATTAACATTTTCAAGTTAACTAAAAATTTATCATTGAAGATAAATAAATGATATCAATTCAAACTTTAATATAAAAAAATTAAAATCTAACGCAAAGGCTATTACTTTCAATTATAATGAAAAACTCCAAATCCTAAAAAGTTGAGTTTCACCTGTTCCAATGTTATATTAAGGGATCCGGATCCATATCAGAAACCCCCACGTTTGCATGGAAATTGAGGCCCACAAGGACGTGGACTCCTCTTCGCTGCTTTTCCCTTTTCTTTTTTTTTGGGGGGTTCTTAGTAATGTATAAATGCATATAGGGAAATTCACTATCATATTCAATATGGGGGCCCAAATTATAAAAATACTCCATATGAAATGAGATTTAGAAACACACCCAAAGCTCATTTACAGCATAACAAAAAAGCTTTTAACTTCTTATAAATTACAAAACTACCATCAATTTCTTAAAACAAGCTCAACCTCAAAATTTCATAAAAATACCCAAAATACTTAATAGGATATCAAAGTAATTTAATAATCAATATTAAATTCAATAAGGCAAGCTGTCATTTTTTGGGTTTGTTTATATAAATTCAATTGTGTATGGTTTATTTATAATATTAGTGCTAGAAATGGGTATATCACTAAATATCTCTAATCGTAATCACTTCACACCCTTTAAAATTTCATTTTTATCAATATTTAATTTCAAAATTCAACACCCTTAATTCATTTTGTTTTTTTTTCTTTTTTAATGAACATACCTACTAATTAAGGAAATATCATACGAGTTAAAGCATATAAAGGCAACCGAGATGAGCGGAGGACCATTTTTCATCTTACTAGTTGAAATGGTAGATAGGTGACGTGGCAACATCCTAACGGTAACCCTCAGCCGTACGGCTTAGAGAGGCACGCATATATATAAGTAACATCCTTGGGTTTACAGAGTAGTCTCACCACCGAATTGAAACAAATGCCATTTCTCCATTTCTGATAATCAACCTCTGAAATCTCTCTATTTCTCTAAGTTCTCATCTCTTATGTTGAAGAAAATAATTATCTTTCTTGACGAGTAATTCTTGAACAAAATGTACGCACAAGCAAGAACCACCCTCCCATTCCTCATCGTCTTCACCGCATTTGTATGGTGGATGATCGCTAGTCTTGGTTTACCACCTACCCCTGCCGCCCTTACTGCCCCACCGTCCTGACCACCTAAGCAGTACCAACAATACTCGAGGAAACCATCTGAAGAGGAAGAGGATATATATATATATTTTTTCCCAACAGAGGAAGAGGATATTCCAAAGCCTTCTAAAGAGGAAGAAGATATTCCATAACCATGCGAAGAGGATTTGGATACTGCCTGGATACAGAACGATGAAGATGGCTAATATTGCAACATGAACGTCGCAAATGGTGATCTCCACCCAAACAAAAAAGAGCTTTCTCTCTTGAACCAAATGGTGGCTATTAACAACTTCAATCTCTCTTGAACCAAATGGTATATCTTTTGAATAAACCTCTCCACTCATCGCTCTTTCTCAATATAATCAATTTACTAAAAAAATATATCCCCAAATTCAATAATTTAGAGAACCAGTTTGATTTGTATTTTGCATTTGTATTGACACCTGCTTATTTCATGGTTTTAGGGGGTAGATCTCTGGTGGAGACAAAGAGAAATGGTGGCTTGTATAGTGGCCTGGGTCTGGGTGGCGGGGATAAGGGTGGGGATGGGGAGTTGCCTTTTTTATTTTTGTATTTATTTTAAAAATCTTGGATTTTGTGATTTTTTTACTTTCTAAATTTTAAATTGAATTAAGTTATTAGATTGTTTAGTCATTTTTTCAAAGTTTGCTTATGTGTTATGCGTCATGACTTAAACGGTTAGATTATTAGGATGGTCTAAATATTGCGAAATGCTGGTAAATACACAATACCTAAATGTAAAGGCTCGAGATAAGGATTTACTCTAGCCGCTACATACATAAAGTAAATGTATAATTTTACAATCAATTACAAGTAATTACATAATCAAAATCCCCATAATTAATCATTTTCCCGTGTTAGCATAAGTTTCCTCCTTTAGCTTATCAAACAGGACCATATTGATGTCATCAGGAAACATAATAGAAAACTTAAATAATCTCAAAAATCAAAGGAAGGTTAAGATACTCGAGAAAATTTGCCTTCTATGGTTTTGTTATTGAGTTTATGTTTTGGACTCCAACAAAGTTGGGCTTGATTTCTTTTTGGGCTTTCTAAAATGAAGTGGGTCCAATATGAAGTGGTCCATTTGTTTTAAGTTGGTCATGTGAGAGGCACATGCCTAGGTTTTTGTGGTCACCTATATAAGCATTTTATTTGCAACATGTGGTAGAAAGATTGAATTTTGTTGGGGGCCAAAGTTAGGAAGGGAGAGGGGGAAAAACTCACACACATAGTGGGGGTTTGAACCCAAGACCACTTGAGAGCACACCAAGGGTATGAGACAGTCCAACTAACACCTCATTGGTGAGAGATTGAAGTTGTTAATCGCCACCATTTGGTTAAAGAGAGAAAGCTCTTTTTTGTTTGGGTGGAGATCACCATTTAGGAGAATCATAGTAGTTGTTACTTCAATTTTGTTGTGAGTGTGATTATTGTGTGATTATTTGGTTCTTTTTGTTGTGAGTGCAATTATTGTGTGATTATTTGGTTCTTTATTTGTTAGCTTGATTGTTTACAAATAAAAAACCAAATACTTGGAAAACAAAAGTTAGCTTGTATAATATATTAATAACATTGTTTTAAGTGTAAGGAGAATGACACATGTCAAGCAAAAAAAGGAGAAGGTCCAAATAAGAAGGTTAGAGAGAAGGTTGCTAGCATTCCCCTTGAAACAAAAGGCCATTTCTGATAATTTCGTATCTTTGAGTTAGAAGAGGAAAGAGGAGCAACCTTCCGAAGAGGAAGAGGAAGAAGACGACGACGACGTGAGTATCGGGTTTGGAACTTACCCTCCAATCCTCACCTACCCTCCCATCCCCATCCATACCCAAAGAACCATTGTTCCAACTGTTTCCTCCCAAAACCCACGTGGCTATTGGTATGCACTGGTGCTGCCTCTGCCTCTTGTGCTACGAGGAAGACCACAAAAGGCAGAGGCAGCACCAGTGGGCCGCCTCAAAAGTTGGTTATGCTTCATCCAAGGCCAGTTCGTTCCTTGTCCTCTTACACTACGAGTGGCGTCGTGTATTTTACCGAAAGGGAAGGCCCTCGCTTAGCAAAAGATCCTACAACAAAGGACTTGTTTATGGTTTTCCATAACACTAGTCATGCTTTTAAAAAGGATCCAATACTTCCCCTGTCCCTCCTCTTAGATCACGATTATGTCATTCCACCTCGAACTAAAGGATTTCGAGTGTTCAAGCTTGAACTTAACAGCAATGGTCCTCAGTGGGTAGAAGTTGAAGACCTCGCGGCGATAGGATATTGTTCCTGAGCAAGGCAAGCAACAAGTTCATCTCTGCTACAAGCCTCAGTCTCAGTTATGGCGATTATAAGAAGAGAGTTGAAGGAAATTGCATTTGTTTTGCTTTCGATAATCCTTGTTTAGCATCACCGTGGACGGGACGCAACTTTGGGGTGTTTTCCTTGACAAACAAGAGCATAGAGCGTTTTATTGTTCCCAATGATCACCCTCGTAGTAGCCTATTCAATACTCACACTGTTTGGTTCACATCATACATTGAGTAGCTACCTAGCTAGCTAGTTTTATTTATTTATTATTCAGTAATGGTATCTCTTGGTATATTTTCTTTCTTGAGATTTAAGGTTGGTATGCGTGATTTAGATATTACAGTTTCGGAACAATATTGTAGGCATTCAATTCAATTGTACGTAGTTGTCAACTTGTTATGATTGAGGAACAAGTTTTTGGAAATTACAAGCGCTAGTATGTTTTGCATTGACTCCCTAAGTACTGCTCGTGTGTTTAGCGGAAGACAGACACAAGGAGACCGGTAGGTTTCTTCTCTTCTTTTTATTTATTATTTTTTGGTTTAGACAGACATATGCAGCTTTATGTTGTTTGAAAGAAATTGTTCTTCGCTAGCATGGTATGCATGAATTGGTTTAAATGTTTATGTTAGTCGTTTCAAACTTTATAACTATTTCAGTTTGGGCTTTCGATACACTTCGAAGAACAATCTGTACTAAAAAAAGAAGAAGCTAAACCCTAAGTGAGAAAACCTTAAGAGAGAAAAGTTTTAGCCGCCGTCCCCCAAGGGTCGTTGGCCTCCATCCCTCTCTTCCTCCACTTCCCTCCCCTCCTTCCTCCTTGCACATCCCCCCTGGCCCCTCCGTCTTGAGTCGAGTTTGGCATATGCATGCAGGAAAACATGCCGATTATAAAAGTTTCTAGGAACAGATTCTCTTCGGTTTGAAGTTCTTTGTCTTCAGTTAAATGTTTAGCCACTAATTGGGTAGTTTCTTTCGGGGATTCCTGCACGAGTACAGATAACAGAATCTTTAAAGATTGAACTTCACACATAATGAAAACTAAGAGAAGAATGCTTTCTATGCTCTAACCTCATTGTCCCGATTTTCATTTCTTGCGGTATTAAATGTTTCACTCTTCTCTCCTTCATATTTTTCAGCTATCAACTCATTTTCTAGTTCTCTATGGCTGATGTTTTCTCCACTAACAGAGATCGGCCGCAAATATTTTGCCTCTAGCTTTTCGGCCTCGATCTGTTAAGTTTCCGCCTCAGTTAATACAGAAATTGCAATGCAGGAAAAGAAAATAAAGGAGGATCGGGTGCTTGGGGAAATGGAAGAAGAGAATTAGAGAGATGAAATTTAGTATCCAACTACGGTCCAATTTCATTATCTAACCTCTTCATTTGAAACTTCATTCTTCCTGGTTTTTCTTCAATTGTTGTCTCACACCACCTCTCTTCTGCCCTTGAATCAGATATTGCTACCTCAAGATGCTTCTGTTCATTTGAAACTTCATTCTTTATGGTTTCATTTGTTTCATTTGCTTCATTATTTAGGTGCTCTCTGTTTATCATAGCATCTTGTGATCTGCTGAAGCCTTCTTCTGGAGCACAGTCAGAAGCTTTTTCACTTATTTCAATGTCAAGATTGGAGGCTTCCATGGTTGTTCCTTTTAGTTGAGTGGTTTTCTGGTTCCCAAATGGAGAATCATCATATCTTTCCCTTTCTCCATCTTCACGAGGCTCTACTTTTGGAACTCCTATCAGAGAGCTCCGTTCTTCCTCATGAACTTCATTTGAATTTTCCTTTTGTATTTCTTCATTAAAGTAAAGCTCAACATCAGACACTTTGAGTTCGCTTGTCTCTTCTGCTGTGCTTGTAGCGTTTCCGTTCTCATCATCTTGTATCCCTCCAAGACTCTCTGTATCGGACTCAAACTCAACCAAAAAAAAAAACTTTAAAAAAAAAGGGCCCAACCCGCCCAAGCGCCCAGACCCGCCTAGGAGGCCGCCTAGCCGATTTTCGAACACAGAAATTTTCGGTTCCATTTAAAAAATACTACATGATGTTTTCCTGTGTTCATATGATCAGTGACTTGTTTATTTATCCTGCGGCTAAGCCAATAAGAAAAAGTCATAACATTTTGATGCTAACCTTACCTCTTCCGATCCTGTGTCTTTTTCTTTCGTATCACTTATGGCATTTGTATCTTCTTCTTTGGATTCTTTTATGTTCTGAATTGCTCTTTCCTCCTTTGTGCAGGTAATTACTTGTGCATTTTCTCTTGATGATTCTGCCTTGGTTTCTTCAGGCATCACATCCAGCAATTTTTGAAGCTCCTCTCCTGGTTCATATTTCTGCACAGCCCGTGGTGAACCTTCTTCACCAATTACCTTCGCACTCGTTTCTATAACCGCGACTGTACTAATATCATCCTTTGAAGCTTTTGCTGAAGCTGGGATGTTACCTTCTCCCTGCTGACCTTCTTCATATTTCACTGGTAAAGTACTAAGAATTTCTTCAGGGATCTTATTTGTCTCAGATACTGTGCTCTCACCTATTCCAGCAATATGTGACTCTAGAAGGATCTGCACAAAGATAGTTTATATTTAAAATATACATACAAAGAAAAATAATATTTTCTGTAGAGAGGCTTATAAGCTGACCTCTCCTTTCGACTCCACTGCATCCATCGTCTTCTTTGAACTTTTCACTTTCATCTTCTGGAATATACTCTGGTGAAAGGTCATCACCATTGCCTTTTTAAGCGTATAGCCGCGCGGCTTTACTGGGGTCCTTTTTAAAATTATTTTTAATAAATAGTATAGCCGCACGGCTATATGCTTTACATAGATAGTTAGAGCATTATCCATTACTATTAGGCCATTACCCGAGTCTCTATTATCTTCTTTTGAGTTTTTACTTTTTCAGAGTTATTTGACAACAAAAAAAAACTTTTTCCAGAGTTATTACTCGTACAAAGAATTTAGCATATTCACGTTTAATACTCATATTATACATGTGTGTACGTATTTTTCATGTTTAATACACTTGTTTTTAACAAAATTTTCAATAATACACGAAAAATGTACGTATTATTGAACAAAAAAAATATATATTAAAATATTAAAAAACTAATGATTCACTAAGTAAATAATAATTAAAACATAACTACTAATTGAAGAAATTAAAAAAGAGAAATTCTATCCATACTATTCAATGGGTATAGCCAATCGGCTATACTTCAAAAATAATAATTTATTTATAGTGTATAATTGTGTAGCTATACTGTTGAAGTATTCTATTAATAGAGTATCGCCGCACGACTATACTCATTTCACAAAAACACTTGCGGCTATACTCCGAATATTCTTTGTTATAAAAAGAGTATAGCCAGGCTGCTTTACTGGGGTTTTAAAAAAAAATTCTTTTTTATAAATAGTATTGCCGCGTGGCTATACTCTTTACATAGATAATGTGACTTTAAAATATATATATATATATATATATATTTCCCCGATTTTTGTTTATCGATAATATTAGTTTAGAGTATTATCTATTACTATTAGGCAATTACCCGAGTCTCTATTATCCCCTTTTAAGTTTTTACTTTTTCAGAGTTATTATTTGTATAAATAATTTAGCATTTTCACATTTAATACTTGTATTTTACATGTATGTACTTATTTTTCATGTTTAATACACATATTTTTTACAAAATTTTCAATAATACACACAAAATTCACGTATTTTTTCCATATTATTGAGTAAAAATAAAATATATTAAAATATTAAAATACTAATTATTCACTAAGTAAATAATAATTAAAACATAACTACTAATAAGTAATTAAAAAATAGAAATTGCAAGCGGCTATACTTTAAAATTCTATTTATAGAGTATAGCCGCCCTGAACGATTCTATTTATAGTGTATACCTTCTCCCTGCTGGCCTTTGTGGGGAAGGCCTTTATGTGGCCTTTTGTAGACCAACAGATAAATCATGGACTCCCTAAGTACTGCTCGTGTGTTTAGCGGAAGACAGACACAAGGAGACCGGTAGGTTTTCTCTCTTCTTTTTATTTATTATTTTTTGGTTTAGACAGACATATATACGCAGCTTTATTTTTCCTTTGCTGCATGGTACGCATGAATTGGTTTATGTAGTCGTTTCAAACTTTATAACTATTTCAGTTTGGGCTTTCGATACACTTCGAAGAACAATCTGTACTATAAAAAAAGAAGCTAAACCCTAAGTGAGAAAACCTTAAGAGAGAAAAGTTTTAGCCGCCGTCCCCCAAGGGTCGCTGGCCTCCATCCCTTTCTTCCTCCTCTTCCCTCCCCTCCTTCCTCCTTGCACATCCCCCCTAGCCCCTCCGTCTTGAGACGAGTTTGGTGGCTGCTTGGTTGTCCTACATATGCATGCAGGAAAACATGCCGATTAGAAAAGTTTCTAGGAACACAAGGTTGAAATGTACACAAGTTGGTTTTGCAATTTTCAGGCCACATTCACATACTACCGCCTGTCGAGAAAGTTGTTGCTTTCTCTCCCTCGACATTTTAGTCGCCACAAGATCACAATGGCGATGATGAGGATAAGAAGAGCAATTCAAGCAGTGATCAGTACCACTACTACAAGCAGGTGGTCTGATGAACTCCCAGAAGAAATCATGCAATTGATTCTGCAACGGCTATGCCTCCCAGACTATCTCCGCTGTGGCGCAGTATGCCGTTCTTGGAGAGCCGCCCTAGCCGTTAAGCGTTGCCCTCCTGCTCCTCAACTTCAGCTTCCCTGGCTCATGCTCCGTTCACACCCGTTCTCTCTCAAAGATCATTACTTCTTGAGTCTAAGTGACAACAAAACTCACAAGTCGTCGTCGTTTGGCTCTAACGATTATATAAGCAGGCGAGATTGTGTTGGTTCCATCGAGGGGTGGTTGATTATGGTTGATAGTGAATTTTGGCATCCCGAGGGTTTTTTGTATCCGTGGTCATTCTGCTTGCACGCCTTGCAAGATTATCATCTCAAGTACCCTTATACTACCCTCAACTTCTTCTTGAACCCAATTTCAGGTGTTCGGGTCATGCTGCCATCACAATCCACCATTCCATACATGTACGGCACCAGACCTTTCTTTTTCAAGAAAGTGGTAGCCTCTTCATTGCCGTTGCTAACGACATCGTCGTGGTCAAAATCAGATGATCATCATCATCGTCATCAGATAATAAACTCATCATGTCTTGTGGCTGGCCTTTGCGGGGAAGGCCCTTATTTGGCCTTTTGTAGACCAACAGATAAATCATGGACCCTCATTGAGCCAGTGCTAGAGGGTACACGCTTCACTACTCTGGATATAGAAATAATTGATGGGAAATTATATGCTGCAAATCGGGATGCAGCACAGTTTTTGATCGTGTACGATCTCCAAATGTTACACGCTGAAGGCCATGCCAATGCCGGGCCTCCTGGTAATAAGTACAGCGGGCCGCCTCAAAAGTTGGTTATGCTTCATCCAAGGCCAGTTCGTTCCCTGTCCTCTAACACTATGGGTGGCGTGGTATATGTTACCGAAAAGGAAAGCCCTCGCTTAGCAAAAGATCCTACAACAAAGGAGCTGTTTATGATTCTCCATAACACTAGTTTTGCATATGAAAAGGATCCAATAATTCCCCAGTCCCTCTTAGGTCACAATTATGTCATTCCACCTCAAACTAAAGGATTTCGAGTGTTCAAGCTTGAATGTAACAACAATGGTCCTCAGTGGGTAGAGGTTGAAGACCTCGGCGGGGATAGGATATTGTTCCTGAGCAAGGCAAGCAACAAGCTCATCTCTGCTACAAGCCTCAGTCTCAGTTATGGCGATTATAAGAAGAGAGTTGAAGGAAATTGCATTTGTTTTGCTTTCGATAATCCTTGTTTAGCATCACCGTGGATGGGACGCGACTTTGGGGTGTTTTCCTTGACAAACAAGAACATCCAGCGTTTTATTGTTCCCAATGATCACCCTCGTACTAGCCTATTCAATACTCAAACTGTTTGGTTCACACCATACATTGAATAGCTAGCTAGCTAGTTGATTTTTATTATTCATGTGCATATTGGCAACTTATAGGTAACTTCAGTAATGGTATCTCTCGGTATATTTTCTTTTTTGAGATTTAAGGTTGGTATGCGTGATTTAGATATAAGAATTGAGAAAAATAAAATAAAATATCACTCAAATAATCAAAATGATGAACACAATGGCTCTGTACACTCCATTTTCTTGTATATATGCACTAGAAATTGGCAAAAAGATTACAAATTTACAATAAGGCAATTCTTTAACTCACTTTATACAAATAAAGAATATTGAACTTATTCAAGCTGCACAAGCACACATACCACACTCAAACCTCTTAGAACAAGCACACCCACATAAAACCTTTATTCATCCAATTCTTCAACTGTCGGAACCGACTTGGTTTTGTTTATTTATTTATTTATTTTTCTGATTGTGTCTTTGAATGAGAAGACTTGCCGGTAATGGCTTTCTTCACCTTGGAAATTGAATGCTTGATACCCGAAAGGATATTATGGGATTTCTTATGTGAAATCTTAGCGTCAGCATCTCTAGAGGCTTCTACAATGACGGGAGAATCATAGCCTGGCTCTGCATTTTTGTGTTCATTTTCTCCCGTCTCTTCATATGTTTTTACTTCTTCAGCATTTTCGTGCTCTTCTTCTTCCTCTTCAGTTTGCACTTCTTTGCTAGCTGTTGTATCTTTCTCCTCAGGCAACTGAATTATAGATGAAATATTCAATATTATAGGTTATGAGGATTTATCTTAAAATGGTAATTAAGAACGTTTGTTTTCTATTCACTGACCTCGCCCCGATTTTCGTTTGTTCTGATCACAGAACTTTCATTGGTCTTCTCTACTTGATACTCTTCAGCTATTGTTTTTTTTTCTTGATGGCTCTCTTCTCTGACAGAGTCTGCCTCAGAATCCTTTGGAAGTTCCTTATCCTCCTTGATCTGATAATATACCCCGTGTTAGTACTTTCTCTAATATATAGATAACTGCAGGAAAAAAATATGATGGGGTAGTCCAATTGTATATTTGACCTCATCATTTGAAAGTCCAGTCTTAATTTTTCATTTGCTTCAACTGTTGTGTCACACAGATTCTCTTCGGTTTGAAGTTCTTTGTCTTCAGTTAAATGTTTAGCCACTTGTGTAGTTTCTTTCGGGGATTCCTGCATGAGTATACATAACAGAATCTTTAAAGATTGAACTTCACACATAATGAAAAACTAAGACAAGAATGCTGTCTATGCTCTAACCTCGTTGTCCTGATTTTCATTTCTTGCGGTATTAAATGATTCACTCTTCTCTCCTTCATATTTTTCAGCTATCAACTCATTTTCTTGTTCTCTATGGCTGATGTTTTCTCCACTAACAGAAATGGGCCGCAAATCTTTTGCCTCTAGCTTTTCAGCCTCCATCTGTTTTAAGTTTCCACCTAAGTTAATACAGAAATTGCAATGCGAGAACAGAAAATAAAGGAGGAGGGTGTTTGGGGAAAGGAAAGAAGAGAATTAGAGAGATGAAATTTAATATCTAAGTACGGTCCAATTTCATTATCTAACCTCTTCATTTGAAACTTCATTCTTCCTGGTTTCATTTGCTTCAATTGTTGTCTCACACCACCTCTCTTCTGCCCTTGAATCAGATATTGCTACCTCAAGATGCTTCTGTTCATTAGAAACTTCATTCTTTATGGTTTCATTTGTTTCATTTGCTTCATTTGCTTCATTCTTTAGGTGCTCTCTGTTTATCGTAGCATCTTGTGATCTGCTGAAGCCTTCTTCTGGAGCACAGTCAGAAGCATTTTCACTTGTTTCAATGTCAAGATTGGAGGCTTCCATGGTTGTTCCCTTTAGTTCTGTGGTTTTCTGGTTCCCCAATGGAGAATCATCATATCTTTCCCCTTCTTCATCTTCATGAGGCTCTACTTCTGGAACTCCTATCAGAGAGCTCCGTTCTTCCTCATGAACTTCATTTGAACTTTCCTTTTGTAATTCTTCACTAGAGTAAAGCTCAACATCAAACACTTTGAGTTCGCTTGGCTCTTCCTTTGGCAAGCTTTTCTCTTCTGCTGTGCTTGCAGCGTTTCCGTTCTCATCATCCTGTATTTGCACATTGCTCATGTTTTCTTCTTCTGTCGTAGTGATTGTGGCATGCTTCGTTTCACCTGTGAGAAATGCAGTAGATGGAGTCTCTTTTAATATCACTTTACAGAGTGTCTGATCATCGACAACTTCATCTTCGGTAACTACATCAATGCTTTGAGAAGCAAATTTATTTGCTGTTTCACAAATTTCTTCTGTTTCTTCTGCAGTTTCATCTGCATCCAGTGTCTTCAGAGCCATTTCAGAAACCTTGGCATCCTTGGGCTCTTCCTTTTGTGGACGTATCTCTTCCGAGGTAGTTCCATGTTCATCTTCAGAAGCTTTGATCTCCTTTTCCTCATGAAGCAATATAGAAGATGGTATCTGAAGTTGCTCTTTTGATATCCCTTCATGGACTATCTGATAAGCAATGATCTCATCTTTGGAAACTACATCAGTGCTTTGAGAATCAGCTTTAGACACTGTTTCAAAGGTTTCTTTGACTTCTTCTGTTTCATCAGCATTCAACTCTTCTGGAGCCAATTCAGAAACTTTGAGCTCCCTGGGCTCTTCCTTGTGCAAGATTGTCTCTTCTGGCATTTCTATTTTCTTGGCATGCTCTTCCTCTATGGATTTGTCTTGGGTTGTAATTCCGTGCTTGTGTTCATAAGTTTTGAGCTCCTCTTCCTTGGGAAGCAAACTATGAGATGGTATCTGAAGTTGCATGTCTGTTATCCCCTCAAGGAGTGTTTGATCATCAATGATTTCATCTTTGGAAACTGTATCAATGCTTAGACAATCAGATTTAGAGACCGTTTCAAAACTTTCTTTGATTTCTTCTTCACTTTCACCGGCATCTAGCTTTTCCAGAGACAATTCAGAAGCTTTGAGCTCTCTGGGTTCTTCCTTTTGCAAGTGTGCCTCTTCTACTGACCTTGCAGCAAATAAATCTCCCGTGTTTTCATCAGCTGGCACTGCCCTTTCATGTGTGTGCTCTTCTTCTATATTCTTGTCTTGGGTTGTAGTTTCATGCTCATGTTGATTAGATTTGAGCTCTTTTTCCTCGGGAAGCAATGTAGAAGATGGTATTTGAAGTTGCTCTTTTGATATCCCTTCGTGGAGTGCCTGACAAGCAATGATATCATCTTTGGAAACTACATCAATGCTTTGAGAATCAGATTTAGGAACTATTTCAGATCCTTCTCTGATTTCTTCATCAGTTGCATCAACATCTAGCTTTTCCAAAGCCAAATCCGAAACCTCCTTGTGCCCTTCCTTTCTCAAGCTTGTCTCTTCTGCTGTCCTTTCAGCAAAAGAAGCTTTGACCTCCAGGTTGTAAACCTTGTTTTCATATGCTAAATCACTAGTTTTAACCTGTACCTCCTCTCCCAATTCATATTTCTCCAAAGACTGTGATGAATCTCCTTCTTCATTTGATGTCACCTTTTCACTTGTTTCTGTCACTGTAACTGCACCATTGTTGCTATCATCGTCTTCAGCCACTTTGACAGAAAATGTTTCTTCATCTTTATCCTCCTCATTTGAAGCTTTTGCTGAAGTTGGACTGTTACCTTCTCCAAGTGGACCTTCTTCATATTTCACTGGTAAAGAATAAAAAATTTCTTCAGACCTTTCAGCAATCTTGCTTGTCTCACATGCGGTGCCCTCACCTACTCCAGCAGCATGTAACTCTTGAAGGATCTGTATAAAAGATAAGATTATATTTAAAATAGACATACAAATACAAACCAATATTTTCCCTAGGGACAAAGTGAGCCTTATAAGCTAACCTCTCCTTTGAACTTCACTGCTTCTAGTTTGTCATCTTTGAACTTTTCACTTCCATCTTCTGGAATAGACTCTAGTTGGAGGTCATTAGCATTGAGTTCTTTTATGTTCTCTATGCTGCTTCCCTCTTCCTTTAACTTTTCTGTCTCCTTGTCATTGTCTTGAGAGTTCTTAACTGTTTCTTCTTGAATTAATTCTGGTGAAAAAATTGCAGCATTGGCTTCTATGACTTGTCCTTTATTGAAATCTCCCTCAGTGTTCTTTGGTTCATCAAAGACCTGGTCCAACATTTGAGGCTTCACCTAGAAAAAGGAAGAAATTTAGAAATATGAGATTAATTAGTGTTTTTATATAATTGTGTTGTGTGCATGCTGTCACATGCATATGCTCATCATAATTTATATTGCATACCTCTTCAGCTATCATGTTATTATTCTCATCTTCAACTCTCAGTGTTGGTTCTGCTTCTTCAAGACTTTGCACTTGAAAGTTAACAGGGGCGTCATCTAAATTGATATTTCCAAGTCCTACCTTCTCTTCACCTTCATCCACAACCGCAACTGTTGGAATCTGGCTCTCTGAGAACTCTTTTGAGTTGGAATTTTCATCTGATTGTTCATCAATACCTTCAACGTCCAAGGTAGTTCCATCCGTCAAGATGGTTGCTAGACCCTTCACATCAAGAGCAGTATCAGTATTTTCGACCTGCTCTTTGTTTTCTGCTTCAGCTTCCTTCAGGACTGTTTGGTGCCTCACAATTCCAGACACAGAGTCAGAATTGATAACTGTGGAGCCATCCTTCTCAGATACCTCGGACTGAAAGGAATTACTTTCTTCTGCATGGGTTTCTTCCTCTGAAATAGGAGTACAGAGGTCCTCATTTGGCTTTCTTTTGTCCTCAAAAGTTTCAGAGTCTGTTTCCTCTGTTTCCTCCTCCATCATATTTGTGACCTCAATGGGCTCTTTACATTCCTCATGCGCTTCCTTTTTCTGTTATAAATTTGTAAATTGACAGCTGTAAATAAATAACATCATGGAACAATCTGAAAAAACTGATTTTGATATCGTATGCAAGCTGACCTCTTCTTTCAGAGTCGACACATAATTTTCTTCTTCTTCTGAGCTTTCCTTAATTATGTTGTCTCCCACCAGTGAAGAAGAGAGTTCCCGATTGGCCTGTTCCTCTAAGTTCCCTTGTACTATTTTTGTGCTAAAATCAGCTGCCTCAATACACGCCTACATGGAAAAGTGTGAGTTTTGTGATTAGAGAAGACCAAAAAGGGATCATGTATTTCAGTAAGGCTTATGCTTGTGTTCAAGACCTGATATTCCGTGGAGTTGTCTTCAGTTGTCTCTTTATCATTGAATTCTTGAGGATGAATTTCCCGTAATGCATGTTCTCCTGTTTCTTGTTCTCTGCTGTTTCTCTCCAACACCTATATAATATAAGAGATGAAAGGATTATAAACTGGGACAGCAGGCATATAATGCCAATATATAACAATTTGTTTCCTTATTGATGATAGCAGGTAGCTTCTAAGGTTTCTTCTGATAGTAACAAAGGCTGTCAGCTTTCAACTGCTGGTTCATAGGAGTTCTTCCTAACAATTTTCCAAATCTTACATAAACTTTTCTATAGCATTATAGCACCTTGAAGACAATGGATTAAGAAAAGAGTGAAACTATAAATATATATTTTCGCAATGTTCGATAAATCGCTAGGCCGTAGGCGGGCGGCAGGCAGGGGCCTAGCGCCTAGAGGAGTAGTAATCGCGGCCTAGGCATTTCTTTTTATATATAATTATTTTGTACTATAAATTATAAAATTATACCAAAATCATGCAAAATAAAAGGATACATAAATTATAAAGTACATAATTGATATAAAATATGGAAAAAAAAAGTTCAGCATAAAGCATATAATAGTACTAGAAATGAAAAGCTAGGCCTCTAAGTCTAACTCTTCCTCCTCTCCATAACCCTCCAAGTCGGTGTCGGACTCAAACTCAACCAAAAAATAAAAAAAACTTTTTAAAAAAGGGGACCCAGCCCGCCCAAGCGCCCAGACCCGCCTAGATCCTAGGCGGCCGCCTAGCCGATTTTTCGAACACATAAATTTTCGGTTCCATTTTAAAAATACTACATGATGTTTTCCTGTGTTCATATGATCAGTGACTTGTTTATTTATCCTGCGGCTAAGCCAATAAGAAAAAGTAATAACATTTTGATGCTAATCTTACCTCTTCCGATCCTGTGTCTTTTTCTTTCGCATCATTTATGGCATTTGTATCTTCTTCGTTGGATTCTTTTATGTTCTGAATTGCTCTTTCCTCCTTTGTGCAGGTAATTACTTGTGCATTTTCTCTTGATGATTCTGCCTTGGTTTCTTCAGGCATCACATCCAGCAATTTTTGAAGCCCCTCTCCTGGTTCATATTTCTGCACAGCCCGTGGTGAACCTTCTTCACCAATTACCTTCGCACTCGTTTCTATAACCGCGACTGTACTAATATCATCATCCTCGACTTCAGCCAACTTGACAGGAAATGTGTCCTCAATTGGGTCTTCTTCCTTTGAAGCTTTTGCTGAAGCTGGGATGCTACCTTCTCCCTGCTGACCTTCTTCATATTTCACTGGTAAAGTACTAAGAATTTCTTCAGCAATCTTATTTGTCTCAGATACTGTGTTCTCACCTATTCCAGCAGTATGTGACTCTTCAAGGATCTGCACAAAAGATAGTTTAGATTTAAAATATACATACAAAGAAAAATAATATTTTCTGTAGAGAGGGAGGCTTGTAAGCTGACCTCTTCTTTCGACTCCACCGCATCCATTTTGTCTTCTTTGAACTTTTCACTTTCATCTTCTGGAATATACTCTGGTGAGAGGTCATCACCATTGCCTTCTTTCATGCTCTCTACACTGCTTCCCTCTTCTTTGAGATTTTTTATCTCTTTTTCAATTTCTTGGGAGTTATTACCTGTATCTTCTTCAATTGATTCTGGTGAAAAGGTGACATTGCCTTCTAGGATTTCTTCTTTGTTCAAATCTCTGCCTGTGATCTTTGGTTTATCAAAGACCTGCAACCATTGCGGCTTCATAAAGAATAAGGAAAGATATAAATTGTATTGTATTTAGTGTTCGTACGTAATTTTGTGCTTTGCATGTCACATGCATATATATGTTCATTCATGTTCTATTATATTGCATACCTCTTCAACTATCATGTTATTCTTCTCAGGATGATCTTCTGTTTCGTGACTCTCATCTTCAACTCCCAATGTTGGATCTGCTTCCTCAAGACTTTGCACTTGAAAGCTTTGCTCCGTGGTCTTACCTGCTTCTGTTGGAATCTGATTTTCCACGAACTCCGTTGAGTCAAAATTTCCCCCCTCTGCTTCTACGTAAATTTCTTCAATGTCTAAGGCCGTTTCATCTGTTAAGATGGTTGCTAGAACCTTCTCTTCAGGAGCAATATCATTTTCTACCCGCTCATTGTGTTCTGATTCGGATTCCTTCAAGCCTGTTTCACCTTCATCTGCTGCTGTCGGAATCTGCTTCTCCAAGTTTTCTTTTAAGTTGAAACTTTCCTCTGCTTGTACATCACTATCTTCAATTTCTGATGCTGTTTCATCTGTTAAGATGGTTGCCAGAACCCTCTCTTCAGGAGCAATATCATTTTTTACCTTCTCATGATTTTCTGTTCTGGCATCCTTCAATCCTGTTTCACCTTCATCTGCTGCTGTTGTAATCTGCTTCTCCAAAATCTCTTTGGAGTTGAAAATTTCTTCTGCTTTTACATCAATATCTTCAATGTCCAAGGCCGTTTCAACTGCTGAGATGGTTGCTAGACCTTTCTCTTCTGGAGCAGTATCAGTAGTTTTTGTCTGCTCCTTGTTTTCTGTTTCGGCATCCTTAAAGCATGTTTTATCTTCATCTGCTGCTGTTGGAATCTGCTCCTCCAAGTTCTCCTTTGAGTTGAAATTTTGCTCTGCTTGAACATCAATATCTTCAATGTCCATGGATGTGTCATCTTTTAAGACGGTCGCTAGACCTTTCTCCTCATGAACAATATCAGTATCTTTGATCTGCTCATTATTTTCCGCTTTGGCTTCTTTCAAGCATGTTCCACCTTCATCTGCTGCTGCTGGAATATGCACCTCCAAGTTCCCCTTTGAGTTGAAATTTTGCTCTGCTTGTACATCAATATCTTCAACATCCAACAATGTCTCATCTGTTAAGATGGTTGCTAGAACCTTCTCTTCAGGAGCAATATCATTTTTTACCTGCTCATTTTTTTCTGCTTCAGCGTCCTTCAAGCCTGTTTCACCTTCATCTGCTGCTGTTGTAATCTGCTTCTCTAAAATTTCCTCTGCTTTTACATCAATATCTTCAATGTCCAAGGCTGTTTCAACTGCTGAGATGGTTGCTAGACCCTTCTCTTCTGGAGCAATATCAGTAGTTTTTGTATGCTCCTTGTTTTCTGTTTCGGCATCCTTAAAGCACGTTTTATCTTCATCTGCTGCTGTTGGAATATGCTCCTCCATGTTCTCTTTTGAGTTGAAATTTTGCTCTGCTTGTACATCAATATCTTCAACATCCAAGGATGTGTCATCTGTTAAGACGGTTGCTAGACCTTTCTCCTCATGCACAATATCAGTATCTTCGACCTGCTCCTTATTTTCTGCTTTGGCTTCTTTCAAGCATGTTTCAACTTCATCTGCTGCTGTTGGAAACTTCTTCTCAAAGTTCTCTTTTGAGTTGAAATTTTCCTCTGCTTGTACATCACTATCTTCAATTTCTGATGCCGTTTCATCTATTAAGATGGTTGCTAGACCCTTCCCTTCTGGAGCAATACTGATATCTTTTGTCCGCTCCTTGTTTTCTGATTCGGCTTCCTTCAAGCATGTTTCGCCTTCATATGCTGCTGTTGGAATCTGCTTATCCAAGTTCTCTTTTGATTTGAAGTTTTGCTCTTCTTGTACATCAGTATCTTCAACGTCCAAGGCCGTTTCAACTGCTGAGATGGTTGCTAGACCCTTCTCTTCCGGAGCAATATCAGTAGTTTCTGTCTGCTCCTTGTTTTCTGTTTCAGCATCCTTAAAGCATGTTTTATCTTCATCTGCTGCTGTTGGAATCCGCTCCTCCAAGTTCTCTTTTGAGTTGAAATTTTGCTCTGCTTGTACATCGATATCTTCAACATCCAAGGATGTGTCATCTGTTAAGACGGTCGCTAGACCTTTCTCCTCATGAACAATATCAGTATCGTTGACCTGCTCCTTATTTTCTGCTCTGGCTTCTTTCAAGCATGTTTCAACTTCATCTGCTGCTGTTGGAAACTGCTTCTCTAAGTTCTCTTTTGAGTTGAAATTTTCCTCTGCTTGTACATCACTATCTTCAATTTCCGATGCCTTTTCATCTGTTAAGATGGTTGCTAGACCCTTCTCTTCTGGAGCAATATTGATATCTTTTGTCTGCTCCTTGTTTTCTGATTCGGCTTCCTTCAAGCATGTTTCTCCTTCATTTGCTGCTGTTGGAATCAGCTTCTCTAAAATCTCTTTAGAGTTGAAATTGTCCTCTGCTTTTAAATCAATATCTTCAATGTCCAAGGCCGTTTCAACTGCTGAGATGGTTGCTAGACCTTTCTCTTCTGGAGCAATATCAGTAGTTTTTGTCTGCTCCTTGTTTTCTGTTTCGGCATCCTTAAACCATGTTTTATCTTCTTCTGCGGCTATTGGAATCTGCTCCTCCAAGTTCTCTTTTGAGTTGAAATTTTGCTCTGCTTGTACATCAATATCTTCAACGTCCAAGGATGTGTCATCTGTTAAGACAGTCGCTAGACCTTTCTCCTCATGAACAATATCAGCATCTTTGACCTGCTCCTTATTTTCTGCTTTGGCTTCTTTCAAGCATGTTGCAACTTCATCTGCTGCTGTTGGAAACTGCTTCTCTAAGTTCTCCTTTGAGTTGAAATTTTCCTCTGCTTGTACATCACTATCTTCAATTTCTGATGCCGTTTCATCTGTTAAGGTGGTTGCTAGGCCCTTCTCTTCTGGAGCAATATTGATATCTTTGGTCTGCTCCTTGTTTTTTGATTCGGCTTCCTTCAAGCATGTTTCTCCTTCATTTGCTGCTGTTGGAATCTGTTTCTCTAAATTTTCCTCTGCTTTTAAATCAATATCTTCAATGTCCAAGGCCATTCCAACTGCTGAGATGGTTGCTATACCCTTCTCTTCTGGAGCAATATCAGTAGTTTTTGTCTGCTCCTTGTTTTCTGTTTCGGCATCCTTAAAGCATGTTTTATCTTCATCTGCTGCTGTTGGAATCTGCTCCTCCAAGTTCTCTTTTGAGTTGAAATTTTGCTCTGCTTGTACATCAATATCTTCAACGTCCAAGGATGTGTCATCTGTTAAGACGGTCGCTAGACCTTTCTCCTCATGAACAATATCAGTATCTTTGACCTGCTCCTTATTTTCTGCTTTGGCTTCTTTCAAGCATGTTTTAACTTCATCTGCTGCTGTTGGAAACTGCTTCTCTAAGTTCTCTTTTGAGTTGAAATTTTCCTCTGCTTGTACATCACTATCTTCAATTTCTGATGCCGTTTCATCTGTTAAGATGGTTGCTAGACCCTTCTCTTCTGGAGCAATATTGATATCTTTTGTCTGCTCCTTGTTTTCTGATTCGGCTTCCTTCAAGCATGTTTCTCCTTCATTTGCTGCTGTTGGAATCTGCTTCTCTAAAATCTCTTTAGAGTTGAAATTTTCCTCTGCTTTTAAATCAATATCTTCAATGTCCAAGGCCGTTTCAACTGCTGAGATGGTTGCTAGACCTTTCTCTTCTGGAACTATATCAGTAGTTTTGACCTGCTCCTGATTTTCTGCTTCGGCTTCTTTCAAGAATGTTTCACGTTCATCTGCTGTTGTTTGAATCTCCTTCCCCAAGTTCTCTTTTAAATTAAAATTTTCCTCTGCTTGTACGTCATTATCTTCAATGTCCAAGGCCGTTTCATCTGTTAAGATGGTTGGTAGACCCTTCTCTTCATGACCAATATCAATATTTTTCGCCTGCTCCTCATTTTGGGCTTCAACTTCCTTCAAGAACGTTTCACCTTCATCCGCTGCTTTTGGAATCTGCCCCTCCAAGTTCTCGTTTGCGTTGAAAGTTTCCTCTGCTTGAACATAAATATCTTCAATGTCCAAGGATGTTCCATCTGTTAAGATGGTTACTAAACCCTTCTCCTCAGGAATAATATCAGTATTTTTGACCTGCTCCTTATTTTCTGCTTGGGCTTCTTTCAAGCATGATTCATGTTCATCTGCTGTTGTTGGAATCTGCTCCTCCAAGTTGTCTTTTGAATTGAAATTTTCCTCTGCTTGTACATAAATGTCTTCAATGTCCAAGGCCGTTTCATCCGTTAAGATGGTTTCTAGACCCTTCTTGTCCGGAGCAATATCAGTATGTTTGATCCCCTCCTTGTTTTCTGCTTCTGCTTCATTCGAGAATGTTTCAGCTTCATCTGCTGATGTTGGAATCTGCTCCTCCAAGTTGTCTTTTGAATTCAAATTTTCCTCTGCTTGTACATTAATGTCTTCAATGTCCAAGGCTGTTTCATCCGTTAAGATGGTTTCTAGACCCTTCTCTTCAGAAGCAATATCAGTATGTTTGATCTCCTCCTTGTTTTCTGCTTCAACTTCCTTCCATAATGTTTCACCTTCATCTGCTGCTGTTGGAATCTGCTCCTCCAAGTTCTCTTTTGAATTGAAATTTCCTCTGCTTGGACATAAATGTCTTCAATGTCCAAGGCAGTTTCATCCGTTAAGATGGTTTCTAGACCCTTCTCTTCCGGGGCAATATCAGTATGTTTGATCTCCTCCTCCTTTTCTACTTCTGCTTCATTCAAGAATGTTTCACCTTCATCTGCTGATGTTGGAATCTGCTTCTCCAAGTTGTTTTTGAATTCAAATTTTCCTCTGCTTGTACATTAATGTCTTCAATGTTCAAGGCCGTTTCATCCGTTAAGATGATCTCTTGACCCTTCTCTTCAGAAGCAATATCAGTATGTTTGATCTCCTTCTTATTTTCTGCTTCAGCTTCCTTCCAGAATGTTTCACCTTCATCTGCAGCTGTTGGAATCTGCTCCTCCAAATTCTCTTTTGAATTGAAATTTTCCCCTGCTTGTACAGCAATATCTTCAATGTCCAAGGCTGTTTTATCTGTTAAGATGGTTTCCACACCCTTCTCTTCAGGATCAATATTTTGGACATGCTCCTTATTTTCTGCTTCAGCTTCTTTCAAGCATGTTTCAGGTTTATCTGCTGTTGTTGGAATCTGATTCTCAAACTTCTCTTTTGAATTGAAATTTTCCTCTTCTTGTACATCAATCTTTTCACTGGTGAAGATGGTTGGTAGAACCTTCTCTTCAGGAGTAATATCATTCTTTTTTTCCTGCTCCTGGTTCTCTGTTTCAGCTTCCTCCAAGCCTGTTACTTGACTCACTATTCCAGACACAGAGTCAAAATTGCGAACTGTAGGCACATAGTTCACCTGAAAATGTTTTTCGATCTCCATCTCGGGTACATCAGAGAGAAAGGAATTTTTTGGAACAAATGTTTTCTTGCTTTCTTCTGCATGGTTTCCTCCCTCTGAAATTGGAGCATAGATGTCCTTATCTGTCTCTGTTCTGTCTTCTGTAGTTTCAGATTTGAAGTCTTGTGTCAGATTTGCTCCCTCAGCGGGCTCCTTACATTTTGCATGTGCTTCCTTTCTCTGTTAGGGATATGATTTTGTGAATTGGCATTTGTAAAATAATAGTATGATGAAATCATCTAAAGAAAATAAAAATTCTGATATTGTATGCAAGCTGACCTCTTCTTTTAGTATCACTCCATAGATTTCTTCTTCCTCTGAGATTTCCTTAGTTGTTTCTTCTACTAACAATGAAGAAGAGAGTTTCTGAATTTCCTGCTCCTCTAAGTTCTTTTCCTCTATAATTGTACTCAAATCAGCTGCCTTAGTACATGCCTAAAATGGGGGAAAAAAAGAACTCAACAAAGTTTCTATGGGGGTGATGGGAGATTACATATCACATGATAAGCCAGAAAGAAAAACTCATAACAAAGTTTATCCTAATCTTACCTCCACCACTGCAGTGTCATTTTCTTCTGTATTATTTGTGCTTTCGATATCTTCTTTCTTTTCTTTGTCTGAGGATTCTTGTGAGTTCTGAATTGTTCTTTCCTCTTTTCTGCAGATAATTACTTCTGCACTTTCCCTGGATGTTTCTGTCTTAATGTCCTCAGGCATCACATCCAGCACATTTTGAAGCTCCCCTCCTGGTTCATATTTCTGCAAGGCCTGTGGTGCATCTTCTTCATCATTTGATGTTACTTTTGCACTCATTTCTGTAACCGAGATTGCACTGTTATAGTCATGATCTTCTTCAGCCACTTCGACAGTAAATGGGTCCTCATCTCTGTGATCCTCTTCTGTAGCTTTTGTTGGAGCTGTGTTCTTACCTTCTCCCTGCTCACCTTCTTCACATTTCACTGTTGACGTAATATTTTCAGGTATTTCGATATTCTTATTTAGCTCCCGTGTGGTGCTCTCACCTCCTCCAGAAATCTCTGGTTCTTTAAGAACCTGCATAAAGATATCTTTGAATTATATTATCTCTAGGATATTCTGCAAAGAAAATAAAATGAACCAAATATTGGATAAAAGAATCATTGAAAAAGGTCTGAGAGATATTATTAATTAACAGAACTTTATAGTCAAGAACTTTTGAATTCCAATAAAAGGGGGTTCAAGTAGGTATTTTAGTTACCTTTTCTTCAGGAATTTCATCTTCAGTGATTTCATAACTAGGAATTGCTGAATCTTCCTTCCCTTCTTTCTTGAAGCTTTGTTCAAGGTTTATAACTTGTCTCTCTGCTTCATCAGTGGTAATTGTTTTGGTATTTTCTCTCAAACTTTCTGTGTCATTCTCCTCAGAATTTAAATTAAAGGGTCTTTCAGTATCGTAGTGTGCAGATTCAATTTGCTCAACTAAGTTAGTCTCAGTTTCTCCTTTGTGTTCTGCTGAATTCATATTGCTCTGCTCTGTTTCCTGGATAGGTCCTACAGCAGCAAATCCTTGGCTATCCTCCTCCTCCCCTGCTTTAGCCTCTCCCACATCCAGTGCCTCACCTTTTCTCTGTGTATTTTCCTCATGTTTCATGCATGGACTGCCAAAATGTCGTTCTGAACTTTCATCATCTTTAACTGTTTCACTTGCAGTGTTACTGGCTTCAGGAGTTTCCTCAAGGAATTCGTTTTGGTACTCAGGTTCTTTTGGACTCTCCTTGATGATGTCTTCTGACCCGATTTCAGGATATACTTCAAATATATCAGGATTTCCTACTTCCGGCAAGTGTGCCTCTTCTGTTTGTGTGATAAGTGGAGTGTCTGGGATACCAGGGGCCTCATTTGCCTTCTTCCCTACTTCAAGTCCAGCTTTTTCCTCATGATCATCTGTCATAGATGTCTTTTGTAGCTTGTCCTCAGCACACTCTTTAGCTTCCAAGGCTGGTTCATCATTCGGAATGTCAGGACCTGCAACTATTGTTGAGCTGGAGTCATCATCTGTACTTCTATCATTGTTAAACACAGTTGCTTCAGGCTTCTCCTCATACACTGCATAAAAGGACTCCGGTGCCTTGTTCTTTAGTCCTTTGATTCCTGTTTCTTCCTCAAATTCTTCTTGAAATATGGTATTGGTGCTGGAGGTATTGTCTGTGTTTTCATCAATTGAAGTCTCTGGCATAATATCCTTCTTGAAGCTGTTGTTCGTCAAATCGAGAGTACGAACTGCAGCTTCATCCTCTTGAAATGAGCGTTCCTCAAGTAGAACGGAAACGTGTTCACTGGATGAATCAGCAATTTCATCTGCCATTTGCCTTCCTTTCACATCTTCATGTGAACTCTTTGCCTCCTTTTCAACACATTGTGGATTTTCATTGATTGAATCCTGTTGATCTGAGATTACTTGAACATGTTCATCAAGGTCATTGGCAATGCCATGACTTTCAATATGTTGTTCAGCCTTTTTGTCTATTTCTTCCACAACTTCTTTTTCTTTACTTTCTGTTTCTTCTACAACTCCAAACTCTTTGCCTCTCAGAAGCTGGTCTTCCTTGTCTAAACTCTCCATTTCTGCTTGATTTGATTCATCACCTTGGGAATTCTCCGATACGCAAGTCTCTTGTTTGTCAACCTTAGAATCTGAGGGTGATGCTAAAAAACTTCCTCCTTCTGAGATTCCAATGCTGCTGTTCTTGCTTTCAACCTGCGCACTACATCCCACCTGTGTGTTTTCACCCTCTGCAAAGCATTTCACTGTTTCCAGATGCTGATCAGACTCACCTTCAGATTTATTCACTTGCACAGGAGAACATTGGCTGATCATGATGTCGAACTGCCCGCTTGTCAAATATCTGCCTTCCCCTTCTTTCTACATTAAGAAGGAATTGTTACATTTTTTCTAACTAGGAGTTCTATAACAAAATGTAACAAAAGAAGCATAGAGTTACACATTGTTCTGGTTCTTTAACTATCATGGGCTTATTGTATCTCTCTCCCCTCTGGTTTGTGAATTCAAAAAACCATTTAGCATCACTTGTTATCGATTTAACTCATTTTGAGCCTCAAAATTGTATATCCTTTTTTATATTTATGAACACACTGAAGTTGTATTTTATTTTCTTTCGTGGCGCAGAATGTAGGTTAAGAAGCCATTCTTTGACGCATGGATGAAGTAGCTCAATGTTTTATGGTGAATGTTTGTTTTCGCAAGTGTTCTTTTAGAATACATATCTTCACTTTGCATATTTGGGTGTGTTTCTTTTCTTTCATTACCCCTTTTCTATAATTTATTTAGGTACTTTGTAGATAAGTGCATAATCTTATACACACAGGATGAAAACTATATGTTGGAGGGAAATAAAGATGAAAAGGCAGCAACCTTTTGATCTCTTTTGATAAAAAAAGATAAACTTTATAATACTAATCCTAAATAAGAAATGATCAAGCTTTAAGCATAACCATAATAGTTACGTTGAATTGTTCTTGTATGTATGTTGCAATCTGGTGTACCGGATTCATTGTTCTAACATCAAATTCAAAATTTCAAGCATAACAATAATAGTTACGTTGAATTGTTCTTGTCTGTATGTTGCAAACTTGAACACCTTTTTTCAATCCATAAGCAGTATTAGATGAACGAAGAGGATCTCCTCCTTTGTTTTTTCTCCCTCTTTTCTATCCTTCCTCAAAATTGAAATCTTAAGAGCTTAATAAACACAACCCAATTGTTCATTTTTTTAAGTGTACTTCAAAAGGAGAAGTTCGAGAAAGCCTCTTGATTTGAAAACAAATAAATCCAATTCAAGAGATCCACCACACAATGGACTTTGCAGGGGTGTTTGGGAACGCCGAGAGGTTACAGAAAACTTATGTTCGAAGAATATTTAAGAATGAAAAGGTTTAGAAACAGAATTTCTCCTTCCCAAACACCCCTGCAATGCCCAAATCACCGATTCCCATTTGGAATTGGAGGCTTCTAGTATGGTTTCTATGTTTTCTGCTCCTACAAGTTTTTTAGTGGAAAAAAAAAGGGATATAGTAACCCAATTGCAGCGTTGCCCATAAAGGAAGAGGTACATAATTGCAGTGGAAATAGAGACACAAATTTGGCTTCTGTTGACTTGTTTGATTTGAATTAGATTTTTTTGGAGTTTGATGATACTTATGCTTATATGGACTCTGTGGATGCAAGCAAAGATTTTTTGGAAACAGAATTGGCAGTAGAACATGTTGCAAGGAATGATAATGGAGTTTTGACAATTCGTGAGGAACAACAGCTCTTGTACGGGTACAGTGTAACTTGTCCAACTCCTCAGTCATCTCCCAGTGCAAGTGCAACAAATAGGGGTTCCTTTGACATGATGAGCACTTGTTTCTCTCCAGTTGTGCAACCTCATATTGATGCGCCAAGGGAACCAATTGGAGATATGTTGCCTAGTCTAAAGCTGCCGCTTAGTCCTGCCATCCCAGATTCCATGTCACAATGCAAGTCCGGTAAGGATTCTCTCGAAGCCGATTTATTTTATTTCATTTAAGCAGAATTTAATGGTTGATTTTTTTTATTGTTCTTGACTGTGTGGTGGATCTCTTGAATTGGATTTATTTGTTTTCAAAATCAAGAGACTTACTTGAACTTCTCCCTTGAAGTATACTAAAAAAAAAAGAACAATGGGGTTGTGTTTATTAAGCTCTTAAGATTTCAATTTTGAGGAAGGATAGAAAAGAGGGAGAAAAAACAAAGGAGAGGATCCTCTTCGTTCATCTAATACTGCTTCTGGATTGAAAAATGGTACCTGCTCATTGGTTTCTGGCTAAAAAAAGGTGTGTTCAGTTTTTTGCTGGAAAAGAAAGTGTTGAAGTTAAGATACTCCTTTGTAGTAACTAGCAATACATGATCTTGCCTACATATGATTGTGATTGATATTTCATCAAAGAGAACAATTATACTATAACGCATAATTATAAGATGAGATTATCATACAAAGATCATGAGATTACAGAAAAAAAACAGAGTAAGCTATTTGAGTAGTGATCAAGATTCTAGAATACCCTACCGTGACAGATATAGCTTCTGGAATATCAGCTTCTGTTGCCATTAATCCGCAGATAGTGGATTCTGAGGCGCATGAAGGAACTTTGTTTTGATCCAAACTCCAAAAGCTACCTCAAACTTTGGAGCTTTTAAGTTGAATTGAATCCACGGATGCAGCTAGCAAGCTTTTTATGTCTGCCTTTGTTGCTGCTGCTGCTGACTAGCTTTGCAGCTTTTGAGTTCAGTGTTTTTGATCATACTGTATTAATCTGTTGATAGTTATATTAGCAAAAGCAGCAGCCACAGGAACTGACAAAATTGTCACTTTTTATATTGCTAATAATATGCAATGTATGGATGAGTTGGCCACCAATGCGATGGTCCTACAGATTGATTGATTGATAGCTCACATGACCTGCTAGCCTAGACTCATGCAGCTTTACACAAACTGCACATTCAATTAGATCCAATTATTCTTAGGCAAAAATCGCAGCAGCCAGGCTTTTTTGAAAATTCCCTTTTTGTCATATCATTAACTTGTCCTATGAAAATGTGGGGTTACAGCTCCTTAATTTGCTTAATATAATTTGTTCCTCTTCCAGATAATATTTTTGCCGGATGAGTTTTGCAGTGCTGATCATTGTGATGGTAAAATGCAGACATCAAGTTTAGCTTTCAACTTTATTGGAGTTGGGTTTGGTCACGGATCAAGTGATATCGTCCAAATTACTTAACTTGGTTTACAATTAAAGAAGATTTGAACTTGAGTGGAAGGGGACAAACTCACTATCCTGATCGACTGACCTAATCCACACGCATATATCGGGTAATTTAGAAAACTGCGTATGGTGTAATTGAATTAAATTAGTGTGAGAAATATGAAAAGCAGGCTGTAGGTGCTTCTAGTTGGCTACTTTTATAATGAGTCCAAAGACTATATTCTCTCCAAGATAAGGCAACGATCATGATTTTGATATTTAAACACTCAGTCTGAAATTTAATTATGAGGAAAATAGTTTTTAAAATATGACGTTCCATGTTGGCATGCATGGGAGGGTCCCGCTGCTAGGTGTCCCAGGAAACCATCTCATTGAATCTCAACATCCAATGGGAATAATTGCTATAATCATGCTGATGTGGATTTTTTAGTCTTGGCATGGCCAAGTTGGCGCACCATCCAGCTAAATGATTTGTGCTGATGACCATCTAAGCCGTCCAAAAGGATTAGAATAATTGTGTGTGGAAATAAAATTGCTCGAAATTCAGATTTTATACCTAACTTGTTGTGTGTATCAGCGCACTTTGTTCATTTCTAGTAAGATTTACTCTCACCCAACTCTAGCTTTACGAAAAAAAATAGCATAAAATTACAAGACAACCATCTCCATCAAAAACCGACCAAATAAAAAGCATTGCTGATGTTGCTCGCCGCCCCTAGTTGGATAAGCAAAAGCTGTTTGCAACTTGGCTCTACTTTTTCAACAAAACAATCGTATATTACGAGAAAAAATAACACTTGTTTTACAATTTGATCACTTCGTGTAGAGCGATTCGTTTGATTGGGATGGCATTTGAAGGTCAGAATATGCGTGCAGCATGCACTATATATGTATTTAGCTTTAAAACGCTTTGAGATAATAAAATAAATTATTAAATAATTCATAATTTGTCTGTCCTTGTGCTTCGAGGTGCATGTTGTTGTCCCGAATAACATAGTACGCATAAACTTATAAGAGTAGTGTCACTAACAGTCGCTTATTCACGCATAAATACTGTGATTACGTTTAGCTATTCACTTTCATCGACGGCAGATAGTAACGCGGATACAATCCCAGAAGCTATAATCACCCACCCAACCAACCAAGTGTGGTTTAACTTGGTGATAAATTATAACTTGAGTGTTTCAATTCAAGTACGGTGGTCAAACCATGGGTATTGTCGCTATCTAGGATATATGTCCAATTCCAACCCGACTAAAAAAAGAATTAATGTCACGTCACAATTCACCAAGGTCCTATGGAGTCCCACCCCTTAAAGTTTATCAACATGATGCATTATTATTCCAATTTATATGATCCAAGAGCTGACGTTGGATCTGCACCGTCCAAGAAGAACATAGACTGTACTTGTTTCAGGATGGGCCCACCGACCCTGCACAACGCACATGAATTGACTACTACCAAAGCATCCCAGGACGGACTTGTAGTTGAGAGAGTGAGAAGAGGCTTATGTGGCACCAAGTCAGCTTTGATTTCGACTCTCCCATTGGATGGCTGAGATGGCTGGCCGCCCACTGGACCCCACATCTTCCTCAAGTAAAATCTTGCAACTGATTTCCACCCTCTGCGTTTCATGTGAACGTGGTATGGCTTTGGCAGATCAGCATTCGAATTCTTTGCTGATTTCATAAAGGAACACAAGAATTTTTGCCATTCTAATTCTTATCGACGTCTCAAACAAGTTACTGCTGCAACAATTTTTGGGATTTTCGTTAGCAGCAAATTTCCTGATTTTCTTACTATGCTTCTTCTCTTGATTGGGGAGTCGTGTGAAGGATTTTTTAAGGAAATGGATCTTGTGCATATCACATCATCCTTTAACAGACATTCAAACGGGTGATTATAAAATATTACGGTAATACAATAATGTGATATATCTTGTATAACGTGTTATAATATAAGTGGATATTTATTGATACTATTCTCTAAAAGGAAAAAAAATAAATCATGTTGTTTTCTCATATTATAACACGTGAAGATATACCACATGATTATGCTATCATAGTATTCTATAATTAGAAATTTAAAGTTGCAATAAAATCATAACTTTAGGTATAACATTGAGGTGTTTTAAAGATGAGGTTGGAGAGTAAAATGTAAATAACCTTTGTTTGTTGGTATCCCAGCCCGGCGGGGATTTATTCCATTCCTAGGTTGGAGAATGTAACATTTAATTAACCCTTAAAAAAAATAATTAATTCTACAATTTTTTTTGGGTACATTATATTTGTTGGTTAGTATTAGAAGGGTCTATTCTCGGCCTTGCCTTATTGAACACAACAACAATGGCCCAGGCCCAAGGCCCAGGCTGGGCAGAACCCGACAATAGTACGGTGATTTAACCTTAAACGACAACGTTCTGTAAGCCGGTGATTGTGCCCTGACTGGCAACATCAGTCCCCAGAAAATAATAATTCGAAACAAGGGCACAATCGTAAAAGCACAAGTAAACCAAAGGCGGGAAAAAGAGCCGTTGCTAACCAAACCTCAAGTTTTGGCGCCAAATTCCATTTCACACGGTTTGGGCTGCCCGCAATATTTCGGGCAGCTCTCTTGCTCAATCCCCACACTGATTAGGCTTGTTTTAACTTTTGCCAAATTGGCTGTGGACACCGCCAATATATATTTATATATAGCTCTTATTCCTCCACGCGAAGCTCTTTCTTATTTATTTTCTCTCAGAAAACTTTTCTTTCTCCATTAATTTCAAAGCCTGCTTTCACACTTTTTCTCAAACCGTCCTATTTCCCTCTCTTTCTCTAGCCGCCTCAAAATCTTTGGTTCACAAAGAAAAGAAACAAAGACCCTTTCCTCTCATTCTTTCTTCCCATCTTTCTCCCTGTGATTCTCTTAGCTTGTTTTCTTGGTTTGTTCTGATTCTTAGATCAAAACCCCATCTTTTCTTTTTATTTTTCTTGCCTCACTTTGTTGTTTCATTCCGATTCGTTGCCGTTGTTCTCGTTTTGTTCTGATTCTTAGAGCAAGATCCCACCTTTTGGTTTGGACTTTGGTCTGTGCTTGTTCTGTTTTGGCTGATTTTGGTGAAAGAGCAAATTTTTCTTTTTGTCAAAGATGGGTTTTTCAAAGAAGTCCCAAGTGGATGGAGGCCTAGAATCCGAAGGCAAGAAGTGGGTAATCGCCGGAATCTCAGTACGAACCTCGTTAAAGCCGATAAACACGAAACTGAGAGCTAAAGAAAGCGAAGCTGGAGAAGAAGAAGAGGCATCTTCAACAACCCCAACAGCCAAAGAAGCCAGAATACCTGAGATTTTTTCATGCCCGCCAGCCCCAAGAAAAAGCCGGCCTCCTTCAAGATGTAACTTCAATGGTGTGAGGGAGTTCTTTACCCCACCTGATTTGGACTCAGTGTTCAAACTCCATGTTGAGAAGGCAAATTGAGTTGACAGTAGGCTACTAAGACCAAAGAATTAGAGCAGAGATTAGGAGTTTTTGTTGTGTTTTTATCTATTAATTTTACCCTTTTAGTGTAACTCTCTGTCTTCCCTGTAATGGGTAGCTGATGTTGTACAAAGATATAATATTTTTATGTAATGGGTATTTCAGTTTAGTTTAGGTCTGGCTCTTTTCGCTTTTAGTGAAGATGATGTTTGACAAGGATTTTTTTTTTAATTTGCTTTAGCTTTAGTGGATATTTTTTGCTGTTTGAGCTGAGATCATTTTTGCATGTCTTGGAACTTGGAATGGAATTGCATTAGTAACAGTGCTTGTTTTTTTCTTGTTTGTTCCTGTGTCTCTGTTCATTATCAGATGTTATTGAGGCAAGGCAAGCATGGCTGATACAGAAATAGCTCTGTTCTTTCCTTCTTTCTGTATAAAGATAAATTATTTATGTAATGAATCTTCCAGTTTAGGTCAAGGTTTTCCTTAACCAAATAATTTTTTTTTATTTTAACATATCTTGTTTTCGGTAACCATGAGAGTTTGCATATCTTTGCAAGTTGAGAACTTGATATTATTAACGTGCTTGTAGGAAAGGAAAAATAATTACTTCATAATCTAACACTTACACTCACTACTAGAGATTATCATAAAAGGGGAGATACTGCTGAGGCTGTATTATCCACTTTCTTCAAACAAATTGATGCGCTGTAATTGCGAGGTTAATAATATTCCTTCACTGTTTTGATGTCACCGTACTTTATGTGATTGTTGAACATGGTTGGCAGCCTGGCACAAGTAGAGTGGTGACCTCTCTCACTGGTTTACATGGATGCAGAATTTTGTAAAGCTGCTGAAACAAGTGGCGGTGACAGAGTGCCTTCACTTATCTCTCTCTCTCTTCTGAGCCCCTCCTTCTCTCCCCAGAAAGAGAAACAAATGAATGATTGGCATTTCAGCAGAGATATTTAGACTGAGAGCTAGCCTCTGCATCTGCCCCTGCCTCCAATGTCTTCCTCCTCCTCACTTGGTCATCAAACTCATTAACTCTTGTCCAGTGCACGAACACACGTGTACTGTATGCATAGGTTCTAGCCAGCTAAGTAGCTAAAAACCCAAAGAAAAGGTTAGGCCAAGACATGTAAAAGTAAATCTTTTTCATGCCTGAGATGAGAAGATGCTGCACGGATGCTTCACAATTGACTGACTGTGACAATTTGACGACAATTTGACAAACACCTTAGAGTCATATTTAGCTCCCATCTCTCATCTCTCATCAAGTACCTTTTTAATTCCATGCTCTGCCAAGCCCTCTTTAATCTTCCTATATGCCCCACTCTCATGTCCCCACCTCACCCTGGAACTCTTTGGCAAAGCCAAGCCAAGTTCCTTGTAATGCTTCTTTCATTGTTCAAAGACAAAGCATACAACATAAGAAGTTGATAGATTAGAATCCTATGTGGGGTTGGAGGGCTTGTTTGGTACACCTTCAAGTTAAATGTTTTTAGCACTCGATGACAAAAACAACTTGTCAATGTGATGCCTCAGTTATTGCCAATTTAATGTACTGTTTGTGGATAAGATTTAGGCATGTTTATCACGCACCAAACAAACACCAAACTTCTTTCTTCTTCTTTCTTTTTTTAATGGAGTGGAGAGGAGATGTTTTGCATGATCAAGGGATTTGTTTGTTTATCGAATCTAGGGTTCTCATTCATAATGCAAATTAAACAAAGGGATTCTAGGGATTAGGATCCTTTATTAGGGTTTTTTTTCGGCTTTAAAGAAAGAAAGTGTACAGCAAAGTGATGATAGTAAATTTGGATTTGGATAAGCAACAGTGAAATCCACCCTCTTTGTGGTTTGGTTAGACTTGGATTGGATGCCACATGCAGTAGATTATCTTTAGTGTTTTCTAATGAGAGAATTCAGACTCTTAATTTTGACTTTCCTCTTGTTTCCTCTCTCTCTCTCTCTCTCTCTCTCTCTCTCTCTCTCTCTCTCTCTCTCTCTCTTTTCTTTGGCTCTATTTTCTATTGGATTTTATAAAGATTACAATACTTGATTGCATATTCTACATAATATTTCCGTATGGGGTTTTGGGGTAGTTGAAGTTTGTAATACCTGTCAAAATTTCACCACCATTTTAAATGGAAGAAGAAGTGAGAACATAACATATTGTATAAGCTGAAATCAATAAAATTCTAATCCACCATTAAGCCTTGATTAGCATCTGATTAGCATGTTCTAAATCTAATTCACTTCATTAATATCTAAGTTGCTTGTTGCAACCGACACTGGTCACAATCTCACAGAAAAGTAGTCCTTGTCGTCGTTTCCTCTGGTAGCATAGCTGATAGCACCAAAGCAAAAACAATCCTTTTCAAACGGCAATTGGCAAATCTGAGATGAAAAATGTTAACAAATTGGATCATGTTTGTTTTTAACCAAAGCAAGCAAGGGTGCCTAAGCCTTTATGAAGTGGACTTGTGCTTGTCCTCATGGAAAAAGCTTTAAGCATGTCCTTAACGGCTAGCCAATTCCTTTGATTTGCTGTCTCTGTGTGAGTATCAAAATACAGTCGTCTCGTCTCTTTTGAACAAGACAATAAGAGAGTTGCATATTTCAATTGAACTGATTAAAGTGAATTGACCCTTTTCAATTGAACTCATTAAGGATCTGATATGATGCATCATTCAATCCTACTTTCAAGTTGGGAGCATTGTTGTTCACCACTTTAACCTAAGGTGTATCCTCACTACCTTTCTCAACATTTGACATATGTCTATTGACATAACCATAGTTTCATAAATACAAAGTAAATAGTTAACTATGGTTATGCCAATGAACACATGTCAAGTATTAAGAAAGGTGGTGAGGGTACACCTTGGGTTAAAGTGGTGAGCAAAAATATTTCTGTTTCAAATCTTCCCACCCAAAACCAGACTAGACTATTTCTCATTATGGTCAAAATAGAGATAGATTGACCTGTGATCACTGATATAATCAATTCTTATAAGTGACCATATGCTTCTTGGTAATTAACAAGTTTGTTAATCAAATTCATTAATTACTCTCCCTCAAAGTAGCAAGCCATGCATGTATGCCTTAATGAGAGACAAAATGAACCAAAATATACCCACACAATGCATGGTAGTTAGTTAGTGAGGCATAGCACTGATCAGCACCATATATTATAATTTTATAATCCCTCAGTCTAATATATGGACATAATAGTTTCAATGAACATGATATTAGTATATAAAAAATACATGTAAGAACCATTTGTATATAACAAGTTTACATATGTTATAACGTGATGTGATTAGAGAGATAGACACATTCTTATGTACAACCGATTACACATTCTCCGACATGAGAGAGAGAGGCGGGGGGAGGGGATAAATGAGCTTAGGGGTAGGGGGGAGATAGGGTTAGAGTTGGTGTACTATTAAATGAGAAAGATTAGATATTTTGGTAAAGAATTGGAGCAAGAAAGGAATCCAATGGACGGATGAAGGAAAGGTGGTAGACACATACACATGGCCTCCCAAGGAATCCTAAGACTATCAAGATTCTAATCTAAATGTTGCGAATAATAACGCTAAAACCTTTTCCTTCCCACATTTACAAATAAATAAATTTAATTTTATCGAATTTCGTTCCCCTTGACCTTCTTTGGCCCTCACAAGCTGACTTTTGTTTTTACGCGGTTTCAGCCCGTCCTTGCCCACCCCAATGTCCCAGCAGACCCAACCCACTTTTGCTGCCTGCCCGACCTGCCCGATACTTTTGGCGGGAACTTTGCCCTTAAGCCACGAATTTTGGATTTATTCGTTTCGCGCCAAAAGAAAATTGTTGCCCCGCGAAAAGTGAGTCGTGACGGCTAATACTTTTTCTATGTATTTCTATTCTAAGCTCCTCCTCTCTCTCTCTCGCACCATTTTTTCAGAGCATTTTCCCTAGACGCATTGACGTGGACTGCTTTGCACCGCTGATTTGGCGCTGGGCCCCATCGCTTTCTATTTCTAGCCGTTCAAAAATAAGTCTAAAGTGGGCCGCCCCATGATACAATGGATAAAAAGCAACATAAGATTCTAATACTTATATCATAGACACTGTCATGTTATTCTTTTAATTTGATAAGGTTGAAATGTCTTTTTCCTATTTTATTAAATGTCATTAAGTACCTCTCTTTTTTTTCTTTTTTTTTATTGTATTAATCACCATTTTAAATATGAATTTATACCGTGGCATGGTATCTGTTTTATTTTAAAAAAAAATTTAAACAAAATTGTTGTCAAAACCAGCCTTAAAAAATGGAACTAAAAAAACCGGCTTTAAAAATGATAATTGGAAAATTTGCTTATTCGAATCCAATGCACTTGACTCGACCAACACCATCGCATGTTAGCATTTGGGAACCTGAAGCTGTGCGTTTTGTTCTGGACTCTGGAGTTGACAGAAGTTGAGCCCAAACAAGAGGGCCCCATTAGGCCTTCTTTTTCTTTTGCTTTTTTATTTTATTTAATGTCCAAGAGTCCAAGGCAGGCTTAAGCCTTGTGGGCTTTCGTTAAAGACCTCGTAGGTGAGTGGGTGGACCAGCTCAAACTGACCACAATTTTGAGAGCACAAGAAATTTCAGAAATTTATACATTATTCCCAAAACAAAGGTGTTATTGGCCAATTAAGGAGCTACAATATTTATTTACATATGTGAGTTAGGGCAAGGTAGTGTGTACGCTCATTTGCATTTGAGTTCAATTCATTTCCCCCTACATTAGGATGGTTTAAAGTATCGCTTTGTGAAAAAAAAAATGCTACAATATTTAAAAGATAGTTAATAGGCCAGAATAAATGGGAGTTTCACTAAAACACCCAAAATGGGGGCTGAAATTATAAAAAACCCAACACCCAAAACACTTTATAAACACACCCAGAACCCATCATTACACACACTCAACCCATTTATAAACACACCCAAAAAATATACAATTGTTGATTTTGGGGTTGATTTTGAGTGTGTTTCTATGTTTAAATAGTGCTTGGGTTTTTTTTATAAATACATGTCTATGATTGAGTTTATTTATAAATTTGTATACAGGTATATGATATTTGATTAATTGAAGCTGTGGAAAAAGACACAATGGCCACTGGCTGACCTACCATTCAAATTTCATTGGCTCTGCCAAACCAAAAGCAACTATTGTTGGCTGGTACATTAACTCATTTTTACAGAAGCAATAAATCTCATTGGGTAAATATTATGACAAATTTAAGGTGAAGGCGTTGTTGCAAGTTGTAAGTAAGTTGCACAACCTAACCTAACCTAATGAGAGAGATGTGTTTAAACTTTTAAAGCGACACTGCCATAACTTGCATTTCTCAAGAATCAAGATGATAATCACTTCTCCATTTCGTTTAACAAGAGCCTCTAATTTGGCATTATAAAGCACTTATTAAAACATGATTAAGCCTTAAACTTCCAGAAAATGACAATCAATTATTTACTGTTAAGTAACAAGTACACAACTCTGGCCTTTTCAGTTCTGGAAGGGCAGCAGGAGGAGGAGGAGGAGGTTGAGATTCAGAATCCATCCCACCAACCAACCAAGAGAATGACTTAATATCGAGAAATCCAACCAAATGGGAACGACTTTGCATCTTTAGATGCTCCCACATAGAATCAACCAACCAACTATCCAACCCAATTAGCAACATAATTTCTCCCACATTCTAAATCTAAGGGAGATAGATGGAACCACCCAAAAACAGAAGTATATATTTCGTAGTAGAAAGCTCAAAGCTAAATTAATTTATCAGGACTGTTCATTTGTTCTATTTCGTACAGAACATCAAAAGTTGCCTCAAAATCTATTCTTGAATGATGCTGGCCAAGACTTAGCAGTAGCAGATCACAAAGATGAGCTTTGTCTTCTGAAGATCCTTCTACAAGACTTTAAAAATCGATGCTCGATTATGCATTTTGAAATGTTCTAAGGAAGCTGACAGCAAGGGGTTTCTAACAACTCCTAACTAGCATGAGAGCCAGATATGAATTAACCTTGAATTGAAAGGATATACTTTGAGGCATGTTTTATCCACTCTTCCCCAATCATTCAAGTCCAAACAGAAGTATATATGTGCTTAAGACAACTCCAAAATCTTTATATAGCCTGAGCAACATTTCCTGAACTACACAACCAAGAAACGAGTCCTGCTCCAACAACCCATGAACACTTGTGCATATTGTTTCGACTGACTTGGCTCTAAACAAACTGGATAACTTACCTGCAGTTCCTTTGGACATTACACAGGAAAGTTAATAGAGATGCCTTTTTGTATTCATCCCCGCGTGAAATATTGTTAGAAATAAAAAGCGTTCTCACAGAAAATGTATGGATCAGTCAGGAAAGAAAAGTTAAAAAGAAAAACAGAAACAGGACACTCATAATCAGTCCACAATTTAAGGTGTATGTGCAGCAGGACAATAAGGTATGAAGCCAATTCAAAGGGATTGGTAGTTCTTTCATTTCCAGTGTACCAAAGAAGAAGCAAAAGCAACACACTCTGCATCAAAAGAGTTATGCCTTTCTCATTGAAATAGAGAAGAAAAACATTACAAGTAACAGATGCAATAATCTTATTGTTTATAAATACATCAACATTCGTGTACACAAAGTATCATTATTCAGAGAAAGCATACGCTGCTCTTTCTGGAGTACTGGTCCATACATTTCCAGACAACAACCATTCACAAATTAAAACAGAACAAGCAGTGTGATAAATACCTGTTTCATTTGAAACATTTTATTAACATAAATATACATTAGTAGCTTCACCGAATCAAGCAACAGCCTCAATGAACTTATGTGAGGCCCAAGTCTTTGCGGCATCCGATATCTTGCTTTGCTCGACCTGCAGCTGTCTCAGCTGAGGAGAGTTCATAACAAAAAACTCAATTGCCTCAGCTTGTATCCCACAACAGCGAATGATATCAACATTCTCCAAATACTTGCAGCTCTTAAACACAGAAACCATGGCTGCATTAGTAAGCCCTTTACATCCTCTCAACCTCAAATCAACCAAATAGTTACATGAAACTAGCATTGATGCGAGCTCTTTGTCCACCAACATTTCATTATAAGACAAATCCAATTTCCTCAGTTGCCTGAAATTCTGTCCTAATGTGGACAACAACCCTGGTTCTCTTTCAACCACATCACAATTTACTAGAGCCAATTCTTCAAGGCCAGAACTCACGGCGGCCCCAAGAGCCCTGAGGCCTTCACCACTGACAAGACAGCAGCTTTGAAGTTTAAGACTTGAAAGGCTTCTGAAATTCATTGCGACAGCCAATAGATGATCATTTTTAAGGTCGAGAGGTAATCGAAGGTCGAGTTTTTGCAAGTTACAATGGCTTTGGCTAAAGAACCTAAGCAGACCCTCTCTGCTACCACCATCATAAACCAAAAGAGAAGTCAGAGAATCGCAATTCTCGGCCAATTTCACCAGTACCCCATCAATTATAGTCCTACAAGTCCTGAGCTCCACTTCTTGAACACCCTGTAAACACCTAACAAAGGACGAAAAAGACCCTCCATCACCAATCCCTTCACAGCTCCTAAACTGCAATTTCTTCAGCTTTCTACAGCTTCTCCAAAGCCAACCCAAGCCCCAATCATCAGCTCCAATTCCAGATAAACAAAGACTTTCCAAACCCAATTCTGCATCAGAATCGTCGTCTGCACAGAACCCATATTCCGTATTGACATCAACAGCTTGTTCAAGACCTTCCCCACAGCAAACCAAGATTGACAGTTCCTTCAAAGAAGGGAAATTGAGAATCCACATGAGGAACAGAGGCCTGGAGAGATTGATACACAGATAGGTGAGTTGGGTACATGCTGTAGAGAGAGAAGTGAGAGAGGAGAGGGAGACAGGACCAGCCAAAAACCTCAGGCTGTGAAGCTGGGGACAGAAGGAAGAGACTAAGAGAAGGAGATGATCAGCAAAAGTGGTTGATTTTGTGGTGGTGGGGTCAGGAGGTAAGAGAAGAGAGAGAGAAGAAAGGAAAGGGTAGTGAGAGAGAAGGGAGGAGAGAGAAGGGATGGTGTAATCATGAGGGGTAAGGCGGAGAGAGAGGGAGGTTTTGGAGGTTCGGTAGAGGTAAAGCCAGCGCTTGGAGACCAGAGAAACTGAAGAGGATGTTGATGGTGGAAGTCTTTGGAAGATTTCTTGTACAAGTTCATCACATAGCAACTTATCCATCTCTCTCTCTCTCTGTTTGTGTGTGTGTGGTGGCTGAGGCTCAATTCTTCTTCTTCATCATCAAATTGGCTCTTCTCTTCTGGTTCTTTGTTTGGAAATTTGGAGTTCGCACCGCCACCTACCACATACAAAACAAAAGGAATTGTCTTTCTAATTCTAGAGGCCTTCTCAATTTGACTATTGCTTTGCTGTTTTGCTTTGTTTTGTAAGTGAAATGAAATGGCGTTTTAATATTATTTATTAGATGAAGGAGTTTGCTTTAGGTGCAGTTCCAAGGTTCAAGTGCGTACAACTCACACTGAAAGCGGGGTTTTATGTCATTCACTCCCCCGCCACGCGCTACAAGAAGTGTAGGAGTGGGACCTATTAAACTAACCAATAAGATGATAGATTGATACATCATCCAACCGCTCACGGCCGTCTCACCTTTCTGTACTTTTATGATTGTCCGGGTCCCAAGCAAATTCATCACCGAAAAGGAAAGGCCAAGGCAATAAAAGAGATGATATGACATGCCCAAAGAGCAAATTCATTTCATTTCCATAACCAATGGCCCAAACCCTAAAACCCTAATTCATTTTATTTCAATTCATTTCCATAACCAAGAGGCCAATATTTATAAGGAACGAAGTAATTACAGAAAGGAAAATATTATTAGAGGACAAAGAATATATTTGTATTTTTTTTTCTGACCTCATAAGCATTTGTATTTCATTTTCTTTGGGTTTGTTTAATAACAATTTCAATTTTTAGTTTTCACTTTTTATGCTGAAGTATAGAGGAGTGAGGATGAGATTAAGAGAGAGGATTAGAGGGGATAATTGAAGGGAAGAGTAACAAAAGTGAAAACAAAAACTTGAACATGAAAACAATTTCAAATAAATTTCAGTTTTTAATTTTGTTTACACTTTCGTTACTCATTCCTCCCATTCCCCCTCTCATTTTCCCTCTCAACATCATCTTCACTCTCATTCTCACTTTTATCCTCCATCTTTTTCTTATACATTCTAGCACCCAAAAAAATAATAATAATAAAATAAAAACTAAAATTGAAATGGTTATCAAACATGAACAAACTCGGGTATATTCGTCATCTAGTGGCTTTGGGTACAGGTTTATGACAGAATTCGGTCATGGAATTGGAAGCTATCTATCTTCAAGTTTAATTTTATGTACCATCATACCATACGATGCTAGAGCAACATAACCACACATATCGTAAAAATATGCACACACATCCTATATATTTATATAAAGTGATACTTAACCAATCAATTGAAAAAAGAAGAAAACACCATAACCACCAGTATGCGTTACGAATTTTGAATCACAACCATCTCTATTCTATGGCCTAAATTCCTTCCTTACCTTTTGTGCGAGTGTGGAATATGGTCCTTAATTAATTTCTAGCATCTGCTTTGACAATCCAAAACAAAAAAGAAATTATTCTGATGGGACCATCAGCCAACATCAACAGGCACCAGGTTAGAGTCATTAGACATATCATAGAAAGAAAAGTTCTCTTCATTTTCTGATTTCAGCAGGTCTAAACCAATCACTAATTTATCTGATAATTGTTTACAACATGTTAGCAACGATGAAACAAAATATGAATACACAAAACCCAGCATGGCAGGTAAACCATACCGATATAGAGGTAAGTAGCACTATTCCAAGCCCACAGAGACTCCACCCAAGACCAGAAGTCGCCGACGTTAACACCGCTGAAACCCTCAAATGCACCTTTTAACACTATAAAAGCAACTGGTGGGAACCCAATAAACCCCAGAACAAGATTATAAACCACCCTTGAAACTGTTCTGATGCTCCTAGCTTTAACATCCAGCTTTAAAGGATGAGCCATCAAGCACATTGGGACCATCAGTAAACCCCCAATTTCTGCCGAAGCAAAGTTAATGACTGACATGAGACACAAACCAATGAAGGCAGCTGACAGAGTTACTGATTTCAAGATAGCCCATTCTCCTCTTTGAGGTTGAGATTCATTGGCATGAGAGGATGGAGAAGCCAAGAAAATGTACATGACCACAAGGCTGAGTATTGAGAGGAAAACCCAGATAATAAAGCTGGTTGTTGGAGTGCAACTGGGTATTTGACAGATGAAATATGGGAGTAATGAAACAACAGAGCCCCACAAGTGCACAAAAAAAACTTTCTTCGCTGCAAAAAGCCATTTCCATGATTTGAGAGTGATGCAAGGTTCATCAGAAGCATTGGCAAAAGGAGCAGGTTTGTCTATTTTTAGACTATAATCGGAGTTACTGGCATCAACATAGAAAGAAGCTGCCACCATTGGAAGTGGTGCAACTAGAAGTGCAAAAGCAATCATGTAAACTCCCACTGACACAAATTTACCCGGAGACGTTAATAGGTATAGGAAAAAGGACTGGTGAAACTTCTCTAGGAGGTTGTTTACTGACCGTATGACTCCTTCAATTAATCTGCACAAATAACAAGAAAACCTGAATCCAGATTGACACAAATATAAGGAATTTTCATCTTATTGCTTATCATGGATCCAAAGACAAGTAAAATAACAAATCATGATATGACTGGAGTGCAGAACGATATAAGAAAAGAGTACAATAGAACAAACTAAATTAGGGAGATCATCGCAAATAATACAATCTATATACTACAAAATGATAGAAAATGTAGATACCCTAAGGACATGCAGATGATCCACCTATTAAGAAAAAGTTAACAGCTTTATATATTTTCCACATTCCCTTTTCTCACAATGAAATATAACTAAGCCTTAACTCCCCATACCAAAAAGAAAAGTAAAGGAAAGGAACACAGTCAGTACGGTAGAAAGGTTACAGACAACTATGACCTCCAAAAAACAATTCACCAATGGCAAGTATTCATTATGAAATTTTCACCTAGGTATCAAGACTTCTAGATCGTAGATGTTAACTGGAAAGGCAGATTAACAAATTTTCATGGGAAGAGATATGACTCAGCACTAACCGGCCACTTCGTAGAAGAAAGTCATTTTGCCTGACTTTGTTATCCAAAGAAGAAACTTTGGGAAAAATTTCCAAAGTAATTGCATCAACTTGGTAATCACGAAAGGCACCGTGGGGGCCAGTGGGGACACCCAAAGCCTGACATCATGAAGAATCGGTATATAAGTAAACATACCATTGTTGACAGAGATTAGTGGGAAAACACAAATTGTCTTATATCCTTGTTCATCAAACTGTAATCAAAGACATTTGAGACAACATAAAGAAAAGTAGACCCACCTGGTAGTACAAGGAACTTGCGAGTGTAGCACTGCCCTCAATATAGTCTGCAGCTGGGATACCAAATTTCCATTGGGGATTTACGCTTCTAGCCAAATGTCCTAGTGATTCAAATATTTCACCCAAAGTCTTGAGCCACTTCAAGCCAAGTAAAGGCCAAAATTTCTCCACCTTCACCCTCAAACCTTGCCTATGCACTGCTAAATAATTCACAATATTGATGAGGTCAAGATTTGGCATCTGCCCGTTGGATGCTTCAGCATAGATGCTAAGACTATCCTCATACTGTTCACTTCGATCTGCAACCTTAATGACAAGGGCTGCAGCCATTGTCCCAGCGCGTTTAAATCCATCATAAATCGTCCTTTTTATAGAAAGGTTCTCATTCAGTCCATAAATACTATTGCTTTCCGGACACATTTCTGCATCTAGCGTGCCCAGTCCACTAAATACAGGTGTGTGATAGTCTCTCAGCCAAGCAGCAACTCCAGAATACTCTCCAAATTGGGAATCTGCAACGAGCCATATAACATCCTTGGCCAGCCAAGGAACTCTAGTGAGCAAGGAAAACACGGAGTATGCAATGGCCAAGGATAAGGCCTCATTCTGGTTAAGTTTCACTGAATTGAAAGGTGTAACCATGACAATAGCTTCTTTCCCATCACCACGCGGTGCTCTGATAATTCCAACAGTGTTGACACCATGCAATGCACAACTGATGTTCTGCTCAACTCTTCCAGAATCAGGGCTAGAAAAGAAGTGCAGAGGGTGAAACTGATTTAATTGAGGGTGGAACTTATGATGACTAACTTCAGCGCCCAAGTTTGACATGTACTGTGATATGAGTCTTTGACTTCCTCTGCAACAGAGAATGTTATCATAAAACTTTGACAAATATCAGCTTAATTAGAGGCATGAACGCGAGTAAAAATGAGCCAAGCTGTGTAGTTCATACTATCTTCAAAGTTGATAATTTAATATGCAGAAATAGCATTGTCTATAGACCAGAGTTAGGAGGAAAAAACAAAAAGGTCAGCTGAAATTCGAAGAAGAAGGGCATACATTGCCGAAGCGAGAGGCTTGGAATTCAATGAAGTCAAATCCTTGACCAATCTATTAGCCTCTGCAACCTCCTGATTGGAGAGCATAGGCGCCACAGAGCCTGATAAGTAAGCAATTTCACCCGCAGCAACAGAACCATGTTAATAATTGAACAAATAATACAAACAAAGGTGAATGAATCAGAAGCAGAGAGAGATTGAAGATGGAGAGGTGACCTGGCATAAGGGCATTCTCGGAGATGTAGGTGTTCTTGGCGAGAACCGGAAGCAGCAAAAGAGCCAGAACCCCAGCTGTGGAGAAAATGACACTGCAAAAAGAGAAAAACGACGGCCAATCTATCACTAATCTGGGCTTGCTGATGGCGGATGGGATTGTGGTGAAGAGTTATTGATATTTTATGAAATTTAAAGAAATACTAAATATGAGATAGAGGGAAAAGTAAAGAGTACCTGAAGAGGAGGCTGTGAGAGATGAGGAAGATCCCCAACTGTACAATTGGTCTAGGTTTAGGTCGAGCTCTAGGTATAGGGGGTGTCTCGCTCTCGCTCTCCTTCTCAGCCACCATTCTTGGCTCGGAATGGATTTCAAATCCAAAGGCGCTTTGCTTCGTATGAGTTATTTCTCTTATTAAGGCAAGTGACAGTTTCTCAGACAGTCAGACCCCATTTTCGAACGAAGACGAAGAGCTGAGCTGAAGGCTGAAGCTCAGAGACGACAAGATCCCGGTGGTGGACTTGAAGAGCTGTTGTTGCTTCGGGCTTTGGGCTTTTTTCTTGGGTCAATCCGTTTAGCTGTATGCACAGTGGGCTATGTGCTTTGATTTTGTCTAAATTGGGCCTTCACCGCGTTATTTTTCCTGTCTTTGGGGTTTTTATCAACCACTTTTCTCTATGACTCAAGTTTGCTAAACATCATGCATCATGCATGAGTCGAGTAAAGAATCCAACACATAAGGTCATTTTCATCGAAAAATTGTCAAAGATTTAAAATTATTTAAATTTTACTTCGACAGTCAAAAAAAGTTATCGCTCAATATTCAATAAAAAACAATCATTTGATTGTTTTGTCTATAATTGGGGTTTTTTTTTAATCCCAAGTGATAATCGTTACTGTTTTCACTTCTTTTATTAGGCATTTGAATTTAGCTATCATAAAAAACAAAACAGGATAGCAATTTGCCGGTTGGAGTAAATTCGGTTTTAATTGTTTCTTCTATATACCCTTTCTCATTGTCTCATCTGGCCTCATCTCTTTCTCCTTTCTCTCCCATGTTATAATGCCCTATTTCCACCGCCAAACTCAACTGCGGTCATGTGCACTCTGCAGCTTCTCGTTAAGGAATTGATCACAACTCATGGAAAGAGTTAACGAAACAACTCCTGAATTTGATCCCATGCTGCGACCTTAACAAGTGTTTTTGGCTCTTCCCTCGTGACCAAACCAATCCAACCTTCCAAATACTGCCCGGAGAAGAGCGGCAGTAATTCACTCGAGAGTCACCAGTCATAGACCAGCTCAATTAAACTTTGCAGCACATTCTCAATGGGTCCAGTTCAGAACATCCATAATGCAGTGATCAAGATGACATCCATATAACCCTTTTATTAGCTACCTAAACAAACAAACAAAACTCAGTCCTATCCAATTCTTCAGAAAGAAACATCACCTGTGACCATAAGTCATCTCCCTCATCCAAAAGCACCCTAAGAGTAATAGTAGAAGTTTGCTACAGTATAACAATGTCCTCGCTTTGCCAGCAAGCACAAGTCAATCAGACACCAACAACTGTTAAAGCCGCTCCTACAATAGCTATATAGAAAGCCCCTTAAGCAGACCAGGTTCAGATTGAACACATTGCCAAAATGTACCCAATTTCTGAAGCCATCAATCATTCCATTTTCATTTATAACTAAATCCCAGCAAACAAACGCAGAATCAAAACGAACAAATTCAAACTGAGCAACTGATTGACATATAAAAATGAGCAACGGTCCACAAAATCCATTTCAGTTTTTTGTTGGCATAAGTAAACAAAAGCATCTAATAAGCATAGAGTCTAATAACATATCTCAGTAATAATAAAAGTCGCAAATTATAAGATAATGGAAATGCTTTAAAATGATTAGAAAATCAAAACGGATGAGAACCTAAGCGGTGAGCACGACGGCTCCACCAGCCTCCTTGATCTTCTTCTCGGCGGTCTTAGAAATCAGCTTGGCCTTCACAACCAACGGCTGCGAGCTAGGCAACACGCCCTTACCCAACACCTTGAAGTAGCCGAACTGGGTGACGTCGAGCAATGGGGCCTCGTTTCCTTTGGCGGCCTTGTCCTTCACATCCTGGGGTACAAGTGACCACAGCTTGTCGAGATTGACGATGGGGCAGTGGAATTTGTTGCGCAGCCTGTGGAAATACCTCATACCGACTTTACCAAAATACCCCGGATGGTACTTGTCGAAGAGGATCCGATGGTGGTGCATACCTCCGGCGTTTCCGCGACCGCCTGGATGCTTGCGGTGCTTGCCGATACGCCCATGCCCGGCGCTGACGTGGCCACGCTTCTTGCGATTCTTCTTGAACCTCGTCGTCATGAGTCTTTGTCTCTTTGTCCGCCTAGGGTTTCTGAGAAGCGGCTACCAACGAGTGAAATGGAGGTGCCTGCTAGGGTTTCTCGGAAGAAGAATATATATTATATAGGGAAGGGGGTTTACCTTGAACGGCGTCGTAAACTGCAAGGATAGAGGAGGGGAGGAAATGGACGCTGGAACGCTGCGTTTTCGTTTTTATTTTGGGCCGTGGGTTATGTTTTCCCGCTTCCATTGTATCAGAGAGTCCGGGTTTCCCGGGAAATTGGCTTTTAAGATTAGAGAATGGATCTACTATAGTTCGACTTGGGCTAACTTAACGTTGGGCTCATTGATTATGTTTTTCCTTTAATCTATATTTCTGTACTATTATTTTAGAGAATTATTTTCTAATAGGGTTAAATGTCAATCATGCTTTTTTTATTAAGAGGGATAATAATATACTCAACTCACACACACTACATGGATGCTATGACTTGAACCCATGGCCTTTCATGAGGGGCGCAATTGCTCCACACTACCAATCATGCTACTTTTTAAGTTAAATAAGTTGAGCAAACATAGGCTTAATCAAGTTGGCTATAGTAGATGTGTTCCTCACTATACACCCGAGTTCAAATCCTCTTCCCCATAATTTAGATTAGTTAAAAATAAAATATCGATTGTATTAAAAAAAAAAGGTTAAATATGTATAAATTAAGTTTGTGTTAGTAATTTAAACATACACATACATACTCCATGCAATAACTTCCTCTGACTTACATATGCATATCATGTTTACTAGTTGTAACTAAAATCGGTTAATAAAAAAAATTGATGTTAAACGAACTGTAAAAATACATCATCCTATCAAACTATTTATTAACTTACTAATTTACCCTAATATAAAATAATTAAAAAATATATATTAAATTGTGAAACAAATATAATTTTAATAAATACACCTCACTCTCCATCAGTTGTGAAAGAAGTTGATGTGCAACCAAATTGCTTTATGGGTCTTCACCAAATTTGGTTGCTCGACTTGTTAATATATATTGTTGTATTGGGGTTGCTTGATATTGGCATGAGAGATTTTGGGTTGCGTTTCCAATATGGCTTCCTTGTCTGAGGTCGTTCAACGACCTCTGGCTGCGGCTGCTGCTCTTGCTGTAGCTTCAGTTTCGGCTGACATTTCTGATAAATTGCCATCTCACAGATCCACTGACGTGTGTTCTACTTCGGATTTATCACATTCTTCATTGCATAACACCTTTCAATATTCAAAATCATCTTGGGTTTCACACATATCGGTTTCTAAGCTTGCAAACTTCTCTTTATCTCCATAATTTGAGTACATGGGCCCAATATTAACTTACTAATTCCCAATTCGGGCGGCAAATTTGTTCCCAAGTTGCTATATTCTTTGGTTGCCTCTTCACATGTTCTTCTTAATTTGTATCAGGTTGCAGACTTGGTGTTGTGTGATAGTGTGTTAGGATGTACTAGGGGTCTTTTTAGTAGTTAAATAAGGTGTATTTAGTTAATTTTATATTTTTATTTAAATACTACAATGTACTTAAGTCATAAGGTGTTTTGAGTTAATTTTAAGGTTCGTTAAAAAAAAAAAAAAAAAACACACACATACACATACGCACACAATTAACTTGTGTAAATGTATATATGTATGCAAACAAAGTTGACATTTTTTGTTGTTGCTATTTTAAAATTATAAAGAAAACACACGATATTGTGCAATTATAATGTGTGAGTTACATCGTCACATGATGTTATCTGTGTTATAATATGAATGAATTAGTAACATCATGTGGCACTATGACCGTTACATCGAAAAATTACTCCATTTCAACAAGTAACACATAGCGAAAATTTTAGTTCATATGGGATACTCTCGGGTTATTTAGTACACAACTCAAGCTTGTAATGTATGTATTTGTTAAACAATAAATAAATAATGTGTGTTAAAGGATACTCAATATATTTTATCATTTATCTTGATGTTGTTCCCTATATTGCTGGACATTAGCATGACCATGATGTCCACCAATCGTGAAGTTGGAGTTTCTGTTTAAGACTTTCTTAAGGGTGCTTTCCTAGTTTAACACATGAAAAGAAAAGGATATGGAAGAGTTTTTAGAACCAACTTGAAACAGATTACAGGATACATCATCTGGAATTAATCATCGAGAACTTGAAACAGATTACCTGTAATACTGTCAAGGAAAAACCAATGTTGTCGCCCCCAGTAACTTGAGATGCTTCCAAATCGAGATTCCAATTTACATCTGTTGGCATTGATTCCAAAAGCTCCCCAACAACAGCATGGTTCTCTCTCCGAAGAATTATGCTAGGGAATTTAGTTTCAACGTTAAAACTATAGGCTTTACGTACATAAATAAAAACCTAAAAACTAGAAATAAGAACACATTAACAATCAGAAAGAATCTCACACCAAATATCAGAACAAACAACAGCATCTAAAATTGAATCAAGAAGTTCTTTCCCTGCCGGAGTCATCACAGGTGAGACGGGGCTTACCGTAAAAAGTTTCCCGTTGCTAATTCATAATTCAATATATTTGAAGCGTATAGCCGAGCGGCTATACTATATAAATATGAATATATATTTGACAGTATAACCGACCGGCTATCCTCTAAAAATATTATTATATTTTAAAAGTGTATTCATTTTAATATCATTTTATTTTATACAAATTTATAAATAAACCCAATCATAGACATGTATTTATAAAAAAACTCAAACACTATTTAAACATAGAAACACACCAAAAATCAACAATTATATATTTTTTGGGTGTGTTTATCAATGGATTTTGAGTGTGTGTAATGATGAGTTTTAGGTGTGTTTATAAAGTGTTTTGGGTGTTGGGTTTTTTTTATAATTTCAGCCCCCATTTTGGGTGTTTTAGTGAAACTCCCTTTATTTTAACGGTATAGCCGTGCGGCTGTACCGTTAAAATTCATATGCACTAGAGAGTATAGCCGGGCGGCTATACTATTAAAATATTTGTATGTATTTAAAGAGTATAGCCGGATGGATATACTGTTTAATATTAATATATTTTACGGTATAGCCGAGCGGCTGTACGGTTAAAATATTCTTATATGATTAGAAAGTATAGCTGCGCGGCTGTACTATTAAAATATTGGTGTATTTTTAAAGAGTATAGCCGTCCGGCTATACTGCATTACTACCTTTTATACAAATTTATAAATAAACCCAATTCTAGATATGTATTTATAAAAAAACTCAAACACTATTTAAACATAGAAACACACCCAAAATTAATCATAAAATCAACAATTGTATATTTTTTGGGTGTGTTTATAAATGGGTTTTGAGTGTGTGTAATGATGGGTTTTGGGTGTGTTTATAAAGTGTTTTGGAATTTATAAATAAACTCAATCCTAGACATGTATTTATAAAAAAACCCAAGCACTATTTAAACATAGAAACACACCCAAAATCAACCCCAAAGTCAACTTTTTGGGTGTGTTTATAAATGGGTTTTGAGTGTGTGTAATGATGGGTTTTGGGTGTGTTTATATGTTTAAATAGTGCTTGGGTTTTTTTTATAATTTCAACTCTCATTTTGGGTGTTTTAGTGAAACTCCATTTTTTTTATAATTTCAGCCTCCATTTTGGATATTTTAGTGAAATTTCCTATATTTTAAAGGTATAGCCGTGCGGCTGGACTATTAAAATATTCGTCTATATTAAAAGATTATAGCCGCGCGGCTATATATTCGAATTGTGAATTATTAACAGGAAACTTCAAATAGGGAAACCGTGAAAAAAGCACAAACTTCAGAGCAGGGGGCACTATGCGGTTCCGCCGAGCCACTCCCTAAACGATGAAAATTAAAGAGTAAAACAACTGAAAGCAGATTTCCTGCTGGTTTCTGGATTTGTGAACAAGGGGAACATACTAGTGTGCTCATTTGGAATTGGTTGTTCGTCATTCCTATCCTAATCCTGTCTATCACTGATACTAGGCCTTCCGAGTGGAGTAGCTAGTAGCATTCCATTTCAACTTCCAGTTTCGAAATTTGATTTTCGATGGACGTGTTCCACTTCCACCAGTCGAACCTTTGCTCTCTCAGGCCAAGTCCAAGGAGGAGGCCTAGCTCCTCTTATCTCCATCACGGAAAGCCTCTTCCTAATCTCAGCACTATATCCATACCCCAAATCCCAATTCACAGCCTCACATCCAAACCACCACGCCGCTTCCATATCCGAAGCGAGGCTGTTGAAAAATGGGTTGGGCCTTTTGGTTCAGCATTTCCAGGTGGTTGTTGTAGTTGGTGGAGTTTAAGTGAGCATGATAAGGAAGAGCAAAGCTGCACGGTGGCGAAGCCCATTACGCTACTGCACGCTCTTCGTCGAATGTGGGATTTGGTGGAGAGTCATGGATCAAGATGGGTTATCTTTGTCGCGTTTACTTCTTTGATTATTGCTGCGGTGCGTTTTAATTCTTTGCCTGCAATAATTGAACTTGCTTTGGATATTGGTTTTGTCAGTGTTTAAGATGCATCACTGCATAGTTTGTGTGAGCAAATTAGCAACTTTGAGATTGAGAGAAGTAAACATATGTCGTTGTTAAATTTGACACATTTTATTACGTGTGTAAATTGTAATGTTTTTACGTTTTCATGTTGCAGCTTTCTGAGATTTCTATACCAAGTATATTGGCGGAATCCATATTTGCTGCTCAGAGTGGTGATGCTGTGGTTTTCTCTAGGAACTCAAAATTTTTAGCTTTTTTGTGTATCACTTCAGGGATATGCAGGTCAGTCCCTTATATTCACTTTGATTGCAGAATCTGAAAACATTCTTTTCTTTGTTTGTACAAGAGTTGGCTGTTTTGTGATATGATGTGATTATTTACTATGTTTCATTTGAATTTCAGCGGCTTGCGAAGTGGTTGTTTTGGGATTGCAAACATTATTTTGGTGAGTGGTTCTCTCATTCCTTCCCAATAATAAAGAAAGAAAGAAAAAAACTTGAAATCCAACGAGCTCTACACAAGTGTTAAATCCCTGTAGTGTTCTTTTTTAATAAATAAAAAATAATAAAGATTTGTGCATTTGTGCTTTCTCTGTTTGAAAGCATGGTTTTATCTATTTTTTTAATTTCCGGGATTGTTATCTAATTTCTTTGTACACCATCTGCTGCTCGAAACATCATAATGCAGATGAAGCGTCTCAGGGAAACTCTTTACTCAGTTCTTCTTTTCCAGGTTTGTGTTTCATTTAGTAATTGCAACAATTGGGTGTGCCAATTGTCAACAAATTTATTTAAAGCAATGTTGACTTGCTTGATCTTCGATTTTATTCAATTCTGTACTCTATTTTGGTGTCATCTTTGATGTAGGATATATCCTTTTTCGACAGCGAAGCAGTTGGTGATTTGACAAGCAGACTTGGGGCAGATTGTCAACGATTATCTCTTGTTATTGCGAATGATATTAGTTTGATCTTTCGCAATGTTCTTCAGGTTGTGGTTCTTACCCTTCCCCTTCCCCAAATGTGCATTTGATTTTTTTAATAGTCTAGTCTAAGTTACAGTTTTTCTATCTTCAGGGGATAGGTGCACTGATCAATTTGCTGATATTATCTCGGCCTCTCGCATTATCAACATTGTTTATCTGCTGTGTGTTATCTATGATTTTTCTTCTTTATGGACAGTAAGCTTCTTTACCTTCCTTCTACTTTATATCTGATTTGGATCTTTTGAAGCTTGAGGTTATTTATACCGCAAAGTTCTGCTATAACAATAAATGAAGAATTGATATATTTGATTATTTTATATTTTATAACAATATATAGGTACCAAAAGAAAGCTGCAAAGTTAGTCCAAGACTTCACTGCTGGTGCCAATGAAGTATAGACAGACTATAGATCCAAAATGCTCCAAAATTTATGTTAATCTTCTTTGGTTGATCACTTTCCTATTTGAATGTAGGCTGCGCAAGAAACATTTTCCTTGATGAGAACTGTCCGAGTTTATGGAACTGAAAGAAAAGAATTTGGAAGGTGTATATTTTACTATTAATTTCCTGTTAGGCATTTTCTTTTTACTGCCGTCTTTCTAATAAACATAGCACAAGAAAGTCTGAGAATTCTGACACCTAAAGCATGCATCCTATGTGATATTAGGTTCAAGCAATGGCTAGACAAAGTTGCTTTTGTAAACATACGAGAGAGTGTGGCTTATGGATTCTGGTGTGTGAGTTTCAGTACTCTTTATCGTTCTACGCAGGTTTGGCTCTTTTTTAGTTAACTATCATAAGGTATTGGGTCTTAAGTTGTTGGTTTTCTGAAGTGAGAAAGGAAAATGTCTCAAGTTATTGCATTTAAATGAAAATCTATTATTTGACTCCACTTTGTCAAATCACATCTACAGATTATTGCAGTGGTGTTGGGAGGAATTTCAATTATGAGTGGTCATGTATCAGCTGAGCAACTAACTAAGTATGTACTGTATTGTGAGTGGTTAATTTACGCAACTTGGAGGGTCACAGACAATGTATCATCAATGATGCAGTCTGTTGGAGCAAGTGAAAAGGTTCTTCAGTTAATGGACTTGTTGCCCAGCGACCAAGTCTTATCAAAAGGTTCTTTTGATTAAAGACTCTTAACCCTGCTTTATGTGTTGCATGCTGCTTAGAGGTGCTTTAGAAACTAACGCTTGTGCTTAGAAAGATAAACTTATCTGGAATTACATATATCTTCAAATGAATTCATATAATTTCTTTTTCAAATGTATTTATCATAAAATGGAATCTCACTGTCTGCAGGTGTGAAGTTGCAGAGGGTAATGGGACATATTCAGTTTGAGAATGTTTCTTTTCGCTATCCTTCAAGGGCAAAAGTATGTCTTTTTTGGCCTAAATAATTCCAATTTACTCTTCCATTGCATATTTTCCTTTCAAATGTTTTCTCATATTACCCTTTTAAAAAACTTCTCTCTAAAATTTTAGCAGACCCCCATACTAGATGACATAAATGTTTCCGTACAAGCACATGAAGTGGTTGCAATTGTAAGAGATAGCTTTGCTTACATTATAATTCCTCTTAGAGAGCAGGAAATTTTCAAGGACTGACTTGCATCTAAATTTTGCCAAGGTTGGTCTGAGTGGTAGTGGGAAAAGCACATTGGTGAATCTTTTGCTTCGTCTTTATGAACCAATTACTGGTCAGGTAAGCTTCTTCTTCTTCTGAAAATTTGTCATCCATCGCTCAGAATAAGTTCATTGTGTATTTTCCACCATTTTTGTTATTACATCTTAGACTGTCATCAAATTTTGTTCTGAAGCTTTTTGCTTTGCAGATTTACATTGATGGTTTCCCTCTCAGAGAATTGGATATCAGGTGGTTGAGAGGAAAAATTGGATTTGTTCCACAGGTTAGAATACACAAACTGCAAGACTTACTTAAGAAGCATACAATAGAATTGTAATATAAATTTACGTTTCAGACAGGAACCTCATATATTTCATATGAGCATAAAGTCAAACATAGAATACGGTTGCTCTAAAGATATTAAAAAAGAAGATGTAGAATGCGCTGCAAAGCAGGCCTACGCTCATGATTTCATCTCCTCTCTTCCTGACGGCTATGAAACCGTCGTGGACGATAATTTACTCAGCGGGGGACAAAAGCAGCGAATCGCTGTTGCCAGGGCCATTCTTAGAGACCCAGCTATATTGATCCTTGACGAAGCCACCAGTGCTCTAGATTCTGAAACCGAACACTATGTTAAGGCAAGCACTCTCTCTCAAGATTTAAACTATCTGTCAACTCAATTGTTATATATACAAGTAAGTTCTAATGCTGCTGGCTCTCATATCCCTTTATCTCCAGGGGGTTATTCATGCATTAAGAAGTGACATGAAAGCAAAAAGAACTGTCATTGTCATAGCACACAGGTGAACTTCTTACAACAACCACATTCTTCTCTTTTCTTTTCTTGATATCTTCTGCATTATCCTTAGCATGCGTCGTTTTGCAGGCTTTCAACCATAAAAGCTGCTGACAGAATCATTGTAATGGATGGTGGTCGAATCACTGAGGTCAGGTTTTATTGATTTATTTAATTCTGTATTTAAAAAAGGATGCGTATGTTATTCAATATACGCATACAATCCGAATGTCCGGTTGTCCTTGATTTATGATTTGTGTAATGTGAAGCTCCCTATGCAGATGGGTAATCACACAGAGCTCCTCGAGGAGGATGGATTATATGCAAATTTGGTTGGAGCTCAAACAGATACTTTGGCTTGACCCAGCAATATGATTCAGATGTTCTTTTGAAAACACTAGTGATATAGCGTTCATCCCATTTTTCTCCCTATAAGGCTCAATTTTGGATTTCTCAATTGTGTAGTAGACTGGCCCTGGGCCTATATAAATATTTTTGGGAGATTCACTATAATACTCAATATAGGAGCCCAAATTATAAAAAAATCATATATGAAATGGATTTTAGAAACACACCCAAAGCTCATTTACAACACAAAAAGACTTATAACTTCTTTCAAATTACAAAATTGCTATTCATTTTTTAAAACAAACTCAACCCAAAAACCTCATAAAAAAGCCCAAAATACTCAATGGGGCATCAAAGTAATTTAATAATTAAAATTAAATTCAATAGGGTCAGCTGTCATTTTTTGGGTATGTTTATAGAAATTAAATAGTATATGATTTATTTATAGTTTTAGTACTAAGAATGGGTATTTGATTAAATATCTCTATATTTTCCCAGCAATAAAAAGTGAAAGTAGAAAAATCATCCTGGACTGACACATGGTGGACGGACGCAGAACATCACATACAACTTAAAACTTACAATACAAGAATATTGCTTGTACAGTGGAAAAAAGGGCATTGATTTTCAGATTATATGTCTCATGTTCGAATTTTTATGACATCTTAGTTGTGTGTAATAGAAACTCCCCTCTCTTGTAATTTAGACTATCGTTTCTACTAAAAAAAATTAAAAACACAAAAGTTACCAAAAGAAACTCACACAAAGAAAGTTATTGAAAGAATAAAATCAGTTTTGATCCTTTTTTCTTTTTACAAAACAAACTTTTATTAATCCAATAATAAATTAAAAGAAATGAAAAAGGCGTTGACCCCAAAAAGAGGAAAAAATGTAAAAGGCTTTATCGCTGGTCGGTGACTCGGTGGCCGTCCAGTCCCTCCAAAATAAAACAGAAACCTCGATATCTTTCCACTAATCTGACATTTATTCACCTCACCACCAATCACTTGGCGCCACGTTTTCACACCCCCTGAATCAAGTAGTATTCCCTCACAATTTTTCTCTACAACGCTAACCCGCAAAAACCCTAAACCCCTGATTTCTGATTCCGAGTGGTCTATGATCGCTCATTTCGGACGCAAGCTCAGCTGCCTAAGCTTCGAGTTCGCTAATCTTACTGACGAGTTTCATTAGTATGCGAAGCTCTGTCAAGCAGAAACTTCGTGCTTTTCGATAGACTCAGTGTGCTGGAAGATGTTGAGCTACACCGTATTTCTCGGTTTATTTCTCCTTCTCATGGTGGACCAAACGGCGTCGCATTTGAGCTCTGGTCCACACATTGCAGACGTCAATATTCTGCTGCCTCCCAAAATGACTCATCCGGTCGAGTATAGGCTTCAGGGAAGTGATGGCTGCTTTAAATGGTAAGCCACAGTGTGTATATATTGTATATGTTCGTTCCTTCTTTTTTACCAATGCTTGGAAAATTGATGTTTCTGGTAAAACGTTTATTTAAAATTGTATGAAATTTTTTGCAGGTCATGGGATCATCACGATATTCTGTCTGTTCTGCCCGAATATAATTCAACTAGTCACTGCTCAACAAGTGCGCGGTTGAGATCAATTGCTCCGTATAGTGGTCGAAAGGAGACTGCTGTTTACGCTGCTGATGTAACTACTGGAGCTGTGATTCGCTGCAAAGTTTTATTGACAAATTTTCCAGAATTCAGATATTTCATAATTCCATTAAGCTTGACTTAGATGGGCTTGCCACGCTTCGAGTCCGTGCCTTTGATAGTGAAGGTACTTTTTGAAATGCTAATGATCACAAGATTTTTGGGGCCATTGAATTCTCAATTTCATTTCTTGGTAGTTGATGCTCAATTTTTTTTTTCTTTTAAATTTTAATTTGGTCTGGTTCTAAAGTTTAAGAAATTTGTCAACATGCATTGCAGAAAACGTGTTTTCTTCACTGGTGGGCTTGCAGTTTATGTGGCAGCTGATGCCTGAACCTAATGTATTGCCTCATCACCTTGTTCATGTCCCTCTAAAGGACTCTCCCCTGAGCGACTGTGGCGGGTTGTGTGGAGACCTAGATATCCAAATAAACCTTGAAGATAATGTATGCATATTGCAATTTGCTGTCAATGAGGAATATCAGCGGGTCACTGCATTTTTCACTTTGCATCTAACTTTTTTTTTTAATGTATGATACAGGGTGTATTTTCTGATCTGTACGTCGTAAAGGGAATTGAAATTGGGCATGAGATTGTTTCTGTGCATTTGCTTGAGCCACAGTTCAAGCACATGACTGATAAGATAGTTCTAACTGTAGCAGAAGCCATGTCGCTCGATCCTCCCTCGCCTGTTTTTGTCCTTGTTGGTGCAGCTGTTCGTTATAGTCTATTAATTATCCGTGGCAACAAAGCTCAAGGTTTTTCTTCCAATTCTTCTACATATGCTCTAAAGTAGTAAACTCTTTGTCTATTGCGGTATGTTTAAGGCCGCTTGATGGATAAAATTTCTTGATTTAGGGCCTAATTCTGTTTATAATTTTTCTACTTAGGTTTCTTTCTATTTGAGTTTCACTTAACTAGTTTGGTATTTTATCATATATTTTGAAGAATTAACTTTTTGGTGTTAGGTTCACTGGATATGCATGTAGAGTTACGTGTATATGGCTCATATGTAGAGTTACATGGAATATTATGCTGCAGTATAAGTTTATTCTCACCAGTCATACTACCTTTCTTCATTGGGCCTTCGCAGTTGTAAATTTGCCGTCTCCACATCATCGATGGTCTGTTTCAAACTCTTCAGTTGCTTGTGTTGACTCTATGATGGGTTTGGCATATGCGTTGAACTTAGGGGTAACTAACACCATAGTTGAAGATACAAGGGTTGCTGGCCACATACAAGTGTCGTCACTTAATGTTGTCCTGCCTGATTCTTTATCTTTATACATGACACCTCTATCTACTTCTGATGATCCTGTTGAAGGAATTAAAGCAATTCCATCCATGACACGGTGGTATGGTGTTTCTGGTCGTCGGTACCTCATTCAAATGAAGGTTTTCTCAGAAGGACCAGATGCACAAGAAATCTACATTACAGAGGTAAAGCGTGCATTCTTCCAGTATCATTGTTCAAACAACGATATATCCAGTTAATTTGCATTTTTTACTAGCAGGGTTCTTTCTTCTTATCATTTTCCTTTCCACAATGTGAATTATGATCGTATTATCAAAGATGTTATTTTTTTTCCTATTAATTGCTTCTCTTGTCAAATAATGTTCTTGCATTCTCTGTTTTTCTCTCCATATTTACTTTTGGCCCGAATTTCTGCAAATGTCCTTTGTTCTCATCTGATGCTAATGTCTGTCTTGCATTATACTATAGAAATTTCTGTTTTTGCTTTATATAGCAGCGTGTTATGTTTTTGTCTACTTTCGTCTCAGAAGTTTCTTCTGTGAATTGCAGAGTGATGACATAAAGTTGTCCAATAATCAGTCTGATTACTGGAGACTTTTTCCTGTATCAGATGATATTGCAATCAAACATGGCTGGCAGAATTCTATAATTCTAAAGGCAACTTCACAGGGACAGGATAAATTGACAGCTTCTTTGACTTACTTTAGTGGGCTAAATGAGACGAAGGAGGTAATGATTTGATCTTTAACTTTTTTCCTAGTTCCTGATTTGTTTATTATGATTCTATGTTTAATTTTATTCTTATTTTGCTTAAGTTGGTTCGTCTCTGCTTGTAGGTTCTCAAGGTTGCACAAGAAGTCATGGTTTGTGATCAAGTCAAGTTTAGTTTGGATAAAAGTGATGCATCTCCAACCATTTTCCTTCCCTGGGCCCCTGCTATTTATCAGGAGGTGGAGCTACAGGCTACAGGAGGTTGGTAGCTTTCTAGATACTCAGTTTCTTTAACTTCGACTCTAATGTTGCTTAGGGGATCTGAACACTATCAAATTATACAGGTTGTGCTAAGGCATCCAGTGACTACAAATGGTTCTCTTCAGACATGGGTATTGTGTCTGTGTCTGCTTCTGGGGTTGCCCAGGCTAAGAAGCCTGGTAAAGCTACTATTAAAGTGCTCTCCATATTTGATTCATTCAATTATGATGAGGTACAGGGTACTCTGTATGTTCTTTTGCGTCCTCATAGTATTGAGTGTCCACTGACCTTCTTACTCCTTGTGCTTTATGGAATCTTTTAAAGTTCTGTACTCTGCACAACCTAATATCTAATCTCAAGATTCTTACACGCACACCCTCAAATGCTATACAATGTTTACATGGATCTTTATATTTTTCTCTCTCTCATCCCTATTGTCAATACTAGTTTTTATAGTATTTAGTCTAACGTGATAGGTTGTCGTTGAAGTTTCCGTCCCAGCATCTATGGTCATGCTCCGTAACTTCCCTGTTGAGACTGTTGTAGGACAACATCTTCAAGCTGCTGTAACAATGAAAGCATCAAATGGTAATGTCATATGATATACACATATATACCAGAATCATATGGTACTTGATTTGTGTCAATGGTGGATGGCCTTGTAAACTTTGATTTTTTATTTTCAGGTGCCTACTTTTATAGATGTGATGCTTTCAGTTCCTTCATAAAGTGGAAAGCAGGCAGTGAGTCTTTCCTTATTGTCAATACAACAGGGGAGTCCCCTGCTTTAGACAGTTTAGGAAATGCCGACTTCCATGCATCAAATTATGGTCCCCCATGTTCATGGGCATATATATATGCCTCTGCTTCTGGTCGGGCTACTCTTCATGCTACATTATCAAAAGAATATCACAACTTTGATAACTCTTTTGGTGGACCTATTGTCTTAAAAGCATCTTCACTTATTGCGGCATACTCACCGCTTAGCATTCGTCAGGCAGGTGATGGAAACCATTTCGGTGGCTACTTTTTGATCTGGGTCTAGCAGAAACTGATAAGCAATTGGTAAAGTTGGACAAAATATACCTTGTCCCTGGGACGCATTTGGATGTTATGCTTCTTGGTGGACCTGAAAAGTGGAACAATGGTGTTGACTTTGTTGAAACTATGGAAATCTTAAATGAACAACATGGTCACATTGACAATGGTGCTTCTGTGGAAAGGTTATCTGAAACCTATAAGAGTCTGTATAGAGTTTCATGCCAAATGCTGGGAACCTATGTAAAATTCCTCTCTTTATATTTCAGAAGGTTTCTGATATAATTATCTTTATGCAAAATTCTTAATATAATATATCTTTATCCTACAATGACTCAGAAAATTGTTTTCAAACGCGGTAATCTGGTTGGGGATGGCCATCCTCTGCCTGCAGTAGCAGAAGTTCCACTGTCTCTTATATGTAGCATTCCTGCTTCAATTGTTCTGATAGTGGATGAACATGGTATAAATGATTTCCTTAATTCAAAACTGCAAGCAGTTAAATTTTACTTTCAATATATTTTAATATACACTTTTTAAGATAATGGTGAATGGCCACTCTACAGTAAATGAACGTGAAGTCATACAGACTGCAATTCAAGCTGACCGCAGTTCAGGGCGAATTCGTGTCACCCCTGTTACTGTGGCAAATGGGCGCACCATTAGATTAGCTGCAATTGGCATCAGTAACTCTGGAGAAGCTTTTGCAAACTCATCTTCTCTTTATTTGAGGTGGGAACTTATCAGTTGTAATGAGATGGCTAAATGGGATGATGATAATTTAGAGAGGTCGGAGCACAGTTGGGAGAGGTTATTGAGCTTGAAAAACGAGTCAGGCCTGGTACTTCCAGAATTTCATTGTCCTTTGTTTTAATATTATCATCTCTTAGTTCTGTTATTAGATTGACAAAATTTGTGTCCAGAGCTTTAACTCAAGAATGAGACCTTTGTCAACTGAATTTGTTTCTAGATTCAGATGACATTAAAGTACAAATTTCCTTATTTTTTTATTGGGGTTTCTTTTCAGTCCCACTTCATTGTATATTAGGGCTATATTATGTTTTCCTTACCTTGATGTTTATATGCTAAAATTAAAAATCAGCTAACATGTTTAATCCTTTGCTTCTTAGTGTACAGTTCGTGCCACGGCCATTGGTTTCAGAGATAACATGGGTGGTCATAAGTCTGTTCCATTGCTTGATAGTTCAGAGAATGTTCTTGCAGATGCAATTCGTCTACAGGTATAATTAATCTTTCAATTTTTTACTATATTTTCCTAAATGCATCCCGTTCATATCTAGTCTTTTAATCTTCTAAATCTGTCAATCACACGTTTAAATTTTTGAATTCTGAGCAGCTAGTTTCTACACTAATGGTCAGCCCAGAGTTCAATCTGGTGTTTTTCAATCCCAATGCTAAGGTAGGCTCTGAACACATTATCAATACTCTATTATTATGGCTTAGTAAGTAACCGTGTCTAGTTGCTGGGCAGATCATACTCTTTTTTACTATTTTCTGTGTTTATTTATTTTTTCTTTTAGCTTCTATTATCCGTAATATCTCCATTTGGAATCAGTTAATTATCTCTCTGGAAAAATGGGGAGAAAAAGAAAAGAAACACACAAAATGCAACCCTTCCTTTTGCAACGAAGTGGTAGTAATGACTAAGGTAGAGCCGTGGAATGCCTTGGACCTGTAGTCCTGTGCATAAGTGCTTTGGGATACGAAAGCCCTAATGTAACATAAATTTTCCCTTTTTAGGATCATAATTAAAGTAAAGAGTTCCATGTGTTTCACGAAACTTGGGTAGAGATGGAGCAGGTTATCTGAGACATTGTATTTTAATTCATTTATCAGACATTTCTGTCATGTTGTTATGCATTGGGAAATGCCTTTGCTTGTTGTAGTTTATATATTATAGTGCATACATTTGGGCATTTTAACCTACACAATGCATTTACTATCATCTTTCAGTTAAATCTGTCAATCACTGGAGGGAGCTGTTTCTTGGAAGCTGTTGTGAACGATTCTCGAGTGCTAGAAGTTGTTCAACCCCCAAGAGGTTTACAATGCTCACAACTGATGCTGTCTCCTAAAGGTATGGGGACGGCGCTTGTGACAGTTTACGATGTTGGACTTGCTCCTCCACTTGCAGCTTCTGCTGTGGTAATTTCTTTATTCTGCTCTATCACTTGTTCATAATTTTCCAGCTAATAGGTAGCTTTTAAGTTGGTTTTTGTATTATCACCTCATTCACCTTACAAACAACGTTCATTTTTTATGCTGTTGAAAGTTATTGTCTTTCTTTTACATTGAGTCCCTTTTTCTTCCGTGAAGTGTCAATTGTTTGATTTGGGTGATTAAGCTTCTCTGCTTAGTTTCAGTTGGAAATGATGCTTACCAAGTTAAGCAAAGATGCATGATAAATTTCCTCGATTACATATGTATGGAACTTTTAACTCGGGATTCTAAGAGAATAGTATCACATGTCTCTCAGCTTTGGGTTTTTCAAAATCACATTTACCTGGAATATAAACTTGAACAGATTCTTGAAATTTGAAATTATGCCATCAAACTCTTAGTGCCTGTTGCTTCAATTTCTTTTCTCATTTGTTATGCTTTTAGGCGGTCACAAACCTTTATCCTGAATGTTAAATATTGCTTGCTTTTGTAGACTAGTTTTTTAATTTTTTAATTTTTATAAAGGTGTGCATATTGTGTAGGTACAAGTTGTAGACATTGACTGGATAAAGATTGTGTCACCAGAAGAAATAAGCCTTATGGTATGTTTATCTGGTGTAATTATTTTTTTGGTTATCTGGTATATTTTTTGCTCCACTGCAGAGCTACTGGGCAGTGAGAGGTAGCCTGTGTAGCCATTCTGGATTTAATGATATCCTACTTTGATAATTTCAGGAAGGGGCATCGCAGACTATTGATTTGATGGCTGGGATTAGTGATGGAAGGACTTTCGACTCTTATCAGGTTTGAATTGACCTGATCTATTAGCTTCGGGAGTCTGGACTTATGTGTCTCTGTTTGTCTTTTGTTGCCTACAAAGTGAATTTAGTGGAACACAATTAAGGGGATTAGTTATAGTTCTGTTTATTTTGGTAGATCTCGACCTTGTTTGCTTTCTTGCCTGAGTGTTAAAGCTCAAGTTTGTAAGCCAAATTCTTGCTTTATATCTTACATGTGAGAGGCTTGATGAGTTGGAACCTTTTGTGCAGTTTGCCTACATGAATATTCATGTGCATGTTGAGGATCATATTATTGAGGTGTTAGACATTAATGATATCTCAAGAACAGGAGGTGGATATGTTAATGTCCCGAAATTTAAGATTTTGGCTACACATCTTGGGATCACAACTTTCTTTGTAAGTTCACCGTTGTCCTTGTACCTATGTGTTACTATCTTTAGTATTCTTCAAATTGTCAAATCTTTTGTTGCGGTTTCTGAATGATGAAAGTTTACTGAAAGTACTTGAAATCAGGTGAGTGCTGTACAGCAATCTGGGCATGAAATTTTGAGTCAACCAATAATGGTGGAAGTGTATGCACCACCAATAATTCACCCACAAGACATTTTCCTTGTACCTGGTGCAGCTTATGTGGTATGTTTCCGATATAAATCTCACCTTGTTTTTCCACCTTTCTGCATCTTTTTCTCTCTTAACAATGAGTTATTTATGCCCTTTGAGAATATCAATATGTAATATGAAAAAGAGTTTGTGTAGTTGCTATTTTTCCTTTGAGAATATCAGTATGTAGTATGAAAAAGAGTTTGTGTAGTTGCTATTTTTCAGCTGTCTGCAATTAGTTGGAATTTAATTTTGATTATGCTACACTTTTTATATATATAATATATAATTGTTGACTGCGAAGGCCCTGTATGTACAAAATATGCAGTCTTTCTTTCATGTTTCTTATAGGTATTTTAACAAGTTCATTCTCTTGTGCTTAGCTTACTGTGAAAGGAGGCCCAACAGTTGGTGTATATGTTGAATATATGAGTATGAATGAGGAAATAGCGACAATGCATAGATCTTCAGGACGACTGTCTGCCATTTCACCTGGGAACACTGTAAGATATGATTGTATTGTAGCTGATACCAATTTACCCTATTCTTCTTAGCTATTTGTATGTGTTACTTATATTATATGATTTTACTATTTCATAGAAAAAAAATAAAGGCATGATATCATGGATTGACTAGCAACGTGTCATTTTCAGGGTTTTTCATGACTATGTAGTCTGATTATTGGATGGGGTTTTGTAAATGGACACCTGGTCTTTAAATTATCATGTGGGCAGTCGGGCACTTAAAAAATTTCAATCTGCTAGAGCATTATCTCTTTTTTCTGTTAGTTTTTCCTTTACTTTTACGATCAGGATGAGGTCACCATGTTTTAAATCATAATATATAAATAAATCCTAATACTAACAGAAAGACAACCATTGTTTGAGGCCCATCTCACTTTATGCCTTCAAAAGGCAATGTTCATGTAAGACTTGGACCGAACATCCTGCTCATAATGAATGAGGCATATCTAGTTAGGTTTAGCTTTGGGACTTTTTGTCTCGTTGGGTCCTCTTCACAATTACCACCAGAACAGGAAGTTTCGGGTCTTTGGCTAGTTTTGTGTTAGATTTTTTTTCTTTATTCTTATCATTATTTTGATTTATTTATTAAAAAAATGTGTATTTACACTTCTGAGTTTAGGGTTTGCTGATAATGCAAAATTTTGTGTAATCAAATGCATTTTTTACATACGCCCAGACTATTCGTGCCAGAGTCTTCAGAAATGGAGATACCGTGATTTGTGAAGCATATGGCAGTGTTAAAGTAGGAGTTCCTTCTTCGGTGATATTGAATGCACAAAGCGAATTGCTTGGTGTTGGCCGTGAGATGCCTATTTATCCTTTGTTTTCGGAGGTAAGAATTACAAACTGAAGGGTTATGCATCATCTCTTATCAGAATACTTACTTGTGGGTATCATCAGGGCGATTTGTTTTCTGTTTATGAGCTCTGCCAAAATTACCAGTGGACTGTAGAAGATGACAAGGTTACTACTTCCTGCATCTTTTTGCTCTGCATGTGAATTCTCCCATGTCAATGCTTGTGGATGACCAGATATTATGTAATTAATGAAAGAGTTTTTCTGTTTTCGTTGTCTAGGTATTGAGCTTTAATTTGTTAGAGCATTTGAATGGTGAGAAGTATGGGACTCAGTTGGATCCTTCAGAAAAAATTCAGTTCCCTAGCCATATGAGTGAGGAAGAGCTTGGTTTTATCAAAGTAATGTTTGGAAGGTATACATTGTTTTATAATTGTTATGTACATCACATCTTTCCTTTCCAGCTTTTATTGATATGTGCTCCGTCTGCATCATGTTCCATGTTAGACATGGGCAGGCTGAACGGGTAAACTGATTCTTCTTACTAGAATAATAAATTCCATCATATGGTCGACGGCAGATATATAAATTGCCATGAATTTTGAATACTCAAACATGAAGAAAATGCCAGACTAAAAAGATGATGAAAATCTCTTAGTTAAAAAATCTTTCCATTTCTCCATTTTCAGATCTGCAGGGAGGACCAACATTGCAGTCTCGTTCTCATGTGAATTTATATCTTCTGGTTCTAAATCATGGACAAGATTTTACAATGCATATTTATCAATATTGGTGGTGCCTGATCTCCCTCTTGCTCTTGGAGTCCCAATAACGTGGGTTCTTCCTCCTCATTACACTACAACAAGTATTTTACCTTCATCTTCAGAATCATATGGCCAAAGGGATAGTCAGAGTCACAAAGGAACTATTATCTATTCCTTATTAAGAAATTTCCCTGACAAGAATGAAGGTGTGCAAAAGGATGCTATTTCCGTTGAAGGGGACAGAATAAAGACATCAGAGAGTAACAATCTTGCATGCATTCAGGCAAAAGATCGTATCACGGGTAGAATTGAGATTGCTGCTTGTGTCAAAGTTGCTGAGGTATGAATATTAGTACCTGCTGATTGACACGATATATAAGGAACAAGCTTTCTTTTCAAATATGGTCACACACACACGAACACAAGACATAGTGGTATAGCTTCTGAGTGCTGGGGAAGTGCGATTCTTGGTTTCAGATTTGTCTAACCTTCACTTCTCAAGATTGCTGAAAGTTTTTAGGAAACAATGGTGAAGTATCTGCAATTTGATATTTTTGGTATGGGCCTTACATTTCTATCAATTTTTGATGAGGTAGACTTATAAAAACTGAATCAGCATTCCAAATAGATTCTATTGAGAGTATAATATCCCAGATTGCATATTCTAAGCCTTGCATCTCAATTATAGAATCTTGGGCCTCTTTACCATTGCCAATTTGTTTTGGATTGGATGCTCAGAGTAGACTTTACTTCAATGCAGTTTTGCACTTCTCAAAGTAGATCTTTAATCACATAATCATTACAAAAGAAATTAAGATAAGCTAGGTAATGCTTCATTATAATCAATGTTCAAGTGTTGAGGTGCTTATTTATTGCCTTTTGTCCCCGTTCTTGACTTTATTGCTTATTCTAAGAGAAATGCATATTCTGGTCAGGTGTCTCAAATAAGAATTACGAACAAGGAGGAGGTACCATTTCACGGGATTAATCTTGCTGTTGGTGCTGAACTTTCTCTTCCAGTAGTCTATCTTGATGCACTAGGTATTAATGTTTCAGTTATATTAATTAAAATTGGTACTGTACTGTACTTGGTAGAAAAAAAAAGGTGTTTCAAATTTGAGCCTAAGTCTTTTGTGGTTTTTCTTTGACTAGGAAACCCTTTCTATGAAGCATATGGCGCTGTTCTCTTTGATGTTGTAACCAACTCTCCGGATGTTGTGTCCATAAACAAAAACAACACACATGGTGGCAGTAGAAATATCCATCTTAAGGTCTCATTGATTCCAAGTTCTTTTTTTCCTACTCAAATAGCTCCATGCAAGAAGCTGTGATAAGGATTTCTTTTTAGATATATTAATCAAGCAACATGCATTTATGTAGACGAGAACTAGCTGAGTGAAAGTACAGCAGCATATTTTAGTATCCGTTTGATTTTCTCAAGCCTTATGCTGACGCCTGTTTTTCAAATTTATGGTTGAAGGCAATGCGGCATGGTAGAGCTCTTGTGCGAATATCCATTGATCGTATTCCTCAGAAGTCGGACTATATCCTGATATCAGTGGGTGCCCATATACATCCTCAAAACCCAGTTCTTCATATTGGAAGTCATCTTAACTTCAGCATTGAAGGTAGGTTATGGCAAACATGTACCTTGGAATTCATTTGTTGCATATTGTTACAAGTCTTGACATGTTTCATTGATCAATTTGTCTTGTTTGTTTAAGGTTTCAGAATTTATTTTTTCTTTTTTTCCCTATGGATTGTTGTACCTCATATGGACCCTTTTGAGTAAGGCATGTTGGCTCTTAATCTAGTTTCGTTACAGCAGTAGATCATCGAAAGGGTTTTCAAGGAAGTGCAGTCAAGCGCTAATGTTTCTTATTGCGATAGCTCAACCATGCACAAATTGGATAAAATTTTGTAAAAAATTCTTCATGCAATGCAAATGCACCTCCTATGTAAATACATTCATAATTACCGAAATCCCATTGACATCTCCTCTTCTTTTTCTGAAATATTTTAAGAAAATGTACTTTTGTTAAATATATTCTTTATTGTCATATGTGCATTACTCATTTGTATCTATTGCTATATGGAAACTCATCCTCCTTAAGTTGAGGTCACAATTTATAATGGGTTTGCTTCTCTAGGTTTTTTTTTGGGGGGATGCGTACTAATGATTGGTGCTGCACTCTCAGGCAATATCTTCCATGCAGTACAATTAGATGTGGAAATATCACTCTGTAGTTTTATGCTTCACATATGTGGAAGAAAAGTTAATCACGCACATTAGAAAGAAACATTTCCTGAGGTTCTAAATGACATTCTTTGTGAATTTTCCACATATAGAAGTTTGAAGACAAAGGTTGATCAAGTTTCCCACTCCACCTCACCTCCCAGTGACATGTTACATTGTTTATCTTGATTCATAGGTTTAAATGATAAAGTTTCTGGCCAGTGGAGTACTGCCAATGGAAGTGTTATATCTGTGTCCCCATTGTCTGGAGTAGCTGAAGTAGTGGGGGAAGGTACAACCCAAGGTAAACAAATACTCTTATGTTCTGTTGGATCTACTGGTCTTGACAAATTTATGTAAATGTATCTTGACCCCGTGATTTTTTGTAAATGATAAGTTGATTATGATGATACAAATTTTCACATTCATAAGTTCTTTCTTGTGAACAGTATTTTTTGAAGCTTCAAGTTTGAAGCTGAGAACAGCTGTAATAGTGCTAACAGGGGATATTGTATATGTGGATGCTCCAAGAGAGACACTAACAAATGTTCCCGTCCCTACCAAAGGATATAACTTCTCTGTGAGGATCAGGTTTGTAATCCATGAATGTTGGATATGGATATAGGATGTCGGACTCAGCAATTCTCTGAAATTTAGACAATTAGGCACGATTACATATGCATGTCTTATTAAATCTATAAAGTTGGAGCGTATATTTTCTACTTTAGGGAGCATTTACATGCAGCAGAAGAATAGCTAGCAGTAGCATCATGAAAAAAAAGTTTCTTAACAGAATAAGTAGAAAGAGGTAGACCTTTCTTATCCTACATATTTTACTGTAGAATAAATATGAATTCTTTTGGATTCCAGAAGAAGTTCAACACTCAGAGTAGGACCATGGTATCAATTTTAATGCATAATTTTCAAGGAATCACAATATAACCGTTTAGCAAACTAATGCCTGGCATGTGGTCAGTTATCCAGGGAAATTCAACACTTAGAAGTGCAATTGAATGCTGAAGACATTGATTAGCAGATATGGTTGCTTGTAAAATTTGTTTTATCTTTAAGATATTTACATATACTAAGTAAAAATTGTTCTGTCATTTATGTATGCATAACTTGGAATAGCTTATGATAACATAATATCTACTGCCTACCGCCTCATATTCCCTATTTTGGGTTGTATATTTATATAAATGTTTGACATATATGTATTTATATATTTTTATATATATATATATATATATAAATACATATATGCATGATTTTTAGAATCATTCTGCATGTCTTCTTCATCATTAATATATTTGTACAGTTCATAGGATACATTGGCTAAAAAATTGCCTTTCTTTTGTTATTGATATTTTTCGGGGACAGAAGAATAGAAGTAATACTTCTCAAGGAATATCTGATAATGTTTTCACCTTTTTCTATTTGTTTCAAAGCAATAATTACGACAAGTTTAAAGCTCTTGGAGACATCAAGGGACTCCAGTATGACTGTAAAGTGGACCCGCCTTTTGTTGGGTACATTTCTCGCTTACTCTACTGCCTCACTTGTTTATAAATATACTCAGTTGTCCTTATTGAGCTTTACTATTTTTTTTTCTCTTCGTGGACTACAGGTATGCAAAGCCATGGTTGGATCTTGATACTGGTAACTCATACTGCCTCTTTTTCCCTTACTCACCGGAGCATTTGGTTCGTTTGATACCCAAGTCCAAGGATATGAAACCAGATATTTCTGTTTCCATCAATGCTTCATTGAGAGGAGCTGATCATGTTTCAGGATCTGCTTCTGCTCTTTTTGTTGGAGGGTTTTCCATATTGGAGATGGGCAAGGTAGTGACGTATTCTGAAACATTGTAAATGGCTCCTATAAGTCCTTGATATCAGGAGCCCCTTCAAACTTATACAATAAAAATAAAAACAATGGTAATAGTGTTTGATGTAGTTGTTGCTTGAATGTTTCAGGATTCAATGCAGTTGAATCTGACCCCATACTCTAACAAGACGATTATAACAATCCTGGGCAACATAGGTAAGACCTAAGTAGACAGGATGCATTCCTGCAACCACACATGTGCATGCTCCTGGCCACCATGCATTATTTGAGTTTAATTAAGGTTCTGGATTCTGATGTCATCAGTTGTTTTTTTCTGATTGTAGATGTTGAAATTTATTGGCATGAGCGGGAGTCACTACTCATTACTCCCATCCATACAGAAGGTTTTGGGATCGGTGGACGTGCAAAATATGAGGTGAGTACTGATTGCTTAAATTTTGCTTAAAATTTCGGTTGCATTTCAATGGAGATGTTTGGGTCTTTAGTACAAATGAGAAAAAAATCATTGGTTCTTAATGACACTTGGATATTGCTTCAGAGAAAGAAAGAGAAAACACAAAAAGAAAGTTTTATTATTGGTAAAACTTTTTCCTTTTGGAAGGAGAGTAAAAGTTAGTTTTTGAAAATATTAAAAGTAATACAAGCGATTCCATGGTTCCAAATCCTATTTATCCTTCTATTGTGCAGCAATCTACCGACTGGATAGAAAGTGCAACAATGCTTAGCACAACAGTTTAATTTCATTTCCGTATGTTGATTTTGATATCTTTCATGAATTATGGTACTTGTCCATTTTAGGTGAAAATGCTGGGAGCCAAAAGATTCACAGATACAATTTTCATCACACTCCCAGCCAATGGTGAATCTTTTTTTTTTATACCTAATTCTTGATCTTACTTCACTCTAGGAGACAAGGTGGATCTTTAAGTATTCTTGGAACGAGGTTATACAAATTTATGTCTCGTATGCAGGTCAGAGTGTGGAAATCAACGTTAGCTGTGACCCCGGAGAAAGAACAGCATCTGAAACTACCATTAATTATATCCTTTGGACAACGGTGCTTGGATGTCTTGCTCTATTGATTTTGACAGTGGTTGTCTCCGTATGTTATTTGGACAGACCGGATAGATCTCCCCAAACATCCATTAATGTTCCTGCTACTCCAAGTATTGCAGCCCCAGTCACACCTGTACGTAGCAGCCCAGCTATCGGGAGTGAATCTCCCCGAACACCTCAGCCTTTCATAGATTATGTAAGGAGAACAATAGACGAAACCCCATACTACAGGCGAGAGCCTCGGAGGAGGGTTAATCCACAGAATACTTTCTAGTTTCTTAGACTGTCATTAACAAGTTAGATAGGACACTCGGTCTCTCAGAATGATGTACGGAACCCATGTAAATGCAAGTGCTGCTGACTCTGCTGAGAGCCAGAGGCATTCTTGTCCAAATTTTGGTGTATTTAGAAGTTAATGTATTTATACTCTATCTCTAAAAGTGGAAAAGTAATGGATTTTAAGATTTAAATCTTAAGATCATGCTGTGATGTGATGTTCTTTGAAAAGGCACGCCCCTTCACCCGAAGAAGAAATTGGAGTTGTTAAACACATTAACTATTTTTCTAAACTTTTTGTGCAATTTTCTTTTTACATTTTTTCCCCTCGCTTTTACGTAACATTGAATTGGGAAAAAAATGAAAAGATAAAAAACTGATATTTGTTGAAGTTTTGTTAATTAATTTAAAATAATTAGACTATTACTTGTATAAAAAATAAAAAACTAAAAATAGAGGAAGGGAAAACACTTTAGAATCGCAATATATCTTAAACTCAAATGCCGTGAGAGGGTTTAAGAGCCTCGGCACCAAATACTGAACAGAATACACTTGAGTCTGGTCCTTTTCAGTCTTGGTCTTGTGTCTAGGGCTAACTAACTTCTTCTTCTTCTTCTTTGGAGGAGCACTCTGTGTATACTTTGAGTCAAAATTCGAAATCCATGGATTCGCAGACTAACGATGCCAACCTTGACGGTGAAGCTCACGACATTAACAGGTCAGACCACAGAGATGAGGCGGAGGATGAAGATTACAAGTCTCAACCTCATACTGGCGACGGAGCCAGTCCTGGGTAATCTCTCTTTCTCCTCTCCTCCACTTTTAGCCCCCGTTTGGTTCCTCAGAAAATTTGGGCAAAACCAAGACAAAAACGAATCTCAGCTAGTTATTTTTTCTGTAATTCCGTAGGAAAATCTTTATAGGGGGTTTGGCCAGAGAGACAACTACAGGTAGGGTTTTCTTTTTCTTCCCTTTTTTCTGGAGCTAATTGCAGTGTTTTTCTAATTATTAGGGTTTCTGATTGTAAATCTTTTGTGGTAATGCAGCGCAATTTATAAAGCATTTCGGCAAATACGGTGAAATTATAGATTCAGTGATAATGAAGGACCGGAAAACGGGGCAGCCCCGCGGGTTCGGTTTTGTGACCTATGCAGACCCCTCTGTCGTTGATAAAGTCATTGACGAAACTCATGTTATCAATGGCAAACAAGTAAGCTTTTTTACTTTTATTCGCTCACAATCTTGAGTTGCATACTTTCTTTGTCATATTTACCTGCTTTATGGTCTTTGTTTTTTTATTTTGTAGGTGGAAATCAAGCGCACAATACCGAGGGGTGCAATGGGGTCTAAGGATTTCAAGACTAAGAAGATTTTCGTGGGTGGAATTCCAACAACCGTGAATGAAGGTGATCTTTTTTCTTTTCAGTTTTTGGTTTTTCTTTCATTATATAGTTGTTGAGGTACTTATTTATTGTTTGTAAATGGGCAGATGAGTTTAGTGACTTCTTTTCACAGTTTGGAGAGGTCAAGGAGCATCAGATTATGCGAGACCACTCCACCGGTCGCTCCCGTGGCTTTGGATTTATTACCTTTGACACAGAGCAATCAGTTGACGAACTCTTGGACAAGGGGAACAAGCTTGAGTTCGCTGGAGCTCAGGTGAGCTATGTACTGAATATAGCCCATGCTTGCATTTATCTCTGCCCGTATATGCTTTATAATTATGTTACATGGTGCAGATCCTGAAGTAGTTATTATTTGCATTAGCTATTGTATTGGTTGTAGTTAGCATTCTGGTGTTTGTCAAATTTTGCGTTGATGTTCTACATATCCTCTTTAATGTCAAGTACTGGTGTCATTCATGGGGGCCCAGCTCAGTATCTTGATTATCAAGATTTCATGTTTATTGCATGTGTTGTTGTTCTCATGTTGGCAATTGAATTTTTGCTCCCTTCATATGTGCCTGCTTGCAAGACCTCATGATAATATTATAATACCAGTTGGCTTTTTAATTTTTTTTCTTCAGCTGGTGGATGTTGAATTATAGTTCCATTATGGGTTGCGCTAGTTCGTTGCTTAGTTCAGTATAGTACCTGTAGATTACTGAAAGTTCCTGTTGCTTTTTATTTTATTTTTGAAGTGATGGAATAAGGGACCATATACAAATGCTTGACCAAACAAAACTGAGGTGGAATTTATTGTGCACAAGAAAATAGTTTGCATGTACTCTACAGTTGTGGGAGAAATTTGGAATTCTTATATGGATCCAATTATGTTTTTACTAGATGCATCTTTGATCAATCAAGAGGCTTGATGATTTAGATTTTCATCTCTCATTTCTTGTAGGTGGAGATTAAAAAGGCAGAGCCAAAGAAGCCAAACCTACCTGCAGCCCCATCTAAACGTTACAGTGATTCTCGGCCTGCATATGGTGGTGCGTATGGAGATAGCTATGGGGGATTTGGAGGTGGAGGTGGCGGTTATGGTGGCGGTTATAGGTCAACTGCGGCCTATGGTGGTAGGGGAGGCAGTGCATATGGAGGATATGGTGGAAGTGAATTTGGTGGCTATGGAGTATATGGAGGAGGTGGTGGTGGTGGGGGTATAGGGGCGTATAGGGGAGAATCATCCATAGGATACTCGGGCCGTTATGGAGGAGCCTATAGCAGAGGTTATGATCTAGGAGGCGGTTATGGTGGAGCTGGCGAGAGTTATGGGGGATATGGAAGTGCTGGTGGTGCAGCTGGTGGTGGTTACGGGAGTGGTTATGATGCAGGTTTTGGAGGTGGCTACGGAGGTGGTAGTGGAGCTTCCTTTTATGGTAGTAGAGGGGGATATGGTGGTGCAGGTAGCGGTCGATATCATCCATATGGGAGGTAGAAGGTTTGTTGTATTTTAGGACTAAAGAAGTCTTGCAGCCGAACGCAAAGGTGTTGTTTGTAGCTCTTGGCTTCAAGTCTACTCTACTGGCTTATGTTTCCAGTTTCTTTTATTTTTGTGTCAAAGATGTTCCATATTTACCTTAGTTTAATTCTTTTTATTTCTTTGAAGGATCGATTTCCATTTTACCCTTTTCTGTTCCAAGACTACGAGATCAAAGGGACCTGGTTCTTTCTTATTTATCTGCCAATTATCAGTAACAGGCTGCACATTGTGTAGATGTTTGCATTAGACTCGTTCTCCGAAGATATTTCTTCTTCTTTTTGTAGGATCACTCTACCATTTATGGTAATGATTCCTTGACCTCATACCTTGGAGATTGTCTTACAAAATTCTCAACTGGTTTGCCACTTTTTGGTTGGGAAATAAGTCCACATCGTTCTATCTTTCTTTCCCTTTTTCCCTGGCAAGAAACAGAAAATTGTTGTTTGTGGTTTAAAAATAAATAAAAAATCTCACATGTGCCAGATGACACGAATTTCTTCTTGTGGTTTCCAAGCACGCTCATTTGAATTTCTTCTCACACTCTTAGACGAATTGATTTGGGTTTATGTAATGTATTAAATTTAGGGGCTGTTTGGAGTACTTATGAAAGGGCTAAAAATGTTTCGTAACAACTAAAAGCAATTTTGATAGTCTTTGCCAGAAAAATTTATAAGTGCTTTTGGGTTACAAAAGTGCTTTATGAAGAAGCACGTGCTAGGTGTTTTCTCAGGAATTTCTTCTTAGGAAAGCAGGTGAATTTTTAAATTAAAACTTCTAAAACAATTGCTATAAAAAAGTGCTTATGAACAGAAAACGTTCGCTTTACATAATAAGCCTTGTTTTTTAAAAAAAAAACAAAAAAAAAAAAAAAAAAAAAAAAAAAAACTCCTGTAATAGAAGCACTTCTAAAAAAACGCTTATAAACAAAAGTGTTCCTACATAAACCTTCCAAACGGGCCTTAGTGTTTCTATTACATTTAGTTTTTTTAATAACTTTTCTCATAATACAGTCAATGTTGGGAAAATGTTTGTAAACGTTCAAAGTGAAAAGTGGTCAAATAGCATTTCTCACTTTTCTGTTAAAAGAGGTGTGGTGTCCGATTGAAATAAGTTGATAATTCAGTGGCGAATGAGAAATTAACGCCCCCCAACAAAAATCGGAACTAATTTTTTTCTGGCATTATTTCCCTTTCTCCGACCTGGTCTGCCTCTCAAGTATCAGCCACAGAGAGCTCGAGAGAGAATGGCCATGGTGTCCTGGAACCTCGGCGTGGGTCCACGCCCAAAGGTACACAGAGAGATAGATACACACCAATTCATGGATTTTATTTTTCTATTTATTTATGTAATATTAGCTAATCTCCATTTTCTTTTTTTATTCCTAGCTACTTCAAGTCTCTTGCAGAAAGAAAGAGAGGAACAGAGATAACCATCACCCTTACAAAGTAATCGAAATAACGCCTCCGCCCAAGAACCTTGGTGTTCGATGCTTTCCCCCCGTAAGTCCCTACATCTTGTACCCATTTCTCTATTTATGCTCATCAATTGCTCATTAACATTCATAATCCACTTGTAAATATCATTATTTTGGGTTTAAGCCTACCCAAATTGTGCTTCTCACTGTTGCTGGCTTCCCAAATTGAGATTACGATATGTTGAATTTTATTCTACCAATTGTTTTTTAAGTTTCTGTTTAAGGGATTGCATAGCTGGATAAGGAAAAAAAAACTCTTAAATTGAGAGGCTCAAGTGTTTCCCTTTATTAGACAGATTGGGATGTGTGCAGCCTTGTGGCAAAGAAATCCCACTAATAATTTTAGGGATCGTTCTGATCTGAATCTAGGAATGTCTGTTTAGCGGGGATTAGGCATGTGCTGCATTGGAGCTGACTGAACTATATTGCTCTTGGTTATTGTGTTATTGTATTATATTCGGGTTCTGATCCATGATGTTTGAGATAAGTTTGTATGGTATGTTATTATGAGCTGTTTAAACTTAATTATTGTGATGACTAAGTATGAATGACGTGGATTAGGATGTGACAGATATACTAATTAACTTTAGAAGGAAGTTTTTAGAGTGGGAAAATCTTGATCGATGTCTTGAAACTTGAAAGAGTTGTTAACTGGATACATTTTGCTTAGGGGTGGCATCATCACATATTCCCGTGGATTGGTGTAGGCAAAACTTTTTGGGAAGTCACAAACTGAAGCCCTTTTTAGGTTTCGGAGGAGACTGAACCCCAATACATCCCACTTTTGCTATCTTTTGTCTGATAAGCATCACGGTGCCTGAGAAAAAGGCAAAACCATACGAAAGGCTGTGAGACGCTTTTTAATGTGCATTGACAGCTTGGCATGTAGACATAAAGCTTTGAGATGTAAGCTGTTTAACCGTTAGGGATTTTTTCTTTACTCTTTATTTTGTAAATGCACTTCTATGTGTCAAGACACATTAGAACTCATGAAAATGTGGTCTAGGACTAAGAAGGACGTCTAGTCTGAAACCCTTATAAGGTTAGTATTTGACTCAGTTAAAACACGGTATCATCCTTAATGCATATAGCATAGCCCCTTTTCTCAGTAGCCTGAGACATTTCAGAAACTCAAAGAAATTAAAAGGTTAGTTGGACAAAGTTTTTGCAGATAAGCAATACATTTCAAACACTCAGAAAAATAATGTTTGAAGGACATATCTGACATCTCAACATTGTAAGGTGCTCCAAGGAGAAAATGCTGCAACTCCATCTCGTATCCTTTTGACTAGCCATCAACTAGCTGCCTCTGAAGAAAATGAAAGAAATAGGATCATGTTTCTGTTGGGATATATGACCTTGGCTTGGGTCATCTCAAAGAAGATGGTAAACTAAATAAACAGAGCTTGACATGTAGGGTTAGGATGAAGAGATTTTGAGGAAATTATTGTTTGCAAATTATGTTATAGTTTGAAGGAAATTATTTGACCTTGGCTTAGATCATCTCGTATATCTAAGGTCTTTGCATCATTTTAGTTTCTTAAATGTCTAAGCGTTATTTTATATTATTCGTAGATTTGTACAGGCATGACAGATGATTCAGATATGGGATCAAATGTTGGATCTTTTTATTTTGGCTAGCAAATGATCACACCCCCTATGAAACTTGAACTTCTAACACTTCCCTCAAACTTTGTGTACACCCAAACTGACTGTTTATGTCTGTCATGTTGTCAGTATTACTCTGTAGGTTCATTTATGGGAATTAATAGTCCTGGTATGATTAGTGGAATTATGTGTGTCATGTTGTCTATATTACTCTGTTTGTTCATTCATGGGGATCAAGTAGGCCCTATAGCTATATGATTAGTGTAATTTACTGCTGGGGTATCGATTTTTCTTTTCTTTTCCTTGTGTATGTATTCTTATTGAACCTTCCATGCTGCAGAACCTACAATGTGGGGAGAGTGTGACAATAGAAGGCCAAACTTACACAATCTCAGCTGTAACTCATAGGTACCAGCTTCGGAAGGGGAAGTACGAACCAAGTGAGAAGAGGCTTGATGTTTTGTCCTCGGCGAGATATATCTTAAATTTGTACTTGGAAAATTTACTAGAACAATCTTGACGTTTTCTTTTATGTTATTATTTCCACTCAATCACTTGACACACAATCTCAAAATAAAATGAAGAGAATGTGGTGTTCTGTAGTTTCCTTATCACATCTCTTGCCAACTTGCTAGTTTGTCCATGTACAGTGAAGGAGAAAAAGAAAAAGAAAAAGGAAAAGAAAAGCAGAGGGTCTGTGTTATTATTGCAATGGAGATAGATGCAATGATTGTTTGTTTCCAGGATTGTTCAGTGCTTCTAGTTTGTATAACCATGCATTTTCCTTCCAACTTTTTTTTCTTTTTTTGGAGGAAATGGAGAAAGTCTAGCCTGCGGAGGCACAGCACAGCAACACCGAAAATGATTGGTTAAAAGCAAGAACTTTGTTTAGGTGATTGGTGGCAGTGGTCCCCACTAGTGTGGACGTTGTCTGAACTCCCTCTAATGATTACACGTGTCCGTTGGCACCACTAGAGTTTAAGGTGCAAAAACTCACAGCATCCGTCATGTTCGGGAGCCATTTATAACCGTCCGATGCTGATAGGAATCAAATTTGAGGACTGGAAGGGAGTGGGTTTCTGGGTCCCACTTGATAGCAAAGCATGTTACGTGTATGTGGTCACCATCATGAAAGACTACTCAACTACCGTATTTGCCCTCCTTTTGTGCTTACCGTCTGCACTACATACACCAGACCCAGCGCGGGACCCACCAAAGCCCCCATGTGCAAGAATAGTGGGACCGAGCGGCGGGCATTCTGGACCCACATGTCCGAAGTTCGTAACATGGAATTGATAACGGGCGCCCTGTCTGAAAAGACGAGTTTACCCTCCATTTGCTTCACCGCAGGCGTACCGTAGTTTCATGCGCCGGGCATGACAGCCGTCCACGTGCTTCTGGCGATGTTCACGTGTGCGCATGTGACCCCCCCTCCTGCTTCCCGCGAAAGAAGTTAATGAAATTGGTGCGCGGTTTACTTAAGCCCCATGTGATTACGACTAATATAATTTCATTATCATCGAAAAATTAACACGTAAATTAATGTCGAAAGAAAATTAAAAGTCCTCGATGCACTCCCTGAATTTTGGTGTTCTAGACTTTCAGCTGATGAAAAATATTTTGGTTGTGTTGACGGGATTGTCCAATTACATTTTGCATGTGATTTGACTTCCATCACAGCAGGTGGTGATATAAAAACCCATCAATTTAGAAATTGACGGATCTTTTAGCTCTTTAGATTAGATTCCATTGATTAAAAAAACACATTATATTAGAGTTTTAAGAAAATTAAAAAATATATAATATTTCAGGAGAAAGAATGCCTGATGCTTGAAAATGCGACAATGTTGAGGAATATTCAAAGCTTACCGCTTGATATTATGGTCTTTTCTCTAGAAGATCAAATCCTCAGAGTTTAAAAAAGTCACAACCATAATGTTCGTATTTAGGTGTAACGGATTGGTTCACTGTCTTTATTAACTACTCTAATTCACGTCTACCAACAAAGAACGATTTAATTTTCTAATAAGAGAATATAAGCCTACTTTTATATTCAGATTTTTAAAAAAAATTACCGAGGGTTTATTTCAGAAATAAAAGGGGGGACCCAAAAATCAGAAAGGGTGGTGCCCCATAAGCTATGATAAACAGCCTCATAGTAGTACCCACTCAAAAGTGATTTTTTACAAAAACAAGAACAAGAAAAGCAGAGGAAGAAGAGAGAGCATTTCTTTATTTCTTTCTTATAATTTTTTTTTGTATCTTCTTTCTTAGAGAACAGAGAGAACCATCCAAAGACAAAGACGGCTTTTAATCTCTGCTTTGCTTGTGAAGTTGGCTTCGTTTTCTGTAAAATCCCATCTCCCATCCACACCACGACGAAAAACCAACAGAGAAACTACAACTTTTTTCCCCCCCCATATAAAAATCATAAATTTATTACTATTTTTCTTTGGGTCCTTGTTGTTCCAACCCCTTGCTTTCTTGTTTCGATCGGATCTGAAGCTCTTCAGTGAAACCCAAAAGATACAGAGCAGACCCTCAAAGTTATTTCACTTTCTCTGTGAGGTGTTTGGGTCTCTCTCTGTCATTGTACCCACCAGCCATGCAAGATTGCTTGCTCTCCTCTGCTTTCTCTCCCCTCTGATCAGGTATTCTTAAGCTTTCTTTGCTTCTTTGGCGCTTTTCTTTGAGGTTCTTTTGAGTTGTCGTTCTGTCTGGGTGCGGAGAAACTGTAGGGAAAGAAAAAAGAAAAAAGAAAAAGTCAGGTTTGGTTTGGTTTGCAAAGAATCAAAATTAGAACTTGGGAGAATTTGGCTCCCAAATGAAGAGAAATTTGTGTTGAAAGTTTTGTCAAATAATCAGTTTTTTTTTTCTTTATCTTCGAACATTTCTGTGTCACCGAAAAGGGCGTTTGGGTTATTGAGAAACTTGTTAAAGAAATGTAATTTTTTCCCTTTTCGTGGTGCCATTGATTATTCTGTAAGTCGTTGGCTTCTGGCATTCATTAGATTGTGAATTAAGGCTCGCATCTTGAATTTCGGTTCAGCTGTAGAGAATATCTTGTTTTCTCCTCATGGGATTTTCTTTAATTGTATATTGTCTGTGCAGATTTTGTGAATTATGTTTTGCTTGAATTTGCATTCTGTATTTCAAAATTGTCCTAAAACGCAGTTTCTTCCCCTACTATTTTGTTACTTTATTTTGATTCGAGGAAGACATTTCAGTTGAAGATTTTGTAATTAATGCATTTAGTAGAGAGATTACATTGGAAATTGCATCTTTTATAATCTCTGTGCTTAGTTGGAATTTGCAGTGGCAGTGTGAAAGCTATGGAGTCACTGGCTGATGGGGTTGATTCTCTATCGAAGACTTGTCATTCTGCACCAGATGTAGGCAACAACCCTCCTTCCACAACTGGTACTCCTCGTCCTTCGCAGCCTCCATCTCCAAAACAATCTAGAAGTGAAGGGTTTTTGTCCCCATCCTGTGTGACTGCTCATACTTATGGCTTGAAAACAGTTGGCTATCCAAATGGTTCTGTAATTAATCAAAAGAATCCCAACAAGACAGCTAACCGTACCATGCAGCAGGAAGAGTTTCTCAGTATGGGAAAACATTACAACGGTTCAAACGGAGGAAAACCTGAACATGGAGGCCCAAATGATGTTCTTCACAAACCACCCAAAACTTCTTATCTGAACAAGGTTTCTGTACTAGAAGCAAAATCAAGCATGAAGAATCCTGTTGATGGTAGTGATTCGAGTAGATTTCTGGAATCTAGAAATCATGTTTTAGGTCCCTGTAAAGGAGTTTCTGGGCAGAAAACTAGCCACTTAATTTCTCACCCAGCAGCAACCTTTTGTGCAAGCCCTCAGAACAGTTTGTATTCTGCCTCTCTATATTGTGAAGCCAAACAGAGTTTCACCAACACAGAAGTCAGCGAATGTACAAGCAGCATTGAGAAGTCTGGTGAAAGTGGTGAAGTTAGTAATTCCTGTGAGCTTATTGAGAGCAGCAAGAACAGCATCTATAGAGGCAGTACTGGCAGTGATGTTAGTGACGAGAGCAGCACCAGTAGTTTGAGTAATTCCATGTACAAGCCCCACAAGGCAAATGATACAAGATGGGAAGCAATGCAAGCTGTCCGATCTCATGATGGGATGCTGGGTATTAATCATTTCAAGTTGTTGAGAAGACTGGGATGTGGAGATATAGGCAGTGTTTATTTATCTGAACTGGCCGGCACTAAAACTTATTTTGCCATGAAGGTTATGGATAAAGCAGCACTGGCAAGTAGGAAAAAGCTTCTTAGGGCTCAGACAGAAAGAGAGATACTGCAATCTCTGGATCATCCTTTTCTGCCCACATTGTATACACACTTTGAGACAGATAAGTTCTCTTGCTTGGTGATGGAGTTTTGCCCTGGGGGTGATCTGCATGCACTCAGGCAAAAACAACCTGGGAAGCATTTTCCAGAGCATGCTGCCAGGTTAGATATTGCTTTCGACTTCTACTTTAAGTTTACTCTTTGGTCTAATGACTACATATAGTGAACCACCTAATTAACTTATTTTGTCTATGAGTAAGAAAGAAAATTAAGGAGCAAACAGATATTATTGATTAAACAGTTAGCCATAGCCAAGGAAAACATTTGGTGGTAAAAACTAGGTAAACTTGAACCCATGCTTACAATATTCTCCAAACTATCAACCATTGTATGCTTCGCCATTTCGAAACATACTTCTATGTGGCTCCCAGCTGTAACTTGTGAGACATTTCTTTCGGTGTCATTTAGGTTATTAATGGAATTTTGTGGTTTCAGTAATGGTTAAGGTTGTCTTTGTAAGACTTGTCTGTTTGTAGAACACTCCCTCCCTCCTCCCTCCCTCACTGAGTCACGTTCAATTTACGCCACACACATACACAGTTCGGTTTAGGTTACAAGAGGAATCATATTTCAATAATAGCCTTTAGAGAAAAGAGAGAAGCAGAACTAGAAACCCTTTAAAGAAAGAGAGGAGCAAAACTATAAAAAGAAGGACATCGAGTTTACACATGTTTATTTGCCAAATTGCCAGAGATGAGAACATGCTATTAAGAATAATTATAGCTCCTTTTAATCTCCTGTTTGTTTTTCCAGGTTTTACTGAAGTTCTCCTTGCTTTGGAGTATTTGCATATGCTCGGGATCATTTACAGAGACCTCAAACCAGAGAATGTTTTGGTGAGGGAAGATGGACATATAATGCTTTCAGATTTTGACCTTTCTTTAAGATGTGCTGTTTCGCCCACCCTTGTAAGATTTTCAAACTCAAGCTTGGAGACAAAGAAATCTGCATACTGCGTTCAGCCTGCTTGCATTGAACCAGCTTGTGTAATGCAACCAGATTGCATTACACCGACATGTTTTGCTCCTCGCTTTTTATCAGGCAAGCCCAAGAAGGATAAAAAGAGCAAAGTGAAGAATGATATACACAATCAAGTGAGCCCTCTCCCTGAGCTGATTGCAGAACCCACGAGTGCTAGATCAATGTCCTTTGTGGGAACACACGAGTACTTGGCACCAGAAATTATTAAAGGTGAAGGCCATGGCAGTGCTGTGGATTGGTGGACATTCGGGATCTTTCTCTATGAACTTTTGTTTGGAAAAACTCCATTCAAGGGGGCAGGGAACCGGGCTACTTTGTTTAATGTGGTTGGGCAGCCTTTAAGATTTCCAGAGTCACCTTCTGTCAGCTTTGCAGCAAGGGACCTGATCAGAGGTTTACTTGTGAAAGAGCCACAGCATCGTCTTGCGTATAGGCGAGGGGCTACAGAAGTTAAACAGCATCCATTTTTTCAAAGTGTGAATTGGGCACTAATTCGCTGTACAACTCCACCCCAGGTGCCAAAGCACTACATATTGGAAAGTCCTGATGCGCCAAAGCCACCAATAAACGGGAAGGTGCCGGGTGTTGACTTGAAGCCTTCTGGTAATTATTTAGAGATTGATTTCTTTTGATTCTTAGCCTTGTTTTCCTTGGATGAACAAAGTCTCCAACTGATTCATGTGGGCGCTGCAGTGGTTCCTTTCCATTGCAAGGAATACAATTTGGTAGTTCCCTTGATAGGAACATGTAACTGCACCATTATGATAACAGCATTGAGAAAATGCAAATGCATTGAAAATGAGGAATGAAATTGCTGATCTTTCTTTTTCTGCAACCGTACTTTGATGTTTATGAATGCTTACTTCCTTTTTTACTAAAAAAAATCAAAAGAAAAAACCATTTATATAGGACCGTCTGCCTTTCCGCCTATATACTGATCGGATCGGGTTGGCCTAGCCTGACCCGAAGATATGTTTTTCCATTAGGTTTGAAGACCAACAGAAACACCATGAAGATGTAATAATATGTATAAATCTCCATATTTTTCTGAAGTCACCCCTCCTTACCCTTCATATTTAAACATTAGGATACGTAACACCCAGTCAATTGTGTGATGTGACAAATTAAACCGGTATTTATATATAGAAGTTTGTCCCAGTTGGGTTTTCAGGCTTGATTGACTTTAATCCATCATTAATATATAGCAGTAACGAAATGACCGTCTGTTTCATGACAGAATGTGAAGGCCCAATTGTAGGTGGCCACTTCACCCATTTAATCAAAAGATTTCTCAAATTTTACAATTTTGACCTCAGTCCCTATCTAAAGAATGTATCTGCAGGCTGCAGGGGAATCTCAGATTTAGTTTAGATGAGCGCGCTTGTACCCCAGATTCCAGGTACAGAAAGTGAACTGAGAGTGAGTGGTCCTCTTCTTTAGGTAGGGACCCTCCATCTTTGCGTGCAAGAAATATCTTTTTGCTCCCTCCCTCCAATATTCATTCAAATGGGATTATGATAATCTAATCCCAAGTTAAAATCAATATCACTTGCTACTAGAAAAACACATTCCTTCATTTTCTTTTGTCGAAATCATTATTCATTCAAATGGGATTATGATAATCTAATCCCAAAGTTTTTATTCCATTGCCAAATTTTAGGCTAAAATCACTTTTAATCCTAAGCACACGAATCTTCAATCTTCATTGCCTATTAATTAGTAATTAGTAATTGAGTTGTGACATATTTACTTACTATAAATGGAAGACGTCGTGAAAATAGAAACTTAAATTAGAGAATCAAAAACCTTAAATTAGTCTATTTTTATATTTAATTACAGATTTTAACGTGTAATAAACACACAAAAATAGCAGGAATTGAATTATAATAAGTAATCATGCTGAGAATTGTTTAGTAGGGAATTCTCAGCTGACATTTTCTATAGTAATTTAGTGGTAATTGCAATTGCCGCGCGTTTCTACCACGCTCACTCTGCGCTGTTATACGGTACCCACGCTTTCTTGCACTACAATATCACACCCTATCCCCCGTCTACCCATCCATCTACCTCCCTTTCCGATCTTCAAAAACCCATCGTATGCCGTATGCACATTGCGCACCCATACCCATATCGACACCACCGTCCCCTAAGCAGCCTCATCATATTAATAGTGACCCAACGCAACTTCTCTCTCATTTCCCTCTCAACTTCAACTTCAACTTCTACAACCTTCACTAGACGAGCCCTTCTACTGCTCCCTCCTCCTCGTTCTCTGCGAACCCTAACAATGGCCTCCGATGACCTCTCCACCTTGCCCGCCGAAGATGAGAAGTACGGCTTCCAGAGATCAGAGATGTACGAGACCAAGCTCGCCGGTACCGTTGACGCCTACGACCGCCACGTCTTCCTCTGCTACAAGACCCCTGAGGTCTGGCCCTCTCGCGTCGAGGGCTCCGAGTCCGATCCGCTACCTAAGTTCTTCGCCTCTGCTCTCAAAGCTCGCAAGAACGACATCGCTGTTAAGGTCCGCGTGAAGCTCGAATGCTACTTCTGTGTTTCTAATTACGTTTTCATGCTCTTTTTTTTATGCCTTGGAGCTAATGAGTTGACTCGGTTAATTTGTTTCTTCCTTCTGATAGACGAAGCTGACAGTATGTGAAGGACGCGAAGGAACTGAGTTTTCCGATGGCGATGTGTTGATTTTCCCAGAAATGATCAAATACAGGTAAATTCACCTTAATTAGCTGAGCTTATGGCGTTAATTTGATCGGAACTTACTAGATTTAAATTATTAGCCAGGAGTGGTGTTTAGATTTTCAAATTTTGCTTAGCTTGACTTCAAGATTGTGCTGAGTTCTAGCTAGAGGGATAGGTCTTATGATTTTGAGATTCCACTTTCTGACGTCTCAAGTTGAGCTAGTCTAGTGTGTTTTGGACCTTCAAATTCTCCTTTTTCACTCTGAGATTATGCTGATTTTCTTGGCAATTGATTGGATGCGAGGTATGGCCATATTTAGTGTTTTAGTTCTGTTTTGACTTCCCTTGCTGACTAAGAGATTCTGATAAATTCAATGAACTATATAGATATGTGCAGACTTCTGAATTTTGTTCTACAAATTGCATTTATGTGGTTCAGTCTATGAATGTGTCCTTTTATAGAATTAAAGAGTGTTAGGTTATTATTTCCAGTAAATTTCTCATGTGACTCTGAGGTTGTTTTTGTTTCTTGATCAAAGGGGATTGAAAGAGTCAGATGTGGATAGCTTCGTTGATGATGTCCTTGTGAATAATAAACCATGGGCATCTGGAGTGCACGAGGCTTTGACCGGCTCCCATGTATTTGTATGTGCACATGGTAGTCGAGATCGAAGATGTGGTGTTTGTGGACCTGTTCTCATTGATAAGTTCAGAGAGGAGGCTGAATTGCGAGGACTTACAAATCAAGTGTTCGTTAGTCCTTGCTCTCACGTTGGAGGCCACAAGTATGCTGGGAACTTAATCATCTACAGCCCAGGTTCGGATGGAATCCTAACAGGCCACTGGTAATATCCCCATCATAGCAATTTAAACTTGACAATAATGGATTGTGTTTTGAATATGTGCTATTATTAATTGCAGGTATGGCTACGTCACACCTGATGATGTGCCGGAATTGCTTGATCAGCATATTGGAAAGGGAGAGATCATAGAACGACTTTGGAGGTTTGTGTTTTTTTTGGTTTTGCCTATGGTCTTCCAATCCTACCTGTAGTTCATGTCCTCCACGAGCCTCTCAATTATTGATGCGTCTCTTCTTGCTTACTTGCTACTGATGAGACTTTGAATTTAATATTATAAAAGCTGAACATGAAATTCAATTTCATTCCTAACAGGGGCCAAATGGGAGTATCTTCTGAAGAAGGTGAAAAAATTAATGACCAGAAGCTCCCAAATGGAGAAGATAATAAGAAAAGTGAGGAGAAGCCCCAAGAAAATGGCAACCAGATTCAGAATAATGAGAACTTCTCAGGCTGTTGCCAGGGTGCTAATGGATTTACATGCTGCAAAGATGTAAGTTTGGAGCAGAACAGTGGAAGCGAGGAAAAGAAACTGAAAGAAACCACAGAAGCATGTGGCAAGAAGGATGCCTTGGGCAGGCTGTCAAGCTTGATCGGAAAATGGGAGCAAAGTGATGTTCTTGCAGCTGCAGCCGTGGTTGGAGCAGTGGCAACAGTGGCTGTGGCCTACAGCCTTTATAGAAGGTCAGGCTGAAACATATTCTAATCCGTGCTGGTTTTTCCAATGATGTAGAGACGCTGTTTTCTTTTTTTATTTATAGAAAGATGCTATAACATCAAAATAATAATCCTTCAAACCATACGCTTATATGAAAGGAGAATGGTAGCTATATGTTCATTTTAGGAGGGTGGGATGAATTCCCGAAGCTAAGGCCATAGTTAAAAATATTTTGTACACGACTGAAATTTGTTGTTTTGTTGAATGGTTTTATCTTGATAGTGGGATTTGCTATGAGGCTGCTTGCTTAATGTTGATGTGGTGTTTTTCTATGTTTCCTTCGTCACATTCCCTGTTTTCTTTTTTCTTGGGTATATATTTATGTGACTTTTTTTCAATTGGGAAGAATGGGATACTTTGCAGTTTGCAGCAGTTCTGACCTTCCTCCCGAATCTTTTTTTATTTAATGCTAAAATTAATATTAAATCTCCACTGGAAAGAAATCTAAACCTTGACGTTTATGAAGTTTGAGAGAAACAGAGAACGACATTGTTTGTCCTTGTCGTTTATTCAATAAACGAGATGAACACTATGTTCTTAACATCTTAATCTGTAGAAAATGTCAGAGTTAAAGATCCAATCACATATTAAATTGTCATAAGAGGTTCCGAAAGACAATTCTATTTACGAAGAGAGGGCACCATTTTCACAATGGTGCAATGAGTAAGTCTACCTACAGCCTACAGGACCAAAACTCGTATAATTTGATAATCATAAATAGTTGGTCGAGATCATTGTATACCACTGAGCTTTGCAAGCATCTCCTCCACCAGCTTCAACGCTGTGGTACTTGTCCCCACAACTCTCTCTTCTTCTGCGTCAATTTCTTGCATAATCTGTTCTATGACCCTATTCCTCGACTGCTGGTTGCTCGAACCATAACCTGAGCCTGACCAGTCTCTCAATAGAAACAGCAACTCCCGTGCCATAGTTTTAGCCCTCCATGTTCCGTCCACACTCAGCTGAAGCAGTCCAGGCATTGCTCCTTCCTTGAGTATCAATCCTCTGTATATTTCTCTGCAGTTCTGGCATATAAGTAGGAGTATTCTCACTGCGTGCTCCTTGCGCTCCATTGACCCCTCTTCAATTATCTCAACCAGTGCTCTAATCGCGCCATGCGTAGCAGCAGCTTCTTTGAGTGCGTTCTTCGATGAAAAAATGATGTCGTCAAGCAGTGCAATTGCCTTGTCAACCAGCTGGCCTGGTTTTTCCAAGCTGTACTGGATTATTTGCAGCAGGGAAAATATTACGCCACCAGAGACCAAATCAGGTACAATCTGATGGCAGGTTGAGAGGTTGTGGAGTGCGGCTATGGCATCGAGTCTGGCTTGCATACTAATAATCACGTTGTTCATGTTGAGAATTTCAACCATGAGTTGGATGGCTCCAGATTTGGCAATTGCTAACTTGTTTGTCTTGCAAGATGAGAGAATCAACAAAGCTGCTATTGTGAGCTCAATCAGTGCCTCACTTTCGCATCGAAGGAGGTTCAGCAACACCGGTAAAGCCCCTGATTCCACAATCATGCTCTTGTTCCTGTAAAATTAGAAAGAAAGTTAATCATTCAGAACAGAAGAAGCAAGAGTTAGAGAGAGTCCCATGCTATAAGTTTATGGTAATTTGAATAGCCCCAGTAATGGGTGAAAGAGGAGGCTAACCTTTCACTGCCAAAGGCAAGACTAAGCAGAGAAAACAGAGCAGCTTTAATGGCTTCAACATCTGGCGAATGAAGCATTGAAATCAATGGAACCATAACACCCCTCTTAGCCAACTTGTGCCTTTGCTTGCTATTCAATTTACCGAGTTCAGTGGCGGCCTCAATCTGTGCTTCTCGATCGCCATTGAATAGGTTTTGCAGCACCAGCTCCTCCATGATCTCTTAGTTTCTGTGTCTCAAACTCTCTCTTTCCAGTCTGCAAGAGTTTTCCTTTTGTTAGGTGAGGCTCTTAGCCTTTTAGCTAACCTCTCCCTCTACAATAGTGATAATAATAATAATGGCAATATAGGGATTGGTTGCTTGAAGACGTGATATTATCAATTGGCTTTTGTGGGTATCCGAATCCATTGTTTCAGTTAGAAGCAACTTACTATTCTTTTTTGTCAGCCTTCCCTTCTTTCTTAGTGTTTCTGATTTGGAAATAAAATAACGATTCCTGAGAATGAATCTTTAACTTCCTTTTATGAAAGGCAAACGCCGTCAGCTTTTTGGGTTTTTGTTAGGCTAGGCTAGGCTACCTTCCTCATGTTTTATTGCGCATTGTGCTCTCTAGCCCGATAGGAATTTTTGACCAAACCAAATCTACATATTTCCACTTTTATTTTAACCCAATCTTAAAACAAGTTTCCCATAACAACTCTCTCTCACGTGACAATGCCTAACAAGTTTCTCTATTAGCCAAATTTAAGTTAAGATCCTATTTATCAAAAAAGTTAAGATCCCACGTATCAAATCAAAACAAAACCTCTTTAAGTATCAAATTGAAGCCTTTGTGCACCACGATCCACCACATTAATGGGTCAACGAAACCTCCATGTATCAAATCAAAACAGAAGCTATTTTCGTTATAAGTAAGTTTTTCTACTCCACGAGGGAAACTGAAGATTTTATGCACTAATTAGAACATGTGTTGAAACTTTTTTTTTTTTGGGTGATTAGTATCCAATAAACTATGAATTCTCCATACCACTGAAAAAGTAAAAAATAAGTAAAAAAAACTCTTCAAATAAAAAACATAAGTACACAACAACCACCTTACACTCAAGTTGAAGTCGTCCTTTTTGTAAATTAGAGTAGTTTAGAAGAAAAGAAAATACAACAGCCCGACCGACCGGGACATCTCCAACGTCGGTGTTTCTGGTAGCAGGAACTCATCTCCTGCCTCCTCAGAGTACCAGTTAAATTATTTAAATGTAGAACCAGCATGCCGGTAGCTGGAGCGTTTTCCATTTCTGGGGTGTGGTCGTCTAGACTTCTGGTTAAGTTCGCGCGGGCCTTTTAACACTTGTAGCAAGCAGGAGGCAGAGAGTCTCGGATAATTCTTCCCCATAAATAAATAAAAAATACTTAAATAATTAAATCTCATCCAAATTTAAACACATGGCTAAACTCACCAAATTTAATCAACAAAATTATGATTATCAATGTCATCAAATCATCCGATTATCACCCAAAATCTTCTTCCTCCCACAAAAACCAATAAACACCGTCGCCGCCGCAAAAGGAAAAATAACCACTCTAATCCGGATGCCGATCCCGACCCGCATTCCGAACCCCTACCCCCACCTCCACCACCCGTACCCGAACCTGAACCGGAATTCCAATCCCCATCATCGTCGTCATCACCATTGCCCATCGACGACCCTCATGTTCGCATCGCGATGTACGTGGCCATGGCTCACGCAGGCCTCGCCTTCTCTCTGGCCCTCCTCTACGGCGTCACCAAGCTTCTCCAAGGCTACTGGCGCCCGATCCACTGGGCCATCCTCTGCTCCATGCCTCTTCGCGAGCTCCACACCACCCTCGTCTCCTTCTGGTCCCACTCCCTCAATCTCGGCCTCTTCGAAACCTTAATTGCCCTCCCAATCGCTGCTCTTCGCGCCACCACCGCCTCCCTCTTCGATTCTCATACCGCCATCCGGTGCTGCCTCCTCCGCCGCCCCAACAAACCTCGCCGCAGAAAACGACAAATCAGGTTCTCTAAGCTCATCCAATGGCTCATTTCTTTTGCCCTCTTCGTCGTAGTCTACGAGAGCATCGGCCTCGTCTCTGTCCCGGCTTTTGCACTTGCCTGCTTCGTCGCCTATGCCCTTGGTTGCAGAAGCATATTAATCGATCCTGGCGTTGCAACCACACTCTCGGCAATCTCGTCCGTACGTAGACTAAAATCCAAGAACAACAATGATAAGAGTAACAGTAGCTCTGGCTCTGCTAATTTGGGCGGCAAATTTAGCCGGTACATTACATGTTTGATGCTCAACAGGTTGAAGACGACGGTTGCGATTGGCTTGATCATGGTTATGATTGTTGGGTCTGTGTTTGGATTCGTTTTCTTTTCGTATAAGATCGCAATGGAAGGGAAGGGCGCTGTGATTTCACTCAAAGCCCATTTGGAAGAGATGAACTATAATTATGCAGAGAGGGTTGGATTTAAGAGATGGATGAATGAGAACCAAATCCCAGAATTGATTGATAATTACGCCACCAATTTTTACGAGACCGTCTCACAGAACATCGATTCTTTGGCGGCGCATTACAATGTGACCGAGGTTGTGGACAGCGTGAGGCATTATTTGAGCACTAATCACGACCATAATCCCATGTCGCAGAGTAATAAATCGGAGGCCGTCGATGTTTCGAGTATTAGCAGGAATGGTGATTATCTTAATCATCAGCATGAACAAATGATTAGCAACAGTAATGTTCATATTCACCCTAATTTGTCGGACAAGTTGCACAGCATCCAATCGAGGGTGAAGAACAGAGAATGGGGAGTGATTTATAAGGATATTGACCGCGTGTTTAGAGAATTCAGGGCTTTGATTGCCAGGGAAGATTTAGCAGAGAAAACCAAATCATTTTTATTACAGGGTCTGGACGTCTCAAGAAGGGTACTTGCTAGTGGTACCATGGTTTTGGCGGGAGGTGCAAATTTGTTGTTCTTCATGGCAGTCTCTCTGGTTTCAGGAGCCGCTGGATTGTTCAATTTCTTCTTCGAATTGACGGTGTTCTTCTGGCTCTTGTACTACCTGATCACCACTGATTCCGGCGGCGTTATGGATCATGTCCTGGGGATGCTGCCGCTTTCGAAATACACGAGGGTTCGATGCGCCCAAGTGCTTGATCATGCTGTGAGCAGTGTGCTGTTGGCAGCTGCTAAGGTCACATTCTTTCAAGGGTGTCTCACATATCTCTTGTTCAGATTCTACCGCATCCGTTTCCTCTACATGTCTACCTCCCTTGCCCTGATGAGTGCCGTTTTGCAAATAACGCCGGCTTGGCTTCTGTCGATCCCCGCGGCGCTGCAACTGGCCATGGAAGCAAGATATATAGATGCCATTTTGTTGACGGTAATTCACCAGATACTGTTGGAGTATGGCACAACTGCCATCCAAGATGATATCCCGGGACAGAATGCCTACCTCACTGGCCTTAGCATACTTGGTGGCATTGCTCTTTTCCCATCCATGTTGGAAGTAAACTTTCCTCTTTCCAGACTTTTAATTATTAATTATTATATTGCATGCACATTCTTCTCAGTTAAAGTTAAATTAACAGCATGAATTAATGGAGTTTGAATTGCCTTTTTGTTTTTGTAATTACAGGGAGCGATTATGGGTCCTTTGCTGATGACAGTGATGATTGCCTTCAAAAATCTATATGTAGAATTCGTCCTTGCTTCTGGAACTGGAGAGGAAACCAGTGCCCGTTCATACAAATAAGTTTTCTTTTTTCTTCTTCAAAAATTGTTGGAAGGAGAATATGATGACAGCCCCACATACCTAACCTACCTAGTGTCATACGATTGTCCTCCTTATTAAGTGAAATGTGTATGTATGTATATATAGCCAAAGTTTTGAACACACGGAAAATATATATGCCCCTGCTAGCTATGGATAGACAACTCCGGTCATGTGTGTCCGTACTCTCCTCTCCGAAAAGCTAGACGCACCGAAACTTGTTCGCCGTGCAACGCCCCAACTCACCGAAATCTCAAACGTACATCTCATATCACCACCACATTGCACCCACTATAGCCTTGTATAAAATTAAGGCAAACATTCAGTTTAAATCGCTATAGTTTGTAACTTTTACTTTTTTGTCTGCGTAGTTTTAACTTCGTCAATTTTATTTCCGTAATTTAAATTCGAGAAATTAAAGGAGATGTTGATTAATTAGGGCTTGTTGGTCTCGTACTCATGGGCACCATCATTGGGCTTATTGGCCCCTCTCTTTATCATCTACAGCCCTGTTTCGGAATGCCCTATAATGTCCACAAGAAAAACGGATTAGACCCGACCCGAATAAAGCAGAACAGTAGAGTAGAGAGATAATTAAAGACGCGGGCTTAGCCACGGCAAAACACATCAGAGTAGATCGTTTAGAAGAAGAGAGAGTAGAGCGTAGACGAGAGAGACACAGAGAGATCGGAAGATTCCGAGTTTCGCAAATGAGGGTTTCCGGCGACCATGCGAAGCGACGGCGTCCGTCATGCGATTCAGATCTGATCAAGATCCCCTCTGAATCTTCAAAAGGATAGGCTAAATCACAAGAATGGCTACCTGCTTGAAAGGTCGTTTGCTCAGAGAAATACCTTAGAAAGCTGAGAATCACAGGCTCATCCATTACGTAGCTTCGCGCAAAGATCTTCAGGTTAATTTCGGAACTTTTGGTTCTTTATATCGATTGGCCTTCTCGTTCCTCGTTCTTTGAGTTTCTTGCTAGGGCTTAAAGTTTTTTCTATCGCTTCAGGATAATTATAACGCTTAAGGGTTTTGGCGAACGAGACAATTGGTAAGGTGCAGTGCACATTATATTTGTTACCATTTCTTGAATTTTCTCGTTTGTCTAAAATTTGCGGCCAATTTTTGTTATGCGGTAGGTCATAATTGGCATGGTCCATCGTTCTTGGTTTATGAGAAATTGCATGTTTGATTTGATGTACTGTCAGTAGTGTTTCTGAGATCAAAGCGAACCACACATGGCTTTGTAATATCATTTGAACTGGCCAGGTTGTTTATTGCATGGTATGTTTTACTGTCTGGAGCAAGCTAGAGATTAATAGCATATTCTAAACAAATATGTGAACAGGATCATCACAGAAGCAATTACGTGAAGTGTCTTGCCGTGATGCAAAATTAATACCTATATCTAGC